AATAAAAAGTACTTTTTTATTGTTTGATCATTTAAATTATTTATTCAATCCTTTTTGTTTGGTGGTCCATGCAAAGGGTAGAGCATCTTAATGAACATCATTACAAACAGGTTTTAAACACCAGAGCTGTAAGTTAATTTATTTCCTTCCTCTGATAGTCAAATACAATCTACAAGTGTGTAATGAGGTGCAAGACTAGATAACAAGATCAAGGGTCTTTGCCTCCAACTACAGTTTTGAACAGTCTCAAAACCAGATAACTTTGGGCACTCTCTGACTGCACATGAAAAAACTATTCCTGCACTAACTTCCTTTTACTGACAGCACAGTATGTTTGCATGCCTGTAGCTCCCCACAATCGCCCCTAGAAGGCACCCTGGTGCCAACATCGCTGTCAGGCCATTTTTAAATGATTTCATTTAGAGCAAGTTCATGAAGAGATGAATCACACATAGAAAGGCCATACCCTCTTAGCTTTGTAAAAAAAACTGTTGACTGTTATCTGTTACTCTTCAGAGAATCAAAGAAACTGTAAAATGAGAACATTTTTATTTTGTATTTTTTTTATTTAAAGCCATAAAATACATTATCATGCATTTATATTTGAGCAGCATCTAAATGATGCAGCTGGTAGAGGAGAAGTCATTTTGAGCTACTTCGTAAGTTTCTGAGTAATCTCTAACAATAATTAGAGCATCATGATAATGACAAACATGTAAGTATATGAGTGTTTTGAAAGCTCACATTAGCATTTAACAAAAGTGTTCCACTCGAGTATGAATAACTTTTGCTTTTGGGTATGATGCTTCCTATTTTACCACCTCTTAAGAATTTTCTGTCTCAGTTTGTGTGTATGTGTGTGGATTATTACCCCTACCTTAGTTGGTCTCCTTGCATGTAAGAGGCTCTGCACATTGAGGTGATTGTACTCTGCAGTGTTTATCCGGGAGCATATAGTATAACATGATTCTGTCAATGCTTAGAGCAGCAATGCGAGCAAATGCATAAGTGAAAATCCACTGCTGTCACTGTTTTTCCTGACATTTACATGCCTGAAGTTTCCCCAAACAGCTGCGACAATCAGTAGGTCACAAAGCTGGCATGAGCAATAGAGACTTTTACAGTGAGGACCCACTTCAGAGGGGATCTTCAGTGACCTCTGTGTGGTTTGAATGATTTCTAGTGGTCTGTGTACGAATCAACAGCATAAGCAGGAAAATTGTGTCCTAAAACTGTACTGGACAACACTGCGGTATCAACACATACAAAGAATATCCCCTCTGAGCAATGTGTCAACTTGTCAAACTGACAGGAGTTAGCACTGAATCTCACATTTATCCAAGAATATCTTTTGTTTGATTTATAAATCAAATGATGAATTGTAAAACCAGTTTTGCACTAAACAGTACACAGTACAAGATGCTCCTGTAGTGGGAGCACCACAGACTTGTGTAGGTTTCAGCACCAGAGGAGACTAGATGACAATATCGCTCTGAGTAGGAGGCCACTGCCATCTAGTGGAGGACGGCCAAGATAAGTTTTCTGTATTGATACTAAACCGCTGTGACTAGATAACAAGATTTTGGTGGCATTTCCTGTTTAAAGTTACTCCACTGACATTAAAAGAGCTGAAGGAACAACTTTTGTTTGGATCAGAAATATCGGATTTGTAGATCTCTTGCAGGAAGGATTTATGTGCTGTGAAACACTTATTTACTTCCTGCAACTTTTCTCTTTAAAAGTGTTTGGTGACCTTTAATTGGTCAAGTTAATTATTCCAAATACCTTGAGAAAAATTTGTATAAAATGGCATTCTCTTGTGATTACAAATCATGAATATATAAAACACAATTAAATGGGGAAATTTGTCACTGTCTAAAGGTCATTTCAGAGTTCCCAGGAAAAAACACTCTCCCAGAATCTCATTGTAGGAGCCCTGATTCTTTTGGTGGGAGGGTTCATTATCCACACCCATGGGTAATCATATCCCCAAAATACAGCTGACAATGTGAAATTCATATTATGTCACACTTTAACTTCACAAAGGTAGATATTTGATAGATAATTCATCAAACAATGAGCGTGGTCGAGACCTGCTCTTTTTCTTTGGAAAGCGTCTTGGGATAACGATTGTTGTGAATTGGCGCTATATAAATAAAATTTGATTGAATTTGATTGATTGATATTTCACATCAGCAGGATGTGTCCTGTTATGGCAGATGAAGAGGTTATTTTGTAGAGACACACCACTACATGGTACTAACATGAGTTAAAAGAGCTGATGTGTGTATGACTTGACAAATTCATGTTTTTGTTTTTCTCTAAAACCAAGTGACTGCATTATCATGCATGAGTAATTGTATGTAAACTATAAAAATACAAGTGATAGCAGATATCCTTTGATTGATGAAAGACCATCCACTCTTGCTCAAGGTCTTACACTGACCAAGTACACTTGTGACACCTGCTTTGGCATGTAGGGAGTCTTCAGACTCAACTAGCCAACACAACCAAATAGCCTCTTACCTATTGAATTTGACTCAACGGCTGAAGGAGGAACATGGTGCAGATCTACTATCAGAGAAGCAACAGGTGTCCTCACCTTTCTCCAGCCAATGAGAGAGCAAAGGGGCTGTCGCAACTGGAACGATTAGATCTGTGTATCTAATATTATCCCCCATCTTCTGTTCTGATGCTACAAAGAGGATTCAGAAGCACAGGAAACTTGACGATGACTTAAGTACTGCCAGGGTTCAGGGGGGTCAAAAGCTGTATGCACCAAAAGGGAGGCAGGTCCAAACATAGCTGATGAAGAAGAGGTTCACAGGGGTCACCCCAGATGCCACTTTCCTCAATTCTGACATGACATCAGCTTGAGCAGCTAATCTGCAGCACATGTGAGGTTAGAGTCAGGATGGTTGAGGATATTTTGGTATCCCTTGAGCAAGGCACACATCTCCTGACACTTAAACAAAATGCACACTGATCAATGGCTGCCCCCGTGCGTAAAGCACATCCTATGTAGAGATCAACTACCCTGTACAAAATATGGCATGTAGTGAGGGTTAAGACCTCTGGAGGACTTGTATTACTGCTACATGGACCTGGCAGTTTATCTTTGCATAGTAGTGATGCTTTTGTGTGTCTGCTTCCACTTCCTTATTTCTCTACTACCCTGTGTTCATATGCCAATCCTGGTGTTTGTATTATTGTTGCCGAAGTGTCCAAAATATGTTAGCGTGCAAGCATATAAAATACTGTGTTTTGCTGCCACCTTGTGGTTAAAATGATGTGTCTTTTAATATAGTAGTGTGCAGCTCTATAAACTTAGGTATGTGACTGCTCTGTTGAATGTTATTTGACTGTGCAATGTAGAAAAAGGACAAATAGCACCTCAAAACCTTTTGTGTTTTTTTGTGTAAAATGTTTCACAGTCTCTGAGGAGACAAAACCCAGCAGAAATGTAACATCAGTCACTTCTGTTGCAGTCTGGTTTTAATGAGAAAAACTAGAACTTTAGATTATTTCTTTATAGAAACAATCTCCACAGTTCTGGATGTTTCTCTCTATCCACAACATTTAACACAAAATATTTTGTGGCTCTGAAGTCAAAAAGTTGGATCATAACTAGTTCTTATCACTGGATTTCTTATCTATGTCATGAAACTGCATTTGTTGGACATCCATGAAAAGTCTCAAATAAAGACTCATTTATAAATAAATAAACAATAAATAAGCAAATACCATAGATGCAATTGACATTTGTTTGTTTTGAATATTGCAATATTATCTTACCAATACAGTCAATAGGTTTGTCCTTTTTTCTATAGAATTGTAACAGACAAAAATTCAAGAAGAAAATTATAGGATATCTTGGCTTGACATGTGTTCTACAAAAACAGAAATTGTTGCAATCATCAAACTCAATATCTGCAACCCAATCAGCCATAGGTTAGTCTCTGTAGGTACGTTTCTCTATCATGGAATCAGAGATACTGTTTCATAATGATGTTTTGTCCGATTCAATCTGGTTCATTGGAGAAGTTTGAGCTGCAAAGAGAAACCACTAGATTGGAGGATGAACCACTCTAGGAGATTTCCTTCACTACAGGTTATCAGTGATCCTGTTTACATAAAAGAAAGAACTAGGCCAAGTAAATATTGGAGTATCTCATTCGTGACAGCTTGACAAACCTAATAGGTTGTAACACCAAATGAATATACATCCTGTGCTGTATTTAGACCTGCCAGTGCGTCTTCAGATTTCACACGACACCAACATAACATGACAGGAAACAAAGTCAGAGGAAGAAGCTCTCTTCCCCTGACACTGAAGACGCTGCTTTGCTGCAAAACACTCTGCCTCTCATCTTTCATCGCAGAGATCTGGCGTCTGACAAGAATATCACAGACTGTGCTATTTTACCTCACTTGACCCAAACAACATGATGATATTTAAAAAAGGTTGCTTCTCAATGGAGGAAACACCTGTTCAAAGTGACCAAGATTTCCTGATATGTGGGGGGGTAGTTTTTTTTCTTTTATCACTTTGCCTAACTGTTTGATTCTCACACACAAAAAAATGGATGTGCTATTTGTGCTTTTTCTACATCCCACAGTCAAATAACATTCAATAGAGCAGTCACATACTCATGTTTCATCAGCTATATACTACTTAGTGAAAGACACAAAATTTTAACCACAAGGTGGCAGCAAATGATAGTTTTTTTATGCTTGCACACTTGATTTCAAACACACTTTTCTAATTTCCATCATTTACTGTGTTCTCATCTAAGATTAAAAAATGTAAAAAATATTTAAGTTTATGTGGGAAGAAATCTAATTTATTATTATTATTATTATTATTATTATTATTATTATTATTATTATTATTATTATTATTGTTATTATTATTTGAATGAAAAGAGAAGTTTTCCACCAAAGACTGAAACATAAGAACCTACCAGCAAGAAAATATTCAAAATGAAACAAAACAAAACAAATTTGGGGAAAGAAGAGTAAAACAATTGTGACCATGCAGCAGAAACAAGCAACAAAAAAGATAAATGCATAGTCACTCACTGGATGGTTGATCTTAGTGCCAAAACAGGATGGATAATCTGTAAGGTATTTATCCATTGTGCTTCTGTTGTCAAAGTTTTCTCTCTCTTTTTTTTCAATTCCAAAGAATATGTCAACTTTTCAAACTGACAGAAGTTCACACTAAATCTCATATTTATCCAAGACTATCTTTTGTTTTGATGTGCTGATAGTGAGTGCACGTTTAAAAGTCAAACAATGAATTGTGAAATCAGTTTTGCACTAAACAGTACACAGTACGAGATGCTTCTGTAGTGGTAGCGCCTGAGGTTTGTGTAGTTTTCAGTACCATAGGAGACTAGATGACAATATCGCTCTGAGTAGGAGGCCACTGCCATCTAGTGGAGGATGGCCAAGATAAGTTTTCTGTATTGATACTAAACCGCTGTGACTAGATAACAAGATTTTGGTGGCATTTCCTGTTTAAAGTTACTCCGCTGACATCAACAGAGCTGAAGGAACAACTTTTGTTTGGATCAGAAATACCAGATTCGTAGATCTCTTGCAGGAAGGATTTATGTGCTGTGAAACACTAATTTACCTTCCACTAACCCTGAGAGAAGAGGTCAGTCAACATGTCAACAAACCTGTGTGCTCATAAAGGCTTTGACAAAGATCCATGTAGCTGGGATTGATATGATCACTAATGCTGCAGGACTGCCTTATGCTGTTGGACTGTGTTAACCTGCAGAAGTGTGTGCATGAAGTACACACCACCCTCCTAATCAATGTTTGGTCAGTCTAAAGTTCAAAGGCTGCATAGTATGACTCCGCATCTCACTTTATCAGGCATCCATCAGTAAACAATTAGGCAAGCCCACTTGGACTCTGGCTTCAGTAATGTGGACATTTGTCTTTTAGCTCATGAACTCACAGGAATTTTAGTCTGACAGCAACTTTTAATTTAAAAGCAGATAAGTGGATTAAAGGATTAGAAGATCAAGTACCCCATAGACTAATGATGGAGTGTTCAGGGTTTTATAGACAAAGGCATTTTTGACTTTACAAAGAAGGCAAGCAGTTGCAGTAGTAAGTGTAGTGCTCTTTAGATGGGTGAAGCTCTAGAGTTGAAGTTGGTGCTTATGACTGACCTTTCTTTTATATTTCCGTGAGAAACTATGAATCTTCAGCAGTAAAGGGAGGCTGAACTCTGTGTATGGGCATTGACCGAATAAAGAAAAAGACGCCCACACTCTTGTTGCATCATCTATGATGTATACAAGCACTTTTTAGATAATTTGTACATTTTTGATTGGCAAAAATACCAAAGACTTTTTAATATCCTCTTCGTGAAGTCATAATACCATGTTCATGATCATTATTAATTTATGATTCTATTTAAGATTAACTTAAATTATCAGCAACGCTTCTCTTGTGTGCTGCCTAGTAATGTTTCGTTCGCAAACGATTCGTTCAAAAGAACCAAATCTTTTAAGTGAACGTACTGAACCGAATCACTTCCTCAAGTGATTGGTTCGTTTCTCACTTCAGTTGAGCTGAAGTGAGAAACAGAGTTGCCAGGCGAGCAGCAAGCAAATGAGGGACCACATGCACCAAGGCCTGAATCACTTTGGTGAACGAATCATGCATTGAACTGCGCTCCCTGGAATCATTTTTGTCGGACAAAACTACTTTTTTTATTGCTAAATTGCCACCACAACAGCTTGCACAGGACACAGCATGTAACAAGTAGTGCATAAAACCCGCAGCATCCTATCATTGCTGCTGTTTGTGAGGGAATGGTGCATGTTCAGTGTGAGTCCTTCTAAATGTTCAGTGAACGAATCACTCTTGACCCCAATTTACTGAGCAGACCTGCTAGCATACCATAGGACAGTACACTTCAAACATCATGACTTATGAATGAGGTTATTTTTACAAACCTGTTTGCTAAAGCAACTCAGCCAAACACTCTCATCTCCAGGTCCCAGAAGCTATGATCTGAACTGAATCCTGAACCGTTCAGCTGTGTATCAGTTCAGGAGGTCGGAGTCACACGCTCCCCCCACAAAGCGCTGTATGATTCGGTGATTTGGTGAACGAATCTTTTGAACGAATCTTTTTAGTGAACTGATTCTAGTGATTCAATACATCTCAAAGAATTGCCATGCCCATCACTATGGTGCCGGAGAGCTAGCCCCGCCCATAGATCTTTCCGACCAATGGGAATTGACGCCAAATCTTTAGATTGACGCCCCTCACGGGTGTTTGTGATGTCCGTTAGGAAGTTTTGCTGCACTTCACCGGTCACGGAGGTACAAAAGCTCGGCGTTACGGTTGTTTGTAAATCCAATAAAATCATCCGCTGTTGCGGAAGGATGGCAGACACGGCCCCCATCGAGGACGGTATGTCCGAGGAGGAGAGGGAGTTTCAGAGAGTTGTCGCTCTTATCGGCGGGAAAGAAAGGATTTATTTGGTGGGTGACGCGTGTGACAGTAAGGAGGTAGACGGGGATGACCGTGGAATATTGCAGGAGTTCATCCGGGACATGTTTCCTGGCAGCCTGGCCAACAGCAACGGACATCCTGCGTCCTCTGTGTCAAAAATCCACGTTGGCGGTGCAGGTGAAATTTGCAGCGATGCACAGACTGTTAAAAACAATGACATACCTCTTTCAACGAGGCCTAAAGATGTGAGTGTGACAGCCAGCCCGGTGGAAGAGGGCAAGGAGAAAAAGCAACCAACGCGCAATGATAGCGCTCAGAAAACAGCGAGGAGGCTCAACATTTACAGCAAAAAGCGGACCATAGACTCTCCCGTCATCGTCTTCATTTTCAGAGAGACATTTCTCAGCAAAAGTTCAAACCAACAGTGCCTGAAGGAGATTTTAAAGGACGTGAAGGCACGCACGAAACGTGCCAGAAACGCCCGACCAGCTCTGCTTGGATTAATACGCACCAGAAAGGAGAGTGCAGAGACGCTCCAGTGTGCGGAAATCCTGGAGCGTCTGATCCGCTCTGTGTTCTCCAAACATTCACCTGAGACTCTGTGGGTCGGCTGTTTCATCCCGGAAACAGACGCTTCTCTGAATACCATCAAGAGAAACGTCTGCAAAGTTTTACACTCATCTCAGACAGCAGGTGTAATAACACGAGTGTTCTTCATGTTGTTCAAATCACACTGAGTAAACACTACTGGATTCCTGTCACTGATGCAGTGTTGTTTGATTTTGCTGCCCAGTCCTTCTTTGCTTAAACACACAATCAGCAGGGCAGATCTTTGTTGACATGAAGTTTGATCTCTAGTGTTTTATCAGGGCACCATGCAAGTGTTTTGATGGATTAAATACTTGATTGCTAAAATGAAAGACTATAGAACTACAAACATTTACTTATACAAACCTACAACTCATCTGTAAAGCTACTAACTGTTGAGAGGAAATGTAGTGTTAACTGAAATAGAACAAAGTTCACCATGATTTGAGAGAACCAAACAATTCATATGAGGATCAGCTATAACAGACATAATTATAATATGGTATGGATGATGCATGATAAGGTGTGAGTAAACTCACCATCCGAGTCACCATGTGAATTCCTGCAGGATATTTGTCAAACACTGCTGTGGTTTGAACACCACTATGTAGGTCAATTCATGTAACTCACTAAGTCCATTTTTTTCCCCCTTTACACACTTTCCTTCCCAGGGATGGCTACAAAGGCCAGGGGACAAAGGGAGCATTCATGAAACAATCAAGCCTTTAGATAAGCTGCCAAATTGTTAAAGGCCTATTATTGCCTTTCAGATAATACGAGGGATAGAGGGAAGCCGATTTTCTGGCCATTCCAATGTTTGCCCTGGTCTCAGAGAGGAGGAGCCAGAGGCCATTTCAACAGTTCTTCATCCAGCAGGCGAAGAGGTAGCAGCAGCATCCCATAGTTCAGTTTGACCAAGGCAGGGAGGAAGTTTATCACAGGGAGAAAGATGAAAACATCCTCTAAAATGGGCTCCATTTTGAATCAGATACCTTGCAGAGTTTGCAGTTTACTAAGCACTGGCAGACACCTTGTGTTTGGCACATACTGTATGTACAAAGCAGAGAAATCTTAAAGTCTCTGCAAATGACTGCCATATTTGATTATATTGCTTTAACCAAAGGACATAGCAACTAACAATGAAAGCATATTTTTTGCTCTTTCTTGCTTCAGGTGAAACTGGAAGTATGGAGGAATGCATCCCTCTGAAAACCGTTCCATCCCCTGCTGGAGTTCCAGAATCATCTGGCAAAGGCAGCTGATGTCTTGACCCCTGTGACCTGTGGCTGCTGGCATATAACCGCTGATGAAACTGTGATAAGCCTTAGGCTACTGTACAACAGAGCCTCATTAAAAGTTCCCGTGTTTCATATGGTGCTCTGTTATTTTTCACTCTGAGCCAACATGATTTGTGTCCTGAAGGAACTGTTGAAGCAGTTGCCATTTTTCTATTTGCAGTAATTGTTTTTTGCTGTAAGAATTTTATCACAAAACTTGACATTAGTTTTTCCTTTACTTTTTTAATCTGACATATGCTTTGATATTTCTTTTTTTATGCTTATGTAGATGTTGGAACTCAGTAGAACAGAGATTACAGCAAAAGTGCTCAGTAACATGAATTATTCTGTAAAGGGCTGGATGAACAGACTCTGGAACTGAAGTCGGGGCATCAGCTGATGTAATGAAAGACTTGAGTGTGGTCCTGCTGAATGATAAGGGACCCAGCAGCTATTTTACTCATTAGCCCCTAGTGGAATCATCCAGCTTTACTAACATGTAAATTTTTTAAACTTTTTTTTTTCTTACAAGTACGTGCCTTAGAAAAGTGCTGCTTGAAAAGAATATTTGTTTATTTGTTTTCGCAATTATTAATGCCTTTAACTTTTAATTAGATTATTTATGTGAACTTCTACCTGTATATCCTACATTCAACATAAAATGAAAAAAAAAAAAAAACTGGTCCTGTGAAACTTTGTGAAAAAGGGTGATCACTTTTTTTGTTTTATTATATCACGAGGAGATGTAGGGGAAACCAACTGTCGAGTGGGTATAAAGCATAAACTGTGTTTAGAATAGTATAGTATATAGAGTCTATGGTATGGTCCATGGTGTAAAGATGTTATATTATTGCAGTTCTTTTAAATATATGATATATATAATATATATATAAGTACAGGCCAGAAGTTTGGACACACCTCATTCAATGCATTTTCTTTATTCTCATTACTATTTAAATTGTAGATTCTCACTGAAGGCATCGAAACTATGAATGAACACATGTGAAATAATGTGCGTAAGAAAAAAGTGAGAAATAACTGAAAACATGTATTATATTTTAGATTCCTCAAAGTAGCTACCCTTTGCTTTTTTGGTAGCGCTGCAAACTTTTGCTATTCTCTCAATGAGCTTCATGAGGTAGTCACCTGAAATGGTTTTTACCCCACAGGTGTGCCTTGTCAGGGTTACTTCGTGACTGACAGAGTCAGTCATTAAGTACTACTGTCATCAAGAGCAAAGGGTGGCTATTTTAAAGAAACTAGAATATTAAACATGTTTTCCGTTATTTCACACTTTTTTATAAGTACTAAATTCTACGTGTGTTCATTCATAGTTTTGATGCCTTCAGTGAGAATGTACAATGTAAATAGTCATATAAAAAAATAAAGAAAAGACATTGAATGAGAAGGTGTGTCCAAACTTTTGGCCTGTACTGTGTGTGTGTGTATATGTATATATATATATAATTTTTTTTTTTTTTTTTTTTTTTTTTTAATTTAATTTAATTTTTTTTATTTAACCAGCAACCAGGTGTATTATCGCCATCTACCGGCCCGCTTCATTTGATTTCCGTGAGCCCGTTTTCAGACCAAAGCCTGATTCACGACAGGCCACCTAAAGATTTGCCTGTCTATAATTAAGATGAGCTCTGAATAAATAACAGCAAGTCCTCGTAAAAGCTTCAACCAGTAAACCAATATATATGACAACTTTTCTATCATAAAATTGTTAGAATTTAACCAAATTCTCCTTTGAAAGGGCAGCCGGGCTTCTTGAAGACCGAAACGTCTTCAGGAATCTCAAAGAGGTCCACTTGCCCTTTTAACAAAGAATTGGATAACCTAAATGAATGAGAACCTACACAGACATGTTACAATTTAGTCAACCAACACCAACGGATTCAGGCTGAATAAAAGCCATGGTTGTGTGAATCTTCTGTCAGGCTTTGAAGAGGCCAGCCATGCCAGAGGTCCTTTAGATGGGACTTTGCGGCATTTGACAAAAAGAGGTTAGCAACCGTTGCGTTTGTTAACACGGTTGTGCTTTTCTGTTAGTTTAAAAACTGTTTTTTCACCCTAATAGTGTTTAAACAAACACGGAATTACACCGTCGTACCTCGTTCGTGGGGCTGAGGAGGGTAAACATAGCCAATTATGATTACCTCTGCCGGTAAGTTGAGAAAGTGTGTTTTATTTTGCGTAGCTTTAGCGTTAGCTCTCTGCCATTGATTTAGCTGAGTCACAGCTAATGCTACATATTATTTATCAAATGGTAACTAATACAAATACACAGACAGAAACCTTTCTCCCTCTGTGTGTGTTTTTTGTCTAACTTATCAACACTTATACACTTCTTGATTTTGTCAAATTGAGTCATTTGTTTAAATTTTGTGCACGTTTTAAGCTTTTAGTTTTGACAGGATCCTCAACAACTCTAATATTACAGTGTCACGGTTTGTTGTTTTTAAGCGTAGATATTATAATGTTAGCATTAATCTTTTCTCAAACATAAAGATCTCAAAGGTTTACATTACATTTAGTTTCTTTGTCTCAAAAGACTAACTATCAGCTTATTAGCTCTGTTTTGAGATGTACAGTGTTATCGGCAATGTTATCGAAATCGATATTGGCAGATTGTTGTCAGTGTGGTTCACCGTGTATAGGGATATCGTTAAGTGTCGGAAACGGACAGCAAAATAGCTATCAGGACCACCTTTAAGACACAGCTCATGGGAGGAAGAGCAAACAACTCTCCTTAAACTCTACCAGTTCAGCAGTGCCTCTAAAATACCGTCATCCTGAACATCACCAGGAGGTTTGAGAAGAACAAAACATTATTGTATCTGCAATAACCTGTGATAAGAACTTAAATTATATCTCTATGTAAAAAGAAATTACACTAAAAATCAAAAATTGTTGACTGTGGGGAGTTAAGTTCAGAGCCAATAGAAACAAAAATGAAAAGGAAATCACACTTTGCAATAATGACTTTGCAAATAGGTTAAATTCAACAATTTAAGTAATTTTAAAAATGACAAAGAATAAAAACCAACAAAAATAAAAGGTTAAATTACTCAAAAGATCAAAGGTGCAAGATCCTGCCAGCAACACTGCTTGGAGTTGGACTATAAGCCAGGTCAAGAGGATTTAAACATTCCTTTAAAAATGAAATGCTGTAAAAAGCACATCCATATCATTTATTTCCAAGTCTGATCTCCTGTGTCTTTGTTGTGAAAAGCTGGGCAGAACCTTAACATGTGAACAAAGAGTTATAGTTGTCCAAAATGGGTGTAAATAAGAGTGTGTACTGTGTCATCATCACCACAGTTGCTGTTTCTCTGTCAAGCCTTTTTTGGTTTATGTTTCATTGTGCTCAAATTTACTACTTTTAGTTTAGTAATTTTTTATTAGTAATAACCCTGGTTGGTTTAGAAATGAAACGCGTGGCAGTCATGGTTCGAGTTGTTAAAACTTTTGGCATCCACAACCAGCTTTTAAACAATGAAGACAGAGAATTGATTTTAAACCACTTGACTAATTCTATTCTTCTCTTTCCTAAAGCTGGAATTATTTCACTCCTCGATGAGGAGGAGCCACAACTCAAGGTAAGAACCCCTTGCCTGAAAATATCTAACTCCACTGCAGGGGCATTTAAGTGTCAGGTCATATTATGCAACATTAGGTATTTTAAAATTTCATGTGATTTGTTGACTTGGAATGGTACCCAAGATACTGGCTCTTTTTTCAGGTGTTAGAATAAAGGTTTCACAATGTATATGCAATGTGTATGCAACACACAAAACAGTCTTATTTGTTTACATTTATTTCTTTAATGTAATTTTGAGTGCTGCTGCAACTGTTGCTCTCAAACACAATTACTAATACACATGTAATTTATTATAGATTTCCAGATCAAGGTTGACACAGAAGTAGTAAATCTTTATGAAAATGTTTGTTTCAATTGCAGGAGTTTGCTCTTCACAAGCTGGACTCCATTGTGAATGACTTCTGGGCTGAAATTTCAGGATCAGTTGATAAAATGTGAGTACTGTTAATGAGAGTATGTGTAAAATAGTACCATCATGCTGGTGTATAGAAGTTTTTTATGTGCTGTAGAGAGAAAAATGCACTTTAGCTTAAAATACACCAGTTATGAAACAAAATTACAGATGACTTCTCATTTAAGTGTCCATTAATCATGATGTTTCCTATGTGCAGTGAGGTCCTGTATGAGGATGAGACCTTTAGGAGCAGAGCTTTTGCTGCCCTGGTGGCCTCAAAGGTTTTCTACCATCTTGGAGCCTTTGAGGAATCTCTCAATTATGCTCTTGGTGCTGGAGAGCTCTTCAATGTCACAGATGAGTCAGAATACGTGGAGACCATCATTGGTGAGTTATCAAACAAATACTCGTCTGCCTTATTTTGCTATTTCTTTTTCTTTAGGTATCATGTGAAATTTCTCTATTAAAACACCTTTGACCCTTATGCTCTTACCTGAAATGTGCTGAATCCAGAAGTAAGTGGAAGCCTCTTTTTAATAACTTTTTGTGTGTTTTGCCAGCCAAATGCATCGACCACTACACCAAACTGCGGGTGGAGAATGCTGAGCTGCCAGAGGATGAGGAGAAGAAAAGCATCGACCCCCGACTCGAGGGCATTGTCAACAAGATGTTCCTGCGTTGCCTAGATGATCACAAGTACAAGCAAGCTATTGGCATTGCCCTGGAGACAAGGAGGCTGGATATGTTTGAGAAAACCATCTTGGAATCGGTAACTAGTTATTGTGATTGATAGCGCAGTCGCTGTCTCAACTTTTTAAAAAGTGTCTTCTTTAATTTTAACACTTTGAACATGATCAACTCATGGTACTCTTTATGGAAATACATTTTTTTCTTCATTTGTCCGTGATGAAACTGATTAAATGATTTTGTTCAGCTGTCCAGATTTCTGTCACTGCTCACTTGTTTAATTATATTTCTTCATCCCCCTTTGCAGAATGACGTGAGTGGCCTCCTTGCTTACAGCCTGAAGGTCTGCATGTCTCTAATGCAGAACAAAAAGTTCCGTAACGAGGTACTGCGGGTGCTTGTAAAGCTCTACATGAACTTGGAGAAACCGGATTTCATCAACGTCTGTCAGGTAACTATCAGACCATGGACACACTCATAGCATTAGCTCCTTGACTATCTCCACACATGCAGTAAGACCTTTATGAAGTAGGGCTCATTATTTCTCAACTAGTCATTTTTAAGCAAATCTTTTTTTAAATGTAAAAATTTCTAGAAGTTTTATGTCTCTTTGTTCAAGGAACAGTTAAATCCCACTCATAAAAAGTTTGGTGAAAAGATAAAAACGAAATATTTTTACTTTTTTGCAATATTATAAATGGAACCAGTATTTTGCCTTTCAAATTCAAGATTTTTATTTGGGTTATAAGTTCATGAAGCTGTTTTCACTTTATGCATATGGTTTTTCATGCTGCTGAACTGTAATACCTGTTGACCACACCCCTCCAAGCTGCATAACAGAAACACCTCTCTATGTAATGCAGAACATTTCAACAGCACCATAAACTACATAGTACAATATAGTAAAGTTTAATCCACACCTATCTGTTCATGAGCTCACTACTACTACATCCACTGTATTGGCAATCATTAACATCTAGAAGCCTTGCTTTATGCAAACTCTTACTTCACTCTCAGCTTTCAGAAATTGACCGTACCTTAAATCCCCTCTAATCAAAATTTTCCCTCTTTAACTCCCTAGTGCCTGATATTCCTGGATGACCCGCAGGCTGTGAGTGACATTTTGGAGAAGTTAGTGAAAGAAGACAACCTGCTGATGGCTTATCAGATCTGCTTTGACCTGTATGAGAGTGCCAGCCAGCAGTTCCTGTCCTCTGTCATCCAGAACCTGAGGACTGTGGGAACACCTATCCCTTCAGTCCCAGGCTCCACCAACACAGGCACTGTTCCCACACCAGAAAAAGAGGGGTGAGTGCATAAGAATGCACACCAGTTTCTAGTCTCAAGTAATATGTTTCGCAATATGTTGACAAAGACTCATCAGCTTGTTTCAATTAAAACGGATAAAATATCTGTTTGAACTTTCTGTGCAGCAAGAAATCAAGTAAAGCTTCAGTGTGCAAGTCCCAATCCAACAGAGTCAGAATGAGTGGAACTGAGCCTTACAAGCTCTGTTTTCTGTTGTGCAGATGTTGTACAGCATTGCTTATTCCCTCTGAAAGCTAAAGAAGTAAATGTAGGCATGTAATTATATACAGTATACACGGATTTGTGTTAGGAATAATAAAAGAGAACTAGAGTTACTAGCTGAAGCTGTAAATTAGCTAAGATGGGTCATTAACACCTTCTTGTGATGAAATTGATTTGTAATGACAAAAGTTGTTTTATGTGTGACAGTGACGCAATGGAGACAGATGAAAAGGCTGGCAGCTCCCCAGCTGGAAAGCCTGCAGAAACTGTAAGTTCTGTGGATTTTTTTTGTTAACCATAGTACTTTTGTTATACTATATGGTAAAAAAATACAAGGAAAGACTCTTTGTTTTGTTGTCCGCTCAACATGTTGCTTCTCTTTGTTTTTGTAGAAGGATGAGCCTAAAGATCAGAACGCCAAGATGATCAAAATCCTTAGTGGAGAGATGGCTATTGAGCTACACCTGCAATTCCTGATCCGAAATAACAACACAGATCTCATGATCCTCAAAAACACAAAGGTAATTTTACCAGCAACACGGATGCTTCATCAGCACTTGTGAGAAGAATGTTTTCGGCTGATGAGCTGCTGATAACTGTACTATACTGGTCTGTGTTTTCTGTGATGGCTTCCAGCTCAGTCTTAATAATCACATCATTTTTTCTTTTCTCTTTTACTTCAGGATGCAGTCCGAAATTCAGTGTGCCACACAGCCACAGTAATAGCAAACTCCTTCATGCATACAGGAACTACGAGTGATCAGTTCCTCAGGTAATTGTGTTTTCACAACAAAATTTTCTTTAGTGATTTGCACATTGAGATCTAAAGACAATAAAACACCTGGTTGAGATTGACTCTAGTTTTTTTCCTTACAGAGAAAACTTGGAATGGCTTGCAAGAGCCACCAACTGGGCAAAGTTCACAGCCACTGCAAGTCTGGGTGTCATTCACAAGGTACATTTGTCCCCCCCAAAAAATTGTGCAATGATGCCAATCAAAAAAGTGTGGTAAGTGTGACCGAAGATTGAATTTTGAACACTACCTGCCCTTTTTTCAGGGTCATGAGAAGGAGGCTCTACAGTTAATGGCCACCTACTTGCCCAAAGACACCTCACCAGGCTCAGCCTACCAGGAGGGAGGAGGCTTGTACGCACTGGGACTCATTCATGCCAACCATGGAGGGGACATCATCGACTACCTGCTCAGCCAGCTCAAAAACGCCAGCAATGATGTGAGTATTATTTGCGTACTTGTGTACTGAGTTATGGGTTGATTTTGACGTACCATCAGAGGAGTACAACACAGAAAAGCCATAAGTTGAAGTTTGTGGCTGAGATCAGGAGCAAGAGTAGGTCAGTCAGTTTACATATACATGTTTACATAATGTTTAAATAATTGAGTTATAACATCAGTCCAACCAAAACTTGGCTTTTAAAGTACGTGTACACACGTTTATGTGGCTGAGTTTGCACCAAGTGGAATTTCTCGATGTCCAGCCAACATACCAAGATAATGTGGTTGGAGTTGATTTTACTCCTGCATATATTTATTTTAATAGGACCCAAACTAGTCTTAACTTCCTGTATATGTCACACAGTTCTAATGAAATAATATCACAGAGGAAGCTTGGAAGTATACAGATTAATAACAGAAGAAAAAGAACAGAAGCAAAAATGATCCATCTCTTCATGTCTGATTTTTTTATCCTGTTTGACAGATTGTCCGTCATGGTGGTGCTCTTGGCCTTGGTTTGGCTGCGTTGGGAACAGCTAGGCAGGATGTTTATGATCTTCTGAAGTCCAACCTGTACCAGGATGATGCTGTTACTGGTATGTAGGCTTCATACAAAATGTTTTTTTTTTTTTATATAACAGGGCTTACAACCCCTGACTCATAATAATAATAACCTCTAAACAAAATAACCAAATGTGTTATTAGCATTTTTACATGATATACTTGTTTATTTGGCCTGTTTTATTCATTCAGATAAAATGTGTTAGTATGTCCGTGCAACCGCAATGTTGAAAGAATTACAGGATACTTGTTTTTCAAATACAGTCGTTTGGCTGAACAAATATAGACATATAACATGTACTGTCTTGAGCATATTATTAGCCCATTATTCTAACCATTATTGTTAATATTTATGACATTTGGTTTAGTACTGTGGTCTCATGAAACTGGGAAAAATGCTCAAGAGGAATAATAAGCCATACTGACTACAACATGTTGACCTTTTAAGGTGAGGCTGCTGGTCTGGCCCTTGGTCTTGTCATGCTGGGCTCCAAGTCAGCCCAGGCCATTGAGGACATGGTCGGATACGCTCAGGAGACACAGCATGAGAAGATCTTGCGCGGTCTGGCGGTTGGAATTGCTATGGTCATGTATGGACGCATGGAGGAGGCTGATGCCCTCATCGAAAGCCTCTGCAGAGACAAGGTATGAGGTCAGGGCTAAACAGAAAAGATCTGGAAAAAGTCGTGAAAGCAGTAAACTTTAGGGTGTAGCATGGAGCTTGAATATATGTGTTGCACAAGAAAGGGAAAGGCTGTTCCACTGTACTCTGTACTGTACTGTGTTTATTATTGTAGTTTATCCAGACTCAAAGTCTCAAAGCTCTGCTTTCTTTCATTTTCAATGGCAGGATCCTATCCTGCGGCGTTCTGGTATGTACACAGTGGGTATGGCCTACTGTGGCTCCGGGAACAACAAAGCCATCCGACGCCTGCTACATGTCGCTGTGAGTGTTTCCTGTTTGGCTCTCTTCTCAACACATTATTTCACTGTTGGTAAGACAAGTTTATCACACTGGCAGTGGAGCAGAAACCTACAACCGGGGCTAATGTAGCACATAAGTGTTTTTCTATTCCTGCCAGAGGCTGAACCAGGTCTTCTAAATCCATTCAGTGCAGTCATTTCTTTTCTCATCTATATCAATGATGACAGATGTTGCAGGGATTCAGTAGTGGGCAAACTCTGCAAACTGAACTATGGAAAATAACATGATGACTGAACAGGCTGAAGAGCTGTAAAGATGATATGATTTTAATTAAATTGGATTTCAAAAGTAGCCACATCAAGCACCTAGATGTCAACAACTTGTCCTGTAGGGGGCATCCCAGTCGAGTAAAAGTTACTCCATTGTAGTGTCCAGTGTGTGGTTGCTCTTGTGCAATACAGGAGTAACATCTAAGGATGATCCCATTAACAGTGTTGGTTGGTTGACTGTTTTGGTTGTCTTTTTTTAGGTCAGTGATGTGAATGATGACGTCAGGAGGGCCGCCGTTGAGTCCATTGGCTTCATCTTGTTCAGGTAAGATCCAGACTTGATTATTTTAACTATAAAATCTCTGTTAAGTCTCTTCACATGCAACAGAAACCTTAGAGATGGATAAAAGTTCAGTAATTTTCCTCCCTCAAACAAATGAAAACAAATTGTCTTTTTGTTTCCTTAAACGTTATCAACATTTCCATTAATGTTTATCAGTTTCCAGCTTGCCTTTAAAAACCTGAACTTGAAATGAACCCTGAAACAATCTTATCTGACCATCTTTGATAAGTACCAGTAAAGAAGAGTGACATCTTTTAACAGAACATCATGAATGCACCTTAACAATGTGCACACTCAGCTCTATTTTTTGGTTAAAAAAAAAAAAAAGCAATTCTTATGTTTTAAAGAAAGAGGATGATTTACATCCTCTGTTCTTTGTTTGATTTCACAGATTTTACCTCTGACGAGATTTAGCTAACACTAATGATGATAAAATATCTAAGATGCTCTGTAGACTGATATCAAAAACCTTTAACTTCTGAATCGCCATCAAAGGTATCTCTTTGCTAGAAGAAGACAAACCAATCATTTTTACCCACATTGACTTCCGATGTGAATTAAAGGGCCTTCACACTCTTAACAATCAGACCCCCTTAAGCAGAATATTTTTTTTTTATACCCAAAAAGGACTGGGTGGTGTTCTACAGGATCAGATGTTTGTTAGATGAACTTAGTGTGGATCTCTCCTGCATTTAGAAAGACCTCTGAACCGTAATAATTCTGTCAGCCTTTGCCCCTCCAACCTCCCACCCCAATAACTTAATAACTCCCTCCACTCGCCGAAATGCACACTTGCAGACAATGGGGACAGCTTTGAGTTCAATCGTCTCAAGTCTCTGCGATTTTTCCAAGATCAACAGTTCCTGTTTGTGAACAATAGACAGGGAGACGGGGTCAGTCTAGACAACTATAAAACACTGACACAGTCCAAACCCACATACCAAGACCGCTGAGTGTCATCCAAATCTCATATATCTTGCCTCTCTAAACAATGATGCCTTTTTTAGTGAACAAGATTTAATGTAATTGTATTTGGACATCTACAGAATTTTTTCTTAGAAATATACGTCGTTGAGACGATGAAAGTAAAAATAACTACAACAAGTGGAGACAAAACGGCACTAGTCTTTTTTCGGTTCAGCAACACGCAATAAAACATTTTATTGGACACAGTAAGATTTAATCTGGAGTTTGTTCTTTCCTATATACAGTCTTTCAACTCAAAACTTTAAACATATCAAAACATCAAGATACAATTCACATACATGAGTGCTTTTTGAAGGTCCAGCATATACAAAAAGTTGTGTTTCCGGAGTGCAATACATTATATTTGTCTGCTTCCTGCAGAGTTTTGAAGGGTGGAATTTGTCTTTGAAATATAAATCATGTGAACAGAGGCTGTCGACCGCGTTTTTAGAGAGTTTCCAGATTATTATAATGTCTTAGTTCCTCACATTTTATTTTGTGGCAGGAACTCCAAACTTTGGAAAACTAAAGTAGTAAGTAGTCCCTCACTGTGTTTGAATTTTAAAAAATACCATTAGTATGGTGTTTCTATGGACACATATGCAATACAGTAGCTTTGTGTGTTTATAAAACTTTGCCTGGTTTTACCTTAGAAAAGTTACTGATAAAAATAAGCAGCAGGATCAAACCTCAACATGCTCAATGTTGTTTTTGCACTGGTATCATAGGTTTTGCCAATCAAATTGAGAGTGGAGGCAAAACACCTTTTAGATTGATCGTCGTTTTTTTATCCTTTGCTCTTCAACAAAACCAACATAATGTTTGCACTGTCAATTTGAAATATTTAAACTGCTCCCCTTGACCTGGATTCATTTGTCTGCAATTTCTATACACAGCTTATATGTTCCTCATGCTTTTCAGTTTCATGCTCAGTCAGAAGTATCGTGTCTAACACCACCCCACTGGGTAGCTGTGTAGGTGCTTGTCGGCACCTCGGGGGACTTGGGTAGCTCACTGCTCCGATGCCGTTCTTCATTCCCCGCTTCATAAATAGTTTAGAGTTTTCTGCCATAGAAGATTTAAATGAAATCCTCGTAAGGGTCCGATCTGTATTCGATGCCCTTGGGTGCCTCCCTGGCTTGTAACTTGCACAGGACTTGTAATTACAGGTGATGTAACGTGCGAATGCTTCCCTGAAAGTTTTATTGAACAAGGTGTAGACCAAAGGGTTGATACCTGACGACACATAACCCACCCAAACAAAGATCTCCATGAGGCGGGAAATTAAATGAGCATCACAGCTGGTGCAAAGCACAGAGGTGATATTGGTGATAAAGAAAGGGCACCACATGACTACAAACAAGAGGAAAACAATACCAAGCACCTTTGAGGCCCGCTGCTCATTGCTAAGAGTCTGCATCGACTTCTTGCCCATAGTCGACATTCTCCGAAAGGTTAACTCGTCCTCTGTAGGAGAGTTCATTGGTCCCGCGTTTGTTTTTTCCCGCATCCATGGAAGTTTGTTATCCAGCATGTTCAGTTGTCCATCTTCAGGTGGGGCGAAGGCTTGTTCCCTTTTAAAAACCGTCGAGACAGTCGGATAGTTAAAGCGCTGAGCCACCTTTGATTTGAGCAGATAAACCTTTTTGCGCAACACCTGAACAGTTAGTAGGTAGATGACCATCATGATGGTGAGAGGGATGAAGAAGGCAACCAAGGAGCCAAACATGATGAACTCCCGGAAGGTGTCAGTTTTGAGGAGGCATGTGTGGTTGCTGTTAAAGGTGATGTTGTTGGGATGATGCTGGTACTTAAGCCCCTTAATTGGGATTGGGATTGCAATGCCTGAAAAACGACAGAAACTGTATATCAGGAAACTTTTCAAGACAGAATATAAATACATTAATGTTTAATTTTAACTCCAGCTACTGTTGGCTGTCTGACTATCAGGAAAAAACATTCTTGTGTAGTTTCGGCAAAACCGAAACTTAAGTATCCACTACAAACTCCAAAACCAACATTTTCTCCTCACTTCTGACCTGCCGTGAACCCTCTTAAACTGAGCACCAGTATAAAGTTACATTAAAAACTCTCCTGCTTTCAGCAGAGTTAAGTGCTGCTATCCTCTTTGTGAATGATCTTCTGGCTTTGATCATGAAATGAAGCTCAAAGGAAACCAAACCCAAACAGTCTGCACCTTTATTGGCCTGAGTACTAGACACTCTTCAATACACTAACATTGATAATAACCGTGTTTATTTTTAGTCTCTTTTTGTAGAGCTTAAAGGATCTTAAATGACCTGCAAGAATTTTGATAGACAAATGTTGTATAATGACTCTGAGTAAAGACTGAAAGTATTCATTTTGTTATTTGTGCGAGCTTTTGGTCTTTCAGTCTGTTCATCACTCACAAAATCTTTTCCTGTTCCCCTCTGTTACAATAACTAGATGGTACTTTTCACAGGTCTGGGGCCTGTTCTACGAAGCAGGTTCAACTCAGCGAGGTAGGCTTGGAGCTACCTCGCTCAACTTTAGCGCGGTAGCCAGCGGTCTCGCTACACGGTTTTACGACGCTGGTTATCAACCTCATAAGTGGATCCAGCTCTGCTATGAGCGCGTGCACACATATAAGGCGGAGCCCGCCGCATCTGACCAATCGCGAACATGGATCAGTCTGGAGCGTCAGAGCAGGCTGGAGAGTGAAGGACCGCTGACTTTACAAACGAGGAACAGGAGACGATCATGAGAAAGTATGAAGAATTGAAAGCTATCATAAACCTCAAAAGCAACACCGTCGCCGCTACAAAAGCACGGAGGGAATGCTGGCAGAAAAGTAATCTTTGATGTCATTATCACCCTGAAATAGCACTGTTCAACATGCGCTTTTAACTAAGGTGACAGTCCCCGAATTGGATGATCTGTCCCCGGCTAAAGCTGTCCCCGAAAATGTCCCTGATTTAAGCGTTTCATGAATGAGAACAAAAATGTTGCATGTGGGCAATAACAACGGTTGTTACAGTGGGTAGGAAGCACAAGTAAGCAGTCCTGAACAACAGTATTTACGGGGTTATTATAAGGGGCGTGCGCTGCTACTAAATAGTACCGAGATGTTGTCTGTGATCGCGCAGCCCATGCCCATTCATTCCCAAGATGAATCATTCATTTGTTCATTCCTATCGTGTAATATGTCGGCCATATAAGCCTTTCATAAAGGTGGTCATCCGGAGAAAACTCTCCCTGAAAACTCTCGCGAGCCGGAGTGCTCCTCCTCGGACAATGCGAGCACTGAGGTCTACAGGATCCTCCAAGAACGGACAAGCCGTTTTTCGAGAGAGCTCATTGGTCAGTGGGCGGGGTTTTTATACTCTGTGAGTTCAATCTGGAACTCAGCCCCGGAGCAGTTTAGCCGTTCAGCGTATGTTGCTATGGAGACTCGCCTCGCTAAGAGGTGAACCGCTAAGCAGTAATCCTGCTTCGTAGAACAGGCCCCAGGTGACAGGATGACCCTCTTAACTACTTCATTTCCCATTTAAATACATTATAACAATCGTTTAAACATACTCTCTGCTTTATTTTGCCCTCCGTAGTCTCTTGTTATTCTATGAAAAAAGTGAAGCAAACCAGTAGTGCTACATAAAATTTGTATTTGGTTCAGGAAACCTTAATGCTTACCAATAGAAATGAACCACACGAGTGCGATTTTCAGCATTGCTTTGGCTCTAGATTTGTACTGGCTGTGCTGGATTGGCTTCTTGATTGCAATGTAGCGATCCAGGGAAATGGCGCAGAGGTGCATAATGGAGGCAGTAGAAAACAGCACATCTAGAAACAGCCAGATGGGGCAGAGAGACTCCGGAAAAGGCCAGTCAGAGTCTGAAAAGAAGATAAGAGAAGGTGAAGAGTCAAGTTAGATGATAAAATGTGGTAACCTGTGTGCATGAATGATCTTTCATCCCAAGACTGAATTGGTTGTGTTTACTACAGTTCATTGGAAATGCACCACAATAGTTAAGGATTAAAAGCAGCACTAATGCAAAAGGGTAGTTTTTATTTATCCCTCAGAGGTTAGCCTAACTGGAAGAGAGAAAGAGGTTCACAGAATGTTTATGGAGCAAAAGGCTCTTTATGAAGATGTCTGGGAGTCTATTCTCTACAGTAGTGTTTATTTTCAGTCTCAAACTATCGAAAATGGCCATAAATTGTTATGGCTCTTGACCTGTTGCCCATTAACTTGCGAAAGATGGAAATATCCTCTTTAAAGAACAAGCTGAAGACTTTCTTTCACCAGCTTCTTGTCACACTTGAGGGAAATTTTGAGTCATAGTTTACTTTGTGGTTTCTCATGGAAAACTTTTTCATTGACAAATAATGGTGCTGAATTCCCTCCAGTTAACACTCTGTACCTGTTTACAGAGTTTCACGCCAAATTCAATAAACACTGTGTCACTGGCAAGGAACTGTTGAAGGAAACATCAACAGAATTAACAAGTAACTTTTGGCAGCCCTCAAAAAACTGTCAGAATGAGTATTTTATCACAGCCCCTGGTACTAAAACAAGCAAGTTTATATCAGTTTCACAGACGTGTTAAAGACGAAACAAAAACACTTAGCTGAGGACTGTATAAATGACTATGCCAGAAAAACAATAAACACTAGATGTTTGTTTAAAACAGTATACTTAAAAAAGCAGCAGCAAGTTTCTTTGTCATTAGCTCCTCAGAAAAGGGATCCAGACCATGCTGTACTATGTTTCTGAGTTTACAGCAGCATGCTCATTCCTTTAAAACAAGCTGATCATTGACATATCTTCATGTTTTATCTGTTTGCTTTGAATTCTTCTTTTCGGCTGCTGTGGAAAAAACAGCTGCTGCTGTCACTTTTTGTCTTCAAAAAATGAATCTGTAATGACAACAAATGTCATTTAACCCCTGCATTGTTTGTTCATAGTAAACTGATCTGATAGAAAACTCCCCACCACACCCCTGTTTGGGCCTGCAGCCACATTTGTCCAATGATATCCTCTTAAAGCCTCTCTTTACATGCTTCTGAAGCTGATAACCCAATGATGCAGTTCTGAAATGGTGAATAGGTGTCCATTCTGTTCAGTGCTTCTTTATGTGAAGGTTGAGTTTGCCCTTCCTGCTGTCTTGAAAGCAGGACAAGAGGTTGTGTGTATGAGGTCTGGTGTACAGTTTTTCATTCAAATCTGACTGGATTTGAATGAAACAGGAACGTGGGACCTGTTGAGTTATGCAGAGTTAGAGTTTAACACATGTTGTCATGTAAAACCTACATCTAAGAGACCAAATGGAGTTCTGTGCCAGTGCCAAAATATTGTAATTTTTGTAAGATGAAGTAAAGATAAGGTTTGTTTTATTTCAGCAAAAGTAAACAGACAAATGCTAGAGAGAGGATCTTTGGTTTTGTAATCAAACACAGACAGTGTGCAGCTGTACTCTGTTTCAGTTCTGCAGCTGGACTCAAACAAAAACTCTCTTTTTTTCCATATTTTTTGCAATTATGCCAATTGATAATGATCCCTTTAAACAAGACAACCAGGACGAGCTGTGTATCTGCTGCAGCGGTCCTGCCAGAGGAAGGAGGATGTTTATTGTCAACCATCTTGGTATATTTCATCTTGAATAATTTGTTTAAAGGTAATAGAGATTTTATCGGCTGTTGTTTACAAACTATTTTTGCCCTCCTTTGTTACCTGTCACTTTGTTTGTCTCTGTAGATAATGGGGGTTAGTCTCAGTCTCTCAGTGTAATGGGAGAAAGTGTTGATGTGAAACATTTCCTGTTTGTGTTTGCCGCTGCACCCTGAACCTGCTCTTCCACTCTCTGTAAAACAAGTCGTCTCGGCCGTTTGCAAGTATATATCAACTGCGTTTTATAGATCTTAATGTCAAGCACTTTATTTATTTTATTTATTGCACAGATGTGTTTTAGAGATGAGACAGACTCTGGGTTTTCCAAACACCAGGCTATTTGCTTAACTTACTGTAAAGGATAGTGACAAGAGCGATGGGCATCACCAGGAGTCCCACCAACAAATCAGCCACAGCAAGAGACATCAGAAAGTAGTTTGTTGCGTTCTGCAGCTTCCGTTCTAGTGACACGGCAAGAATGACCAGGATGTTTCCTCCAATCGTGGGGATGATCACCATGACAATAAGCAGTGCAGCCCATTTTAGTTGAATCCCGGGTGCTTCTCCTGACTGCGAGCTGTTGGCCTGCAGAGGTGCCGGGACTGCTTGAGACATGGTGCTGCAGAGCTAACAGCAGGCCGTAGTGGGGGTTGTGGCTCTGATCTATCAGGTGATGGACACTTGGTCAGCATGGTCACTGGGTCCCACCGACAAGGACACAGGGTAGGACCAGTTAGTGCACGGGATGCTTCATCCTTTGTGCAGAGTACAATCCCAACATATGAGCTAACTACAAGAAAATCCACTGCTCTGAGGGGACAAAAAAAAAACAGGTCCAGTACTCAAAACTCCAACCCAGGCAATAATCCAAACAGAACCGTTATATCCACAGTTAGTTGGAACAGCGGTCCTCGCTTTCCTGGGGACCTGATCTTCTGGTCATCCACTACATCCGCTTAGAAAACAAACAAACAAAAAAAAACTGTTAAAGGTAAAGTGATATTTTTGAGTGTATTCTCGAATTCTTCTCACTGATAGAGAAACAAGATATTCATCGCAAAAAAAATAAAAAGTCTGTTTTGTGGCGACCATTATAGTTTCTTCACTGTGGCATAGAAATTTGTTAGGCTTGGATATTAAAAGTTACAAGATTAAGTGGAAAAACACTTTTTTATTAAGGTAGTAAACTGTTGCGGTTTTGTCATTCATATACATCTGAAACTAAAAACCTTTTTACATACAAACGCAGGTCGAGCATCATGAGGAATTTTTAAAGTCCTCTGTGAGATGAAAAGTACATGATTTGTCTCACTCTGTCTTAACTTCATAGACTTTTTAACTCTACAAAAATGTACATCATCATACCTTTACAGTGTCTAAAATCAAAATCCAGTTGCTGTGTAAGTTTCTTACCTGCCTCTGAAGGAAATGTGTTTGAAGCATTTGAGTCCCCCGTTGCCTTTTCGACCCTAAAAAGCAGTTTCCCAAGCCGCCACGTCTCAACTTCCACTGACACTGAAGCGGAGTTTTGTGCCGGAGGAACAGTGGAGCTTTATGCCCAATGTTTTCAAAACTTTGCACGCCTCCATAGTTTTAATACTATTTTCAAACTCCCCTTCCTCATCTTTGTATTTCCTCACTACCAAATAAGAAAGTGGTAGAGAATGCCTTCCTTCAGCGGCAAAACCTAAATCTGTCTCTGGCTGAAGCAGTCCATGGTGTGGAATTTGTTTTGCTTCCACATGTTGGAGGAACCCCCAGTCTCGCTTCGCATCACATACGGCGATCACAGGTTTAAAACTTCCAGCTGTTGCGACTCCTCTGCCTCTCTCACTCTCATCTGCTGCCCCTCACTCAGTGCCTGGGATCAGCTCACACTCTTTCCAGTCTTGTTCAGCGCTCGCTTTTCCCCTCCCTTCTCTCTGTCTTACCCACTGAGTCAGACTCTGTACAAAACAGATGAATGTCTTCATGTTGGCAACGTGCCAGTGGTTCTGGGAGGTAATTTCCTTTAACACAGCCATCCCACTGTTTATATTTGTCACCTTCTGTTCTCCATACGAAGCCTGCAGAGGTGGGGGTTGAAGTGGTTGTATATAGGGTGAAGCCCTCCATGTGATAGGTTCTTAAGAAGTTGCACCCCACAGAGACTGCCTCTCATAATTAAGTGGTTTCTAAAGTTAGAGTCGATTTATTTTGTCTTTTGATTTTTTTTGCCTTGAGTTAAAATAAGTGTTTTCCCTCTTTGTACACTTGTTGTTCAACTTCATATTTAAAGATGTGAAAATATGTATTCAGAGAGTTTACAATAAGCAGAGGACAGTGAGTGATTCTTCTCTCCGCTAGAAAATGTAAGAAATGCAGCCAATAATCCCCCACTTGAATCCCTGAATCTCTCCCAGCAACGAAAGAAACAGGCTCGCTCCAAAACCATCACAAGGTTCCCTGTTCTGTTTCTGTCAGACTCTGCTTTGTCCTTGTTTTCCCTTCTTTTAGGGTCTTTAATCTCAGGACACTGTACGTGCCATTTTAAAACTTTTATTTTAATCCTGAAAATGACATTTTAACGTTTCTGTTGCAGTGTGCTAACTTCTGCTGTCAACACACCAAATGCATGTCACACTTTGACAAGATACCCACTGTAGCCGACCCAGATTGCTCCACTAGATATAATTATGTTCCCTCGGATGTGGCAAACAGTAATTATTGTACCTGTAAGATTTGATCAAGTATTGGGTCATACTGTGTTATTTCAGGAATCAGAGAATAAGCCTTTTTGCAGCCTTCTTTTGTTTCCCTTTTGTCAGATAGGTATTTATTTTTGTGTATTTGTGTGACTGGTTATAATAGATAGGAAGCAAACAAACGAGATTTGGTACAATGTTGTAGATGCATTGATAACTCCCAAAATCAAATTTCATGTGGCAATATGCTGCTTTAATTAATTCAGCAGAGCTCTATCCCCGCTTCTCGTGCTTCTTTCATGGCCCCTCAATGTGTGTGTTTCCCCTCAGGCCGCAGCCTGGGAGCAGCAGTCAGAGGGAGTTATTAAGTTGTAGCTGTGTCACCGTCAGCTTCATTTCACTAACATCATAATAAATGTGAGCCATGCACATATGGTCATACAGTACATAAACCGGTCAAGTAAAAGCCTTGGGTGTTTTTGGATCCCTCGGGTAAATATTTGCCATTTTGCACATAGGGCTACTAAAGTCATAAAGTGTGTATATTTAACACAGGGGTCCAAACACAGGAGTGACACCATTCACTGCTGAAGGGATAATTGTTTCCAGGTCATGATGGATGAGTTGGTCATGCCCCAAAAAAATAGGAGAAGAGCTGGTGAGGTTGAAATATCTAAAACCGGGTCAAGTGTAATCCGACACCTTCCATTCATAATGCCCTGTCTTTTTTTGAATAAGTGCTGAAGGCAAACCAACAGTGAGGGGATTTAACCTTTCATTGTCTCTTCTTTCATACTCTAGTTTGACCGGTTTGTTTGGAAAAAAGCTGAAACCTCTTAAGTTGAAAATGTTGCAGCTCCATATAGTGATTTGTGCTGCGTGTCATGATGTTGGCGGCTTTACTGAGACTAAAGGACCCTGGATGATTGGACCTCAGTGTTTTCTTGAATTTTACATAAAGATTTAGTGTTCAAAAATACAAGTGTATGAAACACTTCAAACCATTAGCTCACCTGATGAAAAGTGATCTTGAAATTTTCCTTTGTAAAACTTTGCTGACAGGCTAGAAGTGTGCTGACTCTGTCCCATACATCCCCCCTCTGACATGGTCAACATGTGGCCTCTTAGCCTTTAACAACGAATGGTCGTGAGCCTTAACTCCCTTTTTCTTACACCCGGCACTCACCAAAAGGTTTTTTAACCCTAATAGATTAAGGAAATATCAACAATTAAAGATATATTTAATGTTCCTAGAGTATGAAGTGCAGTGAGACGGCCAACATAATACATTACACACTGATAGGTTCTGTTACCAACAAGTCCCCTCTCTCACAACTGGAAATCTTCTCTTGTTGAACTAAAAATTTCTCTTCTACTCTTCTCCCAGTCAGTCTGTGGTGGAGTATTCTACAGGACACGTGGGTCCTCTATTTCTGATATCTACTTCATTTTATTCATCGGGTTTACTTTAGTCACCATGGCTGCGATCATTGTGCTGCCTCCTTACAGCTTGCTTTGTGTTTGGCTCTGGGTCTGTTCCTCGTGACAGATCACAGCTGTCTACGGAGTTTCCCCCCTCACAACAGGATATCTGATTGTAAATATTGACCTTATTTAATATTTGCGATCCTCAAAATGGTGTGCTATAGTCCTCTTCCTCACACCACAGGAGAATCTGGAGTGATCCTCTTTGAACGAATCAAAAAATCATCATGTTGCTGACTTTTTGGGACCCACAATTTGCCTTCAGTGTTAGCTCACTATGTTTTTCTCTTCCCCTCTCTCTTTTTCTGTCTTCAGGACCCCTGAGCAGTGTCCCAGTGTGGTGTCTCTTTTGTCGGAGAGCTACAACCCTCATGTGCGTTGTGGGGCTGCCATGGCTCTGGGCATCTGCTGTGCTGGGACAGGCAATAAGGTGAGAGTCTCCCTTTTCTCCAGGAAGTTTGTTCGTTTTGCCACATTGATAAGCAAGAGGCAGGTCAGTTTGTTTAGTGAGTGGAATAGAAACATTGTTCACCAAAATACAGATGAAAAATATGTAGAGTACCATCACGAAACATGTAAAGTCAACTCGAGTTGTAGGACTGTTTGATTTTATTCACACAAGCCTCTTGGCGATTTTTGAATTAATACTAATTTAAACTTGATTTCACACTGAGGTTCAAACCTGAAGGAATACCACTGTAAACTGATTAAGAGAGTCAAAGCAGTGTTTCCTGTATTGACCTGCGCTGCTGATTCGGCACGACAGTAAAAACCCCTAATTAAACTTCCCGACAGCCTATCAGGAACAGGATGTGGTTGGCTGGTGTTAGCTTTACACTCGGACTTCTCATCCCAGCACGCGGCTGTCTCAGCCAGCTGGGCTGAGAGCGCGGATGAAACATGGTTTATTTTACCTCCACTCATCATCATCTTAGTTTGTTTCTTTTTCCTCAACAAAGCTCGCGCCTCCCTCAAAGTTTTCTGGTGTGGATTTCAGCTATTACCGCTCAGCTAAAAACAGAGGAGAGAGGAGCAGTAAAACGAGAAATCAGTCGATCCTTCCTCACTTTTTACAGTCCCATTGTTTGCCACCTTGAGAGGAAACTGAAGACGGCAGGACCTGTCATAACTGTTACACAGTTGTCCTTGGCAACCAGATATGGATGACACTAATGTCATTAATTTGTGTGGTCTGGTTGTCTCTGTTAATAATCTGTCTTCCTGTAATTCTCCAAATGAAAATCGCCTTGTTGAACTGAACCACTCTGTTGCTCAAGAAAAATAGAAAATGTGTTTGGAGGAAAAATTTTAAACAAGACAGTTTCACATCAATTTGGATCTAAAACAGTTTTTAAAAGTACAGATTTTTACAACAACAGCAGAATTGAAATGAAAGTTTTTGATCCCTTTTTCGGGAATTGAGTTGATTGGGTGAAAATAAAAAATCAGGGTTAGCTGTGACTTAGTTTACACATAAAACAAAAAAATTGGGCTTTAATCCCTGCGACAGAAATGTGTCTGTCAGGCAGAGGTCTTTTTGTCTTATTGATCATGAGTAAATCAGAAAAGAAAAACAAAATCCCTGTGTGTTTAATTTGTATAAGTTTGATAATAAACCATATTAAAGTATTCTCCAAAAAAGAAGCTTACAAGAATTATATTTCCCTTCACAGGAGGCCATCAACCTGCTGGAACCCATGACCAACGACCCAGTGAATTACGTGAGACAGGGAGCCCTCATCGCCTCCGCCCTCATTATGATTCAGCAGACTGAGGTCACTTGTCCCAAGGTGAGGCCAAAATGTGCTCTTGCTCACTTGCATACTAACTTACATACTTACTTAGTCACTCTTAAGAATTTTTTCCTATCTATTGAAATATAAATTATTTTTAATTGATCAAGTGTTGCAGCCTTTTCAGAGTTCATGTCTCTGTTGTGGTTTAGAGGATATCACTGAAATGACCTTTTAGATGTGAAGTGGTTAACAAGAATGTCTCCAGCTCAAAGACACACTGCTCTGTTTTCTGTCTACGTGATATGTTGACTATTTGTGAGTTAGTAACATGCCTCAGGGATTCTTGAAATCACACTAAATACAGTTGGGACCAGACTTTATGTGAGTAAGAAGTAGAGGGATTTGTCCTGCACAAAGGTATCAAACTGTTTAAACCTTTTTTTTTTTCTTTTCTTTTTGAAGACTGGAGAGTGAACTGAACTGCATGCAGTCAGAGCACCTCATACTTTCTCACAGACAGTTAAGGTTAGCCAGATACATCTTTAAAGAGTCCTAATCTGCTCAGCAACAGTTCGTAAAACTCAGGTCAGTCTGCAGGATTGCGCAAGAGGATTTTTTTTCGCATTTACAATAAGTGGAATGTGAAAAGGTATTACACCCCCGACTGTTTATTTCAAAGCATTAGACTGCTCAACTTCAAAATCTGCCTCACAGCTGAGGGCAGACGTCTGAGGTCTGTAGCTTTAGGGAGGAAAATTAGGCCAAATTGTCTGAAAACTACTTAGCAGTGTTTTCTCAAAGTTTGAGTTACGCTGTTAGAGTTTGGACTCCCACAGAGTCGTCATCTCAGCGTGGCAATGCTGATGTTAGCTGCATGTATCGTGCTGACAGACTGCAGTAAAGTCTGTAAAAGTCGAGCTTAAATATGCAACATTTACAGACTGAAGGAGAGGAGGAGACAGTTTTTCAAAGCCAGGCTTGCAGGGACGCTGACTCATGAGTATAATCTACAAAACAAAAACAAAGTGAAAGAACAATTTTCCTTTGTCACACATTTAGAGGAGAAAAAAAAGTCCCTACTACAAACTCTAACCCTCAGGTTCAAGAACAAAAAGAGCATGATTGACTACTGTCGACATGAAAGCTGGAATGTATTTGATATTAAAACTTCATTTTTATACCCTCTGTTTCAGGTGAACCAGTTCAGGCAGCTTTATGCAAAGGTGATAAATGACAAGCATGATGACGTGATGGCCAAGTTTGGCGCCATCCTGGCCCAGGGAATTCTTGATGCAGGTAAGTTCCCAAATATGATGACACTAAACGTCAGCATTGACCTGAATACAAAAAGTGCTAGTTCAAGGACCAACTGTTAGCTTGAAAGATACCGGCATGGTCTCCTCATGCTGGTACACACTCCGTCCTGCCACTTTACCTTTACCCTTCAAAGACGGAAGGACAAGACCCAATTCTGGAACAAGTGAACTGCTGTAATTGTAACTGTAATGTGGGTTTTTTATGAATATGTCTTAATTGGCAATTCGGTGCTCAAACAATCACAAAGTACCCCTCCTGGGTTGACCACCCATGCACAGTGTCTCTGGAATAGATCATGCCTCGCTACATTAGCGCCTGGCGTCGCTACCTGCGCTCCGCTCCACTCCGAGCCACATGGCCCGTTGGTTTCCCCCTGGTGATTGCTTATCGTCCTGTTGTCGCTGCAGCCTCTGTGTTTGTGTTTCTGTGTGAGTGTTTGTGGATACTAGCATGCCGGGTGGTTTTGTGTGTGTGTGTCTGTGGGGTCCTTGAGAGCTGCGTGTCGTTACGTAGAACCCCATGCAACACACCCATATCCTCATACAAACACTCAGTCATGAGCAGAGAGACGTTTTTTTAGCACTGTATGTTGAGCCTGAGAGAAACCAGCTCTCTTTACACGCTGCTGTATACATATTTTATCAGGTGTTCAAGTTTTTCTTTTTTTACGTATTTGTATCGCTTGAAACTCATTGTGCTGCATCATGAAATTTTACAGTTGCTTCCCGTTTTGCTCGGAGCAGATTAGTCATCTTGATGACAGACAGGACCTCAGTCATTTATCGAATCAGGCACATTAGCTGTGATGAACTAGCCAGACATGCCAAAATGACCCTAAGTGAGACCATCCAGACACCACCGGTGCGTTTTTTTTTTTTTAACCAGCAAGAACCCCTCCCCACTCTCCCGCTCAAAATCCAGCACCTAATACATAACCCATGTTTTTAGGACAGTTCAGTGAGACACTTGCAGTTTAAAAACATACAGACAGGAAACACGCCACTGCTGCTTGAGTGTCAAACATGTTTAAGCTTCGGTGTTATGAATGTTTTCCTGGTTCTTCTACGGAGCTAGGCGTTTTGGAGGTGCATGGGATATTGGGTAATTGTATTTAATTTGACAGGCGGAAGCGATTAGAGCCCGGCTTCGTGATTACTGGTGCTCATTACACAGGAAATATCCCTCTCTGTTGCTTGTTCTCTCACACACTCTCCATCTTATCCTTCATGCTCAGGCTGGATTTAACAGACTTTCTCCTCAGTAATTGATACAATCCACTGATTCACTCTGATTAGTCTTTTTTTTTTCATTATGAAACAACACGTGCTTTTCCTTCAGAGAAACAACAAAGCTGTTTACCCCATGTTCTGTCATTTAGCACTCATTTTCATATGTTATTCACACGGTTTGCACACTAAAAGTCGGCAAAAGCAGCAGAGGAGAACAGCTAGTCAAGCGCTCTCTACCTTTTGTCACGTTTTTAAGAGTCTTGAGTATCAAGTCGCAGTGCTGTGAACAGACCTTGTGACTCTCTGGCAAATGTTCACTCAGTGGGTCTGGAATGGTTTCAGCGCAGGTTCAGATGTCAAGGTAAAGCTATTGAAGCAGCTCGGTGAAAAAAAACAATGATTTTTACTGCTATGAGATGGAAGGGAAACTCCTTGGTAATCTACCCTTGCTCCAGAGAAAGTTTTTCTCTTCAATCCTGTAAAAATGTCAAGAGTGATCCTGTTTGCCTCATATCTGTTTTTCCTCCTCTTCCTTCTGTCCTCCCTTCTGCCAACACTCCTCACTGCTCCTCTCAGAAATTCAGGGAGAGGCTTTTTTTCTCTTTAGTACAGCCTCAAGGAGCAACCTCGGCCCATTTGTCACTTTCTTCTTTTTGGTCAGCTTGACAGATGAACTGATTTTGACCTAAGCGGTTTTTATCAGGAGCAGTCACAGAAAAGATCAAACACTTGACTTCACTGTTAGTGCAAAAATCCAATCTCAGATTCACACTGTATATTCAAAAGAAAAAGTCAATTTTTGCTACATAACAAGGTCAAACTTGTCACTTTTATAGTTTAAGTATTAACTTAAGTGCAGGGCTTGACACTAACTTTATTCAGAAGGAGATTTATTCAGCATGTGCTCCGAAGTTGAAAAAGTAAGGGGCACACAAAGAACTTTAGGGGCACAATGAAAATTGATCAAATATTGTGTCTCGTATCGGTCGACATAAGTGCTATTATATGAAATCAATTTTAGGACTTTTGGTCACATGACATGGAAGCTATTGAAAAAAAAGTTCAAAATTTGCCTTTAAATTTAACACAAAAATTTTTAGAGGACAAATTAGGGAAATACAGAGGTGTGTCTTATTGATCGACATAAGTACTATTATATGAAATCAATTTTAGGTCTTTTGGTCTCATGACAGGGAAGCTATTTTTTCAGAATATCAACTGGTAATTTATTGATGGTCCCTTATTCAACACCTGACGTTGACAGCGAGGGTGTCGAGTAGATTTAGTCGCGCTGCTGTTGCAATTCCCGGTTATGGAGAGTGAGAAGACACCGGTAGATCCACAGCAAATGTGTGTTGGATATCCAACCTAAAACCAACTTCACTGTGGTATTTACATTAAAAATCATTTGTTGCCTAATTTTTTTTATGCGCACGTGCCCATAAATACACTTTACAATTCGCACACTTCTATTTTTATTCGCAAATGCGAGTGAAACGGTTGCACTGTCGAGCCCTGTTTAAGTGTTAATCAACATTTAAAGCCTAAAAAAATCAGTCATTAAAAAGTTTCCCATGTGCTAGTTTTTCTAAGATTTCTATACATGGCCGATTGTCATTTCTTATTTCTGAGACACTAATGTATCTCTTGTCATGAAAACAGTTTTAACTCCCATGTCTGGTAACATCTCATGATGATAAATACAGTTTGCTTTTGAACCTTAAATTCAGGATGCTGTAGACAATGCACTCCTGGATTTAACTGGCTCAGCATTGATATAAATCTCCCTCTGGTGTCATTAGATAAGACAAGTTGAGACAAAAAGTCAACCTTTTCAGGGTGGTGACCATCCTGGTCTGTGACCTCATTAACCTCTCATCTTTCAACTCCTGTGCCAAGTTGACCTGTGCTCCTCCACAATCTGTGTTCACTATGACACAAAAGAGCCATGCACACCCACCAAGAAATGTTGTCACGCAAAGAGAAAAACCACATGTGTACTTCAATCCCCCTCTGCCTCATCTTCCCTCTGTTGTCCAGGTGGACGTAACGTGACCATCTCTCTGCAGTCCAGGACGGGTCACACACACATGCCATCTGTGGTCGGCCTGCTGGTCTTCACCCAGTTCTGGTTCTGGTTCCCCCTCTCGCACTTCCTGTCTCTGGCCTTTACACCAACTGCCATAATCTGCCTCAACAAGGACCTCAAGGTACTAAAAAAACTAGACTATCTGGGATGTTTGTGTGAGAAGAAACCATTTAACACATTACCCTCTTTGTTTGTGCTGAAGGAAGCTGACATTTTATGGGTTTTAGGATTTCATTGCCGCTCATTTCAGCTTCACCTGACATCACATTTCTGTGTCCGTACCGATTCAAGAGGAAGTCCTTAGTGATAAGTCCCCAAATAATCCCAGGACCAGGAATTCAGTTCAAAAGGAGGTGGGGGAAGCAGGGTTTAACAGACTTTGTGCTGAATGGTAAAACAGATGCTGACGAGCTCTGAGTGCAGCACAAAGTCTTTTCTGGTTTTGTCTCTCGTTATCGGACGGAGAATATCCCTTTCTTTTACCAGTTTTTCAGTTTTAGCCACAGAGTTTCAGGTGAGCTTATAAGGCAGAACAGGAGATCTCACTTCACACTGCAGTGAAACATCAGAATTATGAGGTGATAAAATAACTTGAAGTCCCCCCTCATCACATTTTGTGCTGCTCTTTTACCGTAGAGACTGTTTTGTCATTTGGTCTCAGAACACAGTTAAAATGTGAAGGTTCACACTGAACAGAAAACACCTGCTGCTGCTCTGACCGGAGATCCTCTTTGATGTTTGTCAAAGTTTAGCCGTCAGAGCACTTTCTCACTTTTACACCAAGTAAAGACAGCAGGTTTTAAGTTCAGGGAAGAGGAATAAGTGAATAAGTGCTTCCACTTTTGTGCGAGCAATTTATTGTAAATTTAACTTAAAAACCTACAGAAGCCCATAAACAGTATTTGCAGTCGTTTTGTGAAGCATAATGGTGATATGTAAAAGACTTCCTAAGAAAACTTTGACCTCCTACTGTGTATAAGAGTTGTTATCGTATAGGTCAATCTACATGATTTTACCCATGTAGGTTTACACATGTAGTGTGTTTACATGTTTTGCTTAGACTTTGAGAAATTCAACTTGGTGTGATTTCAGTCAATCTAATGTGTTTATCGGAGTAATGCAACAAATTGATTTCTTTACATCATGCTGATGGTTGATGAGCCTGGCGAGACAAGTCCAGGTGATGTAAATCTAATATTTCTCCTTCTGTCTCCTCGCTCAGATGCCTAAGGTGCAGTACCGTTCAAACTGTAAGCCCTCCACCTTTGCCTACCCGCCTGCTTTGGAGGTCCCCAAGGAGAAAGAGAAGGAGAAGGTGAGAACTGAGGGACAAAGGTGCAATGTCCCAAAAGATAAATTAACTCTTAATATTCTCTGAGGAATGATCCACTGAAAACTGACTTGACTTATTCTTGACTTGTAAATAAACTCTTTAGACTCATAATCTTACTGCCTCTAACATTAGTTTGGCTTTTTTGTTTTTCTCTTCTTCTGGTGCTTCATTTTGAAATCATGGATGCCGTCTGTGACTTTTGTTTTTTCACTGAAATTCTTTACATCAATGGTATCATCATATAATCGATATTCCCTCCCCTCTCAGGTATCCACAGCTGTTCTCTCCATCACAGCCAAAGCCAAAAAGAAGGAGAAGGAGAAGAAAGAAAAGGAGGAGGAAAAGATGGAAGTGGTGAGTGGAAACTTAGAGATCTTCTTTCCTTATCACTTTATGGTCTCTTTTTGATTCACAGACGACAAATCAAACTTTAACGGTGAAACCACAGACGTCTGAAGAAAACACAGCATGCATTCCTCAGTACAGAGGACAAACTCACATGACCCACCACGTTTGACCTGAAAATGCTGCCTCTGTGTCACAGGAAGTTCAGGAGGGCGAGAAGGAGAAGGAGAAGGAGAAGGAGAAGAAGGACGAAGAGAAGGAGAAAGAGAAGAAGAAAGAGGCGGAGCCAAACTTCCAGCTTCTAGAGAACCCAGCCCGAGTGATGCCGGCTCAGCTCAAAGTCCTCACCATGCCTGAGACCTGCCGCTACCAGCCTTTCAAACCGGTAACAACACACACCTGTCTGTCCGTGTCTGTGCTCATCTGTGGTCTGTGGTGAGTGCCACAAAGTTTAACAGCTGTACCTGGTCATCTTTGTCAAATCAGCAACAAACTTCTGTCCTCTGGTTGAATTGACTAAATGTGATGAAGCTGCACCAGAAACAGAGTCAGCTGAAATAATCTCAAAAATATTTGACGGATATTTAGTGATTTTTAAAATATCTATAATATTTTTTTTGCTTCATTTACATCCAGATCTAGTCTGACGGTTGATTTTTGCCTCTGTCAAACATCTCCAGCTCAGGAACTCTCCGTCGCCCACCATCCTGCTATAAACCTAGACAGTTTTCTGCTGTAACTGGCAGGATGACATGCAGTCACCCAAAAGTGTTCACCACAGAGAGGGAGCACTGTCTGATTTTGATTTTGCACAGCAGGCAAAAGTCTAAGTATTAGATTATAGAACTTAATGTGTCCGTGCCAAAATAGAGCCTGAGCTTGTCTCCAGGTTTGTAATGCTGCTGTCCTTCTAAGGGTTTGTTTTTACAGTCCGAGATGAGTTTAGGAAGTAAAAATGTTTTACTGACTTACCTTGATATCTGCTCAGTGTGAAGAGTTTTACTGAAAGCCTTTTTATTTGATTTTATGTGGCTTTAAATTTTGATCATGGCTGGACTTTGCAAAAATAACTCTTTAAAATTCTCTTGTTTCCCTCCAAACTGAAAGATGGTAAACTCTGTGGTTGTGCATCAGTACATTAACTGTAACAGAGGTTTAGAAACAGAAATTCATTGAGATAGCAGGGATTTACTCTTTGGTGTTGGTGGTGATTTGCTAACTTCACATTAGATAAACAGCATGCATTTTTAAAAGCACTGTATAAACTACAGCGATGTGCGCTTTATAAACATAATCCTGAGACTGATGTGCAGAAGAACTCACTGCAAGAAAGTGATCGTAGTTTAAATGGGACTCTTTTGTTCAGAAACTCCAAACTGTAGCACACGGTGCACTGAAAATAAGAGGGGTTGATTTCAGGCCACACAAATAACTTTAGCTTCAATTCGGGATAATTTGGCTCTGGTTATCAAAACAACATCTGCCCCAAAGGGACAGGAGTACTGGATGCTTATCGAAATTTTCCAGCTTTACCTTCTACATGTGCTGCATCTGCAGCTTTCTCCTCAGTCAGTCAGTCAGACTGTCGCACAAGTTCACTTTTTCTCCAGCAGTTACATAAGCATCAAGTTTCTGGTCAACAGAGAAGAGTGAGATATAAACAAACACAGAGCAGCTCGTTCTTTTGACTCCAAGTCAGCATACCTAAAACATAAATACCTGCAGATCATCGACAGGTCATCGCTCATGCTCTTTTCTTATCTTTGACCAGCTTCATACTGGAGGTATCATCATCATGAAAGACACCAGTGAGGAGGAGGAGGAGCTGGTGGAGCCCGTCTCAGCTCATGGTCCCAAAATCGAGGAGGAAGAGCAGGAACCAGAACCCCCTGAGCCCTTTGAGTACATCGACGAGTAGGACATTCTCTCTGAGTGAAGGTACAATAACAGGTCGTTTCTTAGTGTTCTGATTTCAGGTCCTTGCACACCGGGGCCGACGCGAATATAGAACGCGGAATTACGAAATATTCAGAGAATTTTGACGCGCCTGACTATACACATCAAGCACGATGCGATTTTGGGACTTCCTGGGGGGAAAAAGATGCTTCCTGGGGAAAGTCCCGCCTCCTTCGCCTCTGATTGGCTAGAAAAGCTGGAAATGTCATCACATGCTCAAGCCAAACGGTCAGCACTGAAAGCCAATCAGAGGCGATAAGATAAGCAGATGAAACTATGGTAACAACTGTTAGCTTACGTTAGCACAGATGAAAGTTAAAACAAAGACGTTTAGCAAACAAACCATCGTCATATGAGAAATCCAACGCTATGACTCTCCACAAGTTGTCCTTCAGGTCGTTATCTTTGTAATGTTGGTGTCTTTTATCAAAAAGCACTCTGTTCTCCGACACGGAAACAATCAACTGGTCGGCCATGTTGGATATACCTATGAATCAGACGTTGCAACAACACGCAATCTGATTGGTCAGAAGTGGACACACAGTATGCGAAACTTTAATAAAAATTGACCGTGATCAGAAAAAATATGCTGCAATATCGCAGAACGGGAAAACGTTGCTGATGTGAACGCTTGATTGACAGGATACGGGTTCGAAAAATATTGACATCCGAAATAATCGCACGATAAAAACGATCCCTGTGTGGAAGGACCTTTATTCAAAGAAAACATGGCAGCAGTTTGGTTACAATGAAGCGGCCTCATTTCTCCGTCTGTTTATCGATGAGTTCCTTCTGCTGTGTCCTCAAAGGTCATTTATCATTAAAACACAGATGGAAACATTTGAAAGGATTGGTGTTTGCATGGTTTCTCACAGTGTCAAAGTACACATAAGGTTACAACCCTCCAGACTCCTCTCTGGCGTGAACACTGCCACAAATCTGTCAAGTCGCTTTCAGAGGAATTAATGTGTGATAACACACAATGCAGGTCTGTCCCGCTGATTCCAAGCATAACCCCCTTTTTCACTTGTCATTGAAATTAAGGAATGTAAACTCAGCTGCCATCTCAGAGGCAAACCCTTTCACCACATTTCACCAAAAAAAATAAAAGCTGGATTCTTCACGGTTCCTGGCTGCTTGTTGTGTTTGTGTTGGATTGACTGCAGCCTGCCTCCCATGGCGCTGCGTGTGACGAGGACGATGAGGTGTCAAATGACCAAATTAGGGCCTCAAAGCACACTCAGTCAAGTCTTTATGAGGTCTGGGTGCTGTGTGACAGATCAGTGCAGAGATCTTTGTCAGGTTATGACTACCTCATGTCGTCAGAGCCGAGTAGATTTGTTCACCAAAAACAGCACATTGGCCTGGTCCATACAGGAGGTCAGAGGTTTCCATCTCAAGGACTTTTCAGCAAATCCTCCTTGATAATCAGATGTTTCCTCTATAAATAATAAGCAGATCTAGTAAACTAAGCATATCTAATCATATGTTTTCTTTTTTGTCCTCAGGCATCAGGAGAAGCGAGGTCTCAACATGTCGGTCCAGCGCCCCCCCCTTCCCTTTGTGCATCCATCTATCCATCCCCCTCCCTGCTTCACTTCCTCTTTTACACGTTGCTGTCCTGTTCTGACTCCTACCTTTGTCAGACAGGGAATGTTTTACATTCTCACACTGTTTAATTTTCTGTCTGTACATTAAAACCGATATATATTGAAGACACAAGAGGGTGGGTGTGTTTATTTGAGTGGATTTTTCTCCAGGCATACACTGAGGGGATTTCTCTAATCCCATACATTTAGGCGGGTTTACATTTTCTGCACTCGGCAGCTGCAGCAGTCTGCTCAGCAGTCTGGTCTGTGCTCTGAGCGGAGTCTACTGTATACAAACTAAATATCGCACAGTGGAGGGAGGGAAAGCGCCTTGAGTAAAAATAACCGTCTTAGTGTCTGAAAGGTCAGGACAACTGTAAACAGATGTGCTGAACTTGGACGTCAGAGTGAGTAATTCAGCAGCTTCTCTAGTTCACTTTCTCTTCTCCTGTTTACGTCTACCTCAGCAGAGTCACTGATGGTAAATGGACTCTGATGAATCAAGGAAAAAACATTTCTGCGGTTCTTTGCCGTATCATGTTTGACCTTTTATAGACACAACTTTTCAAACTTCTGATTCGCTGAACTGACAGAACTCTTAGGATATTCTTCATTGATTGTTAACTTATGTAGAGAGCAGATTGTTTAAAACTTAGCTTGTAGTGGTCAGTGAAGTCTACATTTTTACAGTACATTAACCAGTTTGTCGACCCTTTCAGAAAAGTGTCCCACACAATGATTTGAATTCACCTAAAATAGGTAGATAGATAGATAGATGGATAGATAGATAGATCCATTTCTAACGTGGTCTAGACGTCTGATTGACTTCTTGCACCTGATTTCTGATTTTTAACTTTAATACCGCACCTGATTTCGACGGTATCAAGACGTTGATCAGACGTCTAGACCAGACCACATCGGAAAAACTCATTTTCGACAGCCAATTTCGACCGAAATTGCACGTCATGTCAGGGTCCAATTTGGATGTCCACAAGACGTCAAAATTGGATGTCCGAAAAAGACGTCCAAAAAAACTTAAATTCTGGACCTTCAGGAGACGTGATTTCGACGTCGAAAAATTACGTTATATAGATGTCTCATTGCGTAGTGGGTCATCTCAGCTGAAAAACAGCATGGAAAAGAGGAGGTATGTAGCAGTGAGCACTATTACTAAACATTCCCTCCTGTGGGAGCTGTGAGGTGTTACAGCATCTCCAAGAATCTGATCCTCTAATAGAAAGTTCATCCCTCAGCTGTCTGCTGCTGTCTTTATTTCCTGTATATCCCTGTGAAGCACGACGAGGATGAAGGTGAAAGTGCATCTGTTTACTACACACAAGCTTTGACATTTATGACCTCATAGTTTTCTGTGATGGCGTATACTTCACTTCATAATCCTGTTTCTCTGATATAGAATATGAATGAGAAGTGTGGACTAAACTGCCTGCATGTTTGGTTTAAACATCACATCCAAGTAGCTCATCAAGGGTTGAACTAGCAAACTGACAGTTAAAATATGTAACTTTAGCATCGAAGTTAGTATTGAACAGCGACAGTAAGGTCCTGATTTCAGACACAAAGCTCCATACAAGGCAAAAGGATTCTCCAGTTGCACCCGGTCATGCAGGTCAAGCTGTAAAAAGGAGATGGAGGCATGTCTGTCAGTGATCTGACAAACCAAACATCAGGTCAGGAGGAAGAGGTGAGGAATAATGGTTTGTGTGAGCATGTAGTCACTGTCTGCAGACGTAGCCATGCTGACAGCGTGGATGAAAGGATGGAGGATCAGCAGCTCCGTGAAAACAAACAAGCCCACCAACAGGAGAGCTCATTGGTCAGGTGGGTGGGTGTGTGGCCTGTGGACAAGGTCGAGGCCTCTGAGAGTTTCTGGCCGGACCTGAGGAGCAGCGAGTGATGAGCTGGTGGTGCATGATGGAGCTCTGGACGGGGCAAACTCTTCTGTTTCCTTTGGAAGGAGACTGATGCTGAATAAACTGGAGATGATGTGGATTTTGGCTTCGGCAACCACCAGCTGAAAAGTTTCCTTCCATTTCTTAGAAGGAGAAGATGAAGACCTACAGGGGAGCAGCAAACATTGAAGATGTGGGGACAGTTGATCCAGTCAGAGCCAGACTAATCCATGCTGCTATTTACTCACATTCAAGAGGCTTTGAATCCTGTTTGTTCATCTGTATGTCCACTTTTGTCTAGTCTTGTTTGAAGTATTCTCCCTTAGGAAAAACTTGATTGTGGTTTCCATGGTTATTATCAACATTGGCTAACCACCATTAACATCCAGATTGAATCATTTCTAGTTGTCTGTCCCAATCTAGCTTCATACCTGGGTCATGGGGGACACTGGGGTCCATGTGTTTTATTTGAAACAAATAATTCCCATGATGTGATTTGAAAACAATTACATTTATTTGTGCAACCTAAACCATCATTCTGGTTTCCATTCAGAAAGGTCACAGCCGTCTCGGTCCTTATATACATCTCATGGTCGACCCAACTGTGAATAATACTGATTACTGAATGAAAGTCAACAAGTCTATGATAATAGAGAAGCAGTGACGGCATTCATTATAATGAAGTTGAGGTCAGAAATGGGGGTTAAAATTAAAACAAGTGAAGCAGACAGAATCAAAAAGTTCTACAATCAACATTAGCATTAAAACAGTGATGACAGTGGAGAAATTAACATTAGCTTTACAACAGTGATAAGTATTGGTGAGACTGATGCATGTACAGTATCTCAAGCAGCTGGAAAGCACCCACTGAGCAATAGACGGCTATTAGACGTCTAGGTTTTTTATAGACCTTTTTTTTAACCATCTAGATTCTGTATATTTTTAGACAGAATTTAGACGTTGCACTTTAACCCATTATTCGTTAACTATTTATTTCAAACAGCAACTGTGAGTTGCATAACTGATCTCCAAGTACTAAACCAAAACAATTGTGATAGCCGTTGAGCAATATAGTGTAGCACAGATATAGCCCAGAGTAAGACTTGATCTAAATTTAGACATCTAAAAAACTTTCATTTTTAGACCTGTGGTAGCCTGATTTTAGACCAGTTGTCTAGGCTAGCATTTTGACGTCTATTAGACCTCTTTTAGACAAAAAATACTTAGTGGGCAGACTGGTTCACAGCAGTGACTAACATTCATGCAAATGATAGAATCCAAGTCGTGATGTCTGATAATGTGGCCTTTTTTGTCGATTCTTGTTCTTCTTTTCTAAAGTACAGCAGTGCTTTTAGCAAGAAGCTAATACAAAGGTGATAAGTAGATGTAATGTTCACCTTGTTGCATGTCAATGGCAGCCACCATGAGCACGCTTAAGCTTGCTTTAGCACATACCATGAAGGTCAGTAGTAACAAATGGAAGAGGGATTATTTTGCAGCAATCAGTCAACAAATCAAGTGAGAATCAAATTTCCAAATTCAATTTTTTAAAGATATACTGTGAAATAAAACTCTGCAGCTTAATGAACATTTGTGTTAAAAATTAATATATCTACTTAATTGATATTATTAAGTAGTCATAGTTACATAGATAAGTGAGTACAACACCATAGTCTGTTCCTGACCCGTTTATGGGACATCCTGAGGTTCCCCGTCTCTCTGCCTCATGTGCTGCATGTTTACTCAAACCCTGTCCTGACCCGCAGACTAAAGTTTACTGTGTTGATGTTCACTTGGCCCCTGTAGGCCCAGATAGAGCAACTGATGTCAAAACAGCCTAAAGAGTTATATAATGGTTTCTGTTGTCGCTGGCATCCCTCAGAAGCAGCTGAGCGGGACCAGAAGCAGGTCTGAGTGCTTCATTTGCGCCCTCAGCAACAGTGGACTGATTAATCACCTCCTCTTGAGCTTTCAGTGGAAATCCACCCCTGATGATAAAACTGCACTGGTTGCTTGTCTTGAAGATAATATGTTTGTAGAAGAAAGAAAAGAAAAACATGTTTAAACTATTATTATAATTATTATATTTAATTGGATATATTTGACCTTTTTCTTGCTTTAGAAGACTTGGGTTATAATTTACGTAGGTCCTTTTCTGGGAGACAGCAGACCTCTTCAGTTGGGGAAACCTGCTGGAACGACTCACTGCTCAGCATGGCGTGAAGTCCTGCACTCTGGGGAAAAAAGAAAAGTCACAGAAAGGAAAAGGACAAATTGTGGGGATACAGCCAGTTCCGTCCATCCTGGAAACAAACAAAGCATGAGTCACTTCTCGGGACTAAAGCACAGATCTGCAGCCTGTTAAAGGTGGAGCTTCTCTACACATTTACTTCCACTTCATCTTTTCCTCCTCATCATCAGTGGGTGAGTCTCTGAGGGTACTGCTGAGGGAAAAGTGTGGTTCAACACCGCGTCTATTCATGTAGTTCACTCATTCATCATCAGCATTTTAGAGAACAGAAAGTATTTGGATTTCTGCGCAAGGCTGCCCCCAACTCCAACTTTTCATTTTCAGTGTGAATGTGGAAGAAGTAAACATTAACACTCATGCCCAATTATGTGGAGGCCAAGACTCTGCTGTGTGGTAAAAAAAAAAAAAAAAAAAAAAAAAAAACAGAGCAAAACTCATGAGGACGAGGAGTTTTCTGCTTCACTCTGGAAACTGAGACACTTTTTTTCCAACTTATAGACTCCAGATCATTTATCTGCATAAGATAAAGGATTTTTCTGCTGAGGTGTAAGAACATAGACTTTATATACTATGGACAACCTGGTTCTGCCTACCGCCTGTATACGGTTTTGAGGCCAAATAGCCCTCGGTATTTCCGCGATTTTTCTTCATTTCCTGAAACCAGCACTGTGCAGTTGCGTTGTGCGCATTCGGCCGCGCAGTCGCAGAGAGTCACTGTGATGACGCTCGGCTCAAACAGCGTAACCCCGGGAGAGCTACTTAATCCCTGAACGCCCATGGGCTGTATCAGGTGTCAATCATAGAAAACATGAACCCTCTAATAACTTTTAAAAACGGAGCTGCACAGAAAAAAGAGGACTTTAGCACAAACCAGTCTTACAATAACTATATGTCAACATCGCAAGCAGGGGGGAGAAAAATTTATGTTCTGTGTAATAAATTTCTAAAGTTTGTCCACAGTCCCATAAACTTTGCTGGCGGAGGCGGGATTTATGACCTATACTGCAACCCATCAACAGAGGGTGCTGTTCTCGGAGTGGCTTCACCCAGCGAGGAGGCAGACTCTGTCCATCTTATATACAGTCTATGATGTGTAAGAATTAATGTTGTGTCATTCGCGAACGATTAGTTCAAAAGAACCGAATCTTTTAAGTGAACCTACTGAACCGAATCACTTCCTCGAGTGATTCGTCCATTTCTCACTTCAGTTGAGCTAAAGTGAGAAACAGCATTGCCAGGCCAGCAGCCGGCGAACTGAATCACTTGGTAAATGAATCACACATTGAGCTACACTCTCTGGAATCATTTTTGTTGGACAAAACTTCTTTTTTTTAATGCTAAATTGCCACCACAACAACTGGAATACAATAGGACACAGCATGTTACAAGTAGTGCAGTAAACCCACAGCATCCTATCATTGCAGCAGTTTGCGAGGGAACGGTGTATGTTCAGTGTGAATTCTTCTAAACGTGAACGAATCACTCACTGAGCAGATCTGATAAATAACATACCATAGGACAGTACACTTAAAACATCATGACTTATAAACAAGTTCATTTCTACAAACCTGTTTGCCAAAGCAACACAGCCAAACACAGTGATTTGGGGATTTGGTGAACGAATCTTTTGAACGAATCTTTTTAATGAACTGATTCTAGTGATTCAGTACATCTTAAAGAACTGCCGTGCCCATCACAAGTAAGAATTCACACTGAAATATCATCCAAGTGTTTACTTAGATTCCTCATTCATGATCTGAACACCTAAAATCATCTGAAAAGAGGAAGAAAGTCAAATTATGGGCTTTTCTTGATTTTCAGACAAATTTGAATTTTAGGTAAACACAAGGTACCCGGTCTAAAGAAAGGATAAGCGCTCCTTCTCTTTATGCCCTCAGCCAAGTTACATAACCAACCACATGGCCCCCAAATGTCCCCCAGCACCAAAGCTTCAAGATAAATGTGGACAGATGAGTAGCAGGAGCAGCACATAACCAGAATGATCGAGCGGGCGCCCCCCTTCATCTGTGTTTTAGTCAGTAAGGCTCATGACACACTCAGCATTTAGCTTTGGAGCTCTACCTCCCTCTACTTCCCAAATGACATAGGGAAAGAAAAGAAAGGGAGAAAACATGTTGAGAGACATCAGGTGCTCTTCTACAGGGGACCTCATTTGGCCCAGGTGCAGAAGAAGCTTTTGCTCGCCTCACTACCCTGGTGGTCTAACATTTGTGGGAAACTGTCTCCTCTAATGGTGTCATTTCAGGAGAAAAGCCCACGTCTCTGTTCTTTCCTGGATCTGATTGTGTCTAAAAATGTTCTTTCACCTCTTTGCTTTAAAGCTGTGAGTCGCCCTCCTTTTTAAACAATCTTCGAACAAACTTCAAAGGATCCCTATAAAAGGCCGTTCTCACTCATTTCTTCCTCTCTCTCCTCTGATAAACGGTTTCTGAGCTCCTCTTGCAGTACATTAATTCCCTCGGTCTTATCTGCTGTCACCTTTGCCTGCTGTTTTTCTCAGCTGTCTCCTCTACTCCACCAATTTGTCCATTTCACTCTGGGATCTGGAGCTACCTGGCTGCTCTCTCTCTACAAACTTCCCCTCCTTTATTATAAATCTGTCAGCACCAAATGCATAAATAATGTCTCCAATCCTCTCTAATTTAGTCTAATATCATAATAAGAGCCCTGTTTATTGTATGTCATTCTTTCCTGTCAGCTGTTGTTGATTAAGAGTAAAATCTAAAGCTTAATTAATGTATGAAATCAATTGTTCAAGAAATAAAATACAGCAGACACAGGCAAATTACAATTGTCTGCACCTTCCTCATTGAATGTTGCACTGATCTCATAAAACTGCTGTTTTCTGTTTGAAGACAGAGACTGTTTGGACTGTTTGACTTGTTAACACAGAATGTTCAGTACTTTGAGGCAGTCTGAGCCGCATTTATGGAGCTTGGCAGTTCACAGCATTTGTTCACATAGTGTTTTAATGGAGGGAAACATCTCCAGCGGCGGCCCTTCACTTCTCCACAGGCGAACAGACCGCACACTTCCTGGAAAAAGACCCGGTGGTTGATTCATAGAAACCAAGCCCAAGTGCTGGACACCGCAGCAGGACCAGACAGACCAGCAGACATCAGGAGATCATTTGGGTCAGATTTATTAACAAGTGTTTCAAGAAATGAAACAGGAGAGCAAGTTTTTGGGTCGGCTGATTAGGTTTGAATCTCTCAGAGAGTCGTAAGATAAAAAGAAATAGCCTTGTGCATTTGCTTGGTTTTCAAATGCTTGTATTTCTGTTTATATAAAAAACCCAAATCTTAAGGTCCATAAGTTTTCCCTAAAGTTTCAGTAAATTATTACACTATACAGTGAAATATCATCCTATACTATGATATTTTTATCATACTGTACTATGACATTATTATTATTAATACTATTGTATTTTTATCATACTATACTATGATATTTTTATCTTACTATACCATAATATTTTTACCATACTTAAATTTGACACGTAGTAGTATGATAAAAAAGATAAGCCACAACATTGGTGGGACAGTGGTGTAATGGTTATCACTGATGCCTTACAGAAAGATGGTCATGGGTTCAAATCCTGGTCAGGCATAGTATGATGAAAGTCTCATTTTAAAGTATGATGAAAATTTCATAGTATAATTTGAAAAAAAGGCATAGTATAGTATAGCATATTTAACATTTTTTATAGTATAGTATGATAAAGTATATTTTAGAAAGAAAAAAGTCATAGTATAGTAAGTTACAAAATGTCACAGTACAGTATATAAAATGGGAAAGTATGATAAAAATGTAATCGTATAGTATGATAAAAATGTTATAGTATACTTTGATAAAAATTTTAGGTTTTATTATGAAAAATGTCATAGTATAGTATGATAAAAATGTCATATTACAGTATGAGAGAAATATAGTATAGTGTGATTAAACTTTTATAATTTAACGAAAAATTCATAGTATAGTATATTAAAAAATGTCATAGTATGGAATTATAGAAATCTTAGAAAAATGGAAAAAAAAAGTCATAGTATAGTATAACAAAAACGTCATAGTAGAGAATGTTGAAAAATCAAAGTATTGTATGTAAAAATATTGGGTACAACAATGGTGGGACAGTGGTGAAATGGTTAGCACTGATGCCTCTCAGAAAGAAGGTCATGGGTTCAAATCCTGGTCGGGCATTGTATGATAAAAATCTCATATGAAAGTATGATAAAAATAGCATAGCATAGGTTGAAAAAAATGTCATAGTGTAGCATGTTTAAAAATTTTTATAGTTTGGTCTGATTAAAATAGCATATTTTAAATGAAAAAAGTCACAGTATAGTTAACGACAAAATGTTATAGTCTAGTATAAAAAATGGTAAAGTATGATAAAAATATCATAGTATAGTATGATAAAAATGTCACAGTGTACCATAACAAAAATTTCAAATTTGTGAAAGAAAAATTTCAAAGTATAGTATGATAAAAATATCTTAGTACAGTTTGAGAGAAATATAATAGTATAGTATGATAAAATTTTTATAATTTATTATTGAAAAGATTTCACAGTAAAGTATGTTAAAAAACATCATATTATAGTATGATATTAATCTTAGGAAAATGTGAAAAAAAAATGTCATAGTATAGTATGACAAAAATGTCATTGCAGAAAATGTTGAAAAAAATTATCAAGTATAGTATGATAAAAAAGGTTGGCCAAGACATTGAATGACAAAAATATCCAAGTATAGTAAGCTAGAAAAGTGTCATAGTGTAGTATGAAAAAAATCATGGTAAAGTATGTAAAATATATTATAGTTTATTATGATAAGAATGTCATAGTATACAGTGATAAAAATTTGAAAATTTAGTCTAAATAAAGTCATACTATAGTATGATAAAAATATTTAAGTATAGTAAGATAGAAATATCATCATGTAGTATGATAAAAAATAAAATTTAATATGAAAAAAATGCAGAGTACAGTTTTTAAAAAATCATGGTTAAGTGTAAAAAAATATCATGGTGCAGTATTCATACATAAAATGTCATAGTATAGTATGATTAAAGTTATGGTTAAGTTTGAAGTATGATAAAAATGTCATAGTATACTATGTTAAAAAATCATGGTAAATTATGATAAAAAATATAATAGTATCATATAATAAAAATGTCATAGTATACTATGATTAAGATTTCATATTTTAGTACAAAAAGTCATAGTAAAGTATGATAAAAATATCACAGTGTAGTTTAATAAAAATGTCAAAGTATAGTCTGATAAAAATGTCAAATTTTAGTATGAAAAAGGCATAGTTTAGTATAAAAAATATCATAGTACAATATAAGAGAAATAACATAGTATAGTATGATAAAAAAATTTACAATTTAATATGAAAAAAAACTCATTTTATAGTATGTTGAAAAATGCCATAGTATAGTATGACAAAAATGTCATAGCAGAAAATTTTGAAAAAAAAGTATAGTGTGATAAAAACTTGGCCGCAACATTGAATGAAAAAGTATAGTAAGTTGAAATAAGTGTCATAGCCATTTGATAAAGATAATCATTCATTTGCTTAAAAAAAAAAAAAAAAAAAAAAAAAAATATATATATATATATATATATATATATATATATATATATATACATTTTAGACCCTTATTTTTCCAAGTCACCTGACACCTTCTAGAAATGACATTGCAGCATCACTGACGCTATTGGAGCTAGGGGGTCAAAATGACCCCCTCGGCAGCTCTAGGGGAATTGGAATGTTGGTGGTTCTAGTATTAATGTGATTACTGAGATTTATTTATTTACTGATGTGTTTCATGTTTTAAAAATGCGGAGCATGAATTGAAATCCTGCCGCCATCTGTGTCAGTCGTTCTGTATCGTGCCCACTTTCCTCCATCTGAGCTGAGTTATGATTGTGTTATCACTGTTGAAAGGAAAAGCTGTGACGTTTCAGACATGCTTCAGGCAGACTAAACACACATGCTGGACCGCTGTACGTACATATACACATTGACGGCTATTAGTCATTTCAGTTGCTGGGCACTGCTGGCCTGCAAGTCTCTCAAACAGCAGCATGCGTAAATGTGACAGTCACAGTTATAAATCTATCTAGATGAATGTCATACTTAGAATAAGTTTTCTTTTAGTACCTCAGCTGCTTCCCCTGTTAATCCATATCTTCATCAGCAACCTATCTGCAAAGACTTAGAATAGAGCACCCTCTGTTGGACAGACAGACACATTACACTGTTGAGTCTACAGACAGACGTTTGGCCTTGTAACCAAGTTTGCCATCAGGAGTTTAGGTAATTTTAAAAGCCTTCAAACTTTAGGTCAGAAAAAGAAAAAACACAAACACGTACACAAAGATGACTCCTCAGTCCAAATGTATTGAAGTTTTACATAGTACAGGTAGGATATACAGTACATGTATACTGGTATACAGATAAACAATATAAAATGGGTTAAGACCACCAAAGAATATGAAGAACAGCATGTACAAAAGCTTATAAATGATTCAAGTACCACTAACTTTATACTTCACTTTCTCCAAAGATTTCAAAAATATCTGTACAAAATGTACAAGAGTTGTATCCCATGCTGCAACAGCTAAGTTTCCTCTGCACTTTACACCATATTTTATGATATACTGTTCATGTTACAGAAAGGTAATGGTTTTACAGTTTTTAAAGGCTAAAATCAATCATGGTAGTACTATCATGAAATCTGCTAAATTCATGTCTGGACTTGAATATTTCATGAAAGTTGTCTGATGGTGTCTAAATTAAGTCAAAATGTTTTTTAACGACCAAACACCAGCTGAAAATTATAATCGAAATGATAGAGGGATTTCCACTCATTTTTCTCATGTCATCAGACACTTTACATACTGTGTGCAGTTTGTAAAGAGGATCAAATCTACAATAAATGTCCAATATTAAACCAATTGTACTAAAGTAATTTGAACAGGATAAAATGGAAGATCTTAAATTACCTAAAAATGAATTCAAATTAAATATCCCTTTATGAAACTGGACTTTACAACCTTTTGAAATACAGTGTTACTGATATTTCTGGACTCAACGTAACTCTAATTTTTTAAAAACATTATATATAGATGTAGGTTTATGTGACTGGTTTCTAACTTTGTAATAAGACTGACGCCGATTCTGCACAATCACAACACTGCAGCACCGTTTGCATAACTGACATGTACTTTCAGTACTGATGTGACCACAACATGGAAACTTTTAATCATTCAGAGAACTTTGTTCTGTAATAACAAGCCTTAAAAAAATCAAAATTGCTTCTTTTTAACGTTTAAAAAAAATCATCAATAACATATTTGCCTCTGTGATCACTATACACTGCTGAACATGACACAGGATTTACCATCATAACTGGTAAACATCAGTGGTGATTTAAGACAAAGGGATTTGTGCAAATAAGTAAAATTACATTGTCATATATAGGCTGCAGAAAGTGATGAAGAAGAACTTCCTTACAAAAAAAGATCCTGTAGCATTTGCCTATGTTCAAAAAGAGAATCCTATTAAAAAGACAAAACATTTAAAAATTGAAATGAATTTCTCAAGAGTCCAACATGTGCTCATATTTGTTTTTAAAAAGCTCCGACACTAATCTTTGGATGTCTTCGGTCAGGAAGATACAAAGATGAGGTTTGATCAAAATAAGAGACAGCCTTGAAAGAAGCTCCACATTCAGGCTGAGATCAGGTGATTATTTCACGGCTCGAAACACTGTACCATTCACTAACAGGTCGCACTGGAAGCACAGCTTTGAGGTTATCTGTTCACAGAAGTTTCCCCTTAACAGGAGTGAAATGTGATTAACAGGGAAAGATTTCACCAAAGGGAGCTTTGTCTGTGTTAAACGCGGTGATCTGAATCCAGCTGTGGCAGCACCGACCTACTTTGATGATCACTGACTGTGAAGGTAAAGTGGAGGATGTTAATTGGGACATCTTTGTCTCTTTTGGGCTAAGTACACAGTGTCTCTGAGAGCTAGTGGACAGTGTTGTCGCTGTGTCAGGGTCTTTGCGGATCGTACTGCTGGTAGCGGTTCAGCTTGTCGGGGTCGTTTGAGGCCATGTGGGTGAAGTCCTGGAAAATATCCTGGTAGGTTTCATCTCCTGCAAGAGAAACATGGTGCAAGAGTTAGACAACACAGGCAACGATTTAAAGGTAACATCTGCAACACAAGGGCCTTATGACATACACGGTAAAAGGTTTAAAGGTGCTTTAATATACGTAAATATTACTTGATTTTGAACCACTGAGACTGGACATGAATGCCAAATTAATACCATCTAAAAACAGATACTAGTTTGTAGTAAAGAAAAGATTAGACATTTAATAAATCTGCTTGTTTCACTAAAACTGTTCACAAAGGACTCAGTGTTCGTCCTCTCGTTTTTAGATAGAAATGCAACAAACAAGTTAAAGTATTTCTACAGTCACTGGGACTTAAACTGTGTCACAAACAGATGATTTAAGCCTCATTATGCAGGTGTAAAGCAGGATAAAAATACCAGGAGTGCAGGGCTCATGCAAAGGGACAGATCATCAGAGTAAGAATGAAAAGAAAAATCGGCCATACCTGTCAGTGTCAGCGAAGCTCGAAACACAAAACAGAACAGAGAGGCAGAAAATAAGAGAAATAAAAGGAGGAGTAAAAAGGAAAATGCTTGCGAATAAACCGTCAGAAACAAGAAAAAGACTCGTAAATCAAAGACAAGCCCACAGAGATCGTTTTTTGTTAACAACTGTATTGTGTTTAAAGTGCAGGAGTTTATGTACAAAAATACAGTTGTGTTGGCCTCAGCACCCCCAAAGAAAAACAAAGAGAACAGAAGAAAGGCACAAACTCTGGGGAGGAGAAGAGAAAGGAATAAATAAAGAACAGTGACTTTACAAGAGGAGGAAGAAGAAAAGAGCATTGTAAAGGAGAGAGAGAGAGAGAGAGAGCTTCCTCTTACACCAGAGAGGCAGTTAACAATCTGTTTTTCTTTAACTTTTTGAGTTTTAAAAGACTGCAGAAGACAAAACAGAATTAAAAACAACACATATATGAAAAATATTAAAATATTATGTTTAAAAAAAAAAATACAAAACCCTCTGGCTATTTTATAAATCAAGGTTTCAATTCTGACTTCAAAAAACACTTGAATTAAACTGCAGTTTGATGGGACTTGAGGTTGGTTTTTTTTAAGATTTAATTGCTGTTTAATACCCCTATTAAAATCCTCCCCTCAAACACTGACTGGACGAGCCGATTGAAGAGACTATCAAGTGTGTTACTTCATAACGAACAAATCTCCCAAAACCAGGCAGCATGATGATCCTTCAGAGGTACTTCTGACTCTCCTCTGCTCCTATAAATCTCCTTCTCTCCTCTCATTAACAGTGCTTCGTGTGTCTGCTGTTGACCTTTAAGACAACAACAGCCAGCATCAGTTATTATCCAACTCTTTATCCACGGCTATTGCACACACTAAAGCAAATAAATACATAGAAAAGAACAATTAAATGTCATTCTTTGTCATTCAGGTCCAAACATTCCTGACTTGCTTTAAAGAAGAGGATTTGACCCCCTTTTTTTAAAGCAGTGCTCAGGCTAATAACAGTCTGGCTACTGTAGAAGCAGCACATATAGCCCTCATTAGAAGATGCTTAATTCTTCAACATCAAATGGACAATTGTGAAGACAGCCCCAAACATATATGCACGAGTCCCTTTTTCTTACAATCTGTGAAAGCCCTCAGCTTCTACTCTACAAGACACAACTCTAACTGTGGACATATTCGCAGAACAATCTCTATCTTAACCACTGAATTCATCCCCGCACTAACAAGCCGTCTGAAACACAACGATCTGATCTGTCAATGAGAATAAGTAGAACGAAGTGTTGAATCAAAGTGCTTTGGTGCCCTCACTTGATTTGGAGCTGAATGGAGTGGAGAAAGGACAAAACTGGGGCAGGATGCTTCGTTCAACTATCGGTACACTGAGCTCTTTAATCCTGCTCCCAGTGTCTACATCACTGAATGTAAAGCTCATATATGATAAGGTTTAACATCAGCTAGGACTAACGGATGATTACGCTCTATACATGGTTACATTTGTCTACACTATTGCACTTTTGTTCTTGATCATGTCGATATTTGCGTAAAACCCAGTAACATTCAATACAATCAATGTGATGGCACTAACACGCCTCCGTCATCTTACAATTCAGGATCTCCCGTGATAACGCACACTGTACATTGAACTGACAAATATCCAAGACACGTTATTTTCATAACAGAGTAAATACCACACAATCAACAATGATGAAAGCAAGGACGTGAACACAGAGCCCCCTCATGGCACTCCCAACTCTGCTGATTCTGTGAGGCTATATAAACATGTATGTCTGCACATCATGTACAACATTTACAGTAGTAATACTCGTTTCATGTTTCCTACATGTATTCTTATAAAAGAGAACTGCTCTAAAATAGACTTTTTTTTTTCTGATCAGGCATGTCACAACAGCAAGATGCATCATGTTTGAACATAAAAACAGTTGAAAGAAGTAAACAGGCCTCGAACACGTTTAAGACTTCAAATGAGAACCGTACAATCGAAGGAAAAAGGTACAGTCGTTGCATAACCATTGAAAGGAATGTGCATAAAATACTTCTCACAAGTCAATTTGAAATGAAACTTGGCGATTTGTGGACGCTAACTGTACCTCTCCAGACAGATCAGATGATTAAAAAATAAAACATCATTCAGAAGTCACAATTATTGCCAGATAGTGAAACTTTCCACATCTCTGAGGTCCGAATGTCACTGGATACTGGTGGCAGTAACTGGGTAGCTATTTTTTGCTATTTAATAACAGATACAGTATAATACCAGTAGAAAAGGAAAGTTATCTATCCCCGAACGTTCTCAAAGACCGCCTCTTACAGAGAGGGAATCTGTCCAAGTAGGATCCGAACTTAAAGGGAGGAAGAACAGGCCGTCTAGTACAAAGTGACGCTTTCCTTTGATTTTGTGCTATCAGTTAATGTAAATCAGAAACAGTCACTTTTGAAAAATCATGTTGATGTTCCGCTTTGGAACAAAACTCTTCAGTACCGTCCAGAGGTGATGGCTTTAACCCTTTCACACCTTCATACAGTCTAACACCTGATGTTGGACCACATCACGGTCTAGCTGGCCCAGCATGCAGCAGGAGCTGGAGGTGAACTTACAGTACAGCAGGAAACAGGAGCAACACCGACACAGATGGACTCCACTCACTCTAACCCAACAAGATGTTATTTACACTCACAGAGAGGTCGCTTCATTAAAAAGTTACAAATAATCTGCAAATTAACTGCTGACAAAAACTGTCTGTGCTTATTCCAGCTTTGATTTGCACTTTTTCAATATTCTGACCCCTGAAATCAGATTTCTCAGTCCCTGTGATGAGTGAGGTTGAACCGCGTGTTGCTCCTGTTTGTTATGACATCAGACATTTATTAAGTTTCATCCAGCTGCAGGCTAATAAACTCCTGCATGCATTTTCTGTACTGCATCTCTGTAGGGCTGTTGGTGTTATATTGACCTGACTGACTGTAGGGCCCCTCCGCCTCTCGCATCTCCTCGTTCATCTTGGCCAGTCGCAGCCTGGGGAAAGATGAGCAAATGCAAAGTTACGGGTTATTCTAACTAAAGGAGATACAGCCAGTAATTGGATGTCCCCTATTTTCCTCAACGTTTTTTTAGTCCCTTGAAAATGATCAAAATACCGTATTTTTCGCACTTTAAGCCGCACTTAAAATCCTAAAATCCTATCCTAAAATAGACACGAATAGACGCGTTCATTGATGGTGCGCCTTATAATCAGGTGTGCCTTATAGTGTGAAAAATATGGTAATTAGCTTCAAATTCAGAGTCAATCACATTTTACAGATCTTAACATTTCACACCATCCATACCGACAAAACATACACATCATTAAACGGTGATTTCTTGAACTAGACAGAAACTAATGTTGCCAGAAAAACACTCACAGAGTGACAATGTCTGCGTTGGCTGCCTCCACTGCTATCGTCAGGGGTGTTTTCTCGTCGATGTCTGCAGCATTTTGATTTGCTCCTCTTTTTAAGAATAAACACACCTGCCTGAAATAGGAGAAAAAAAAAACAAGATACTTACTTCACATGCTTCAAAATTAAATCAAGATTATGATTAATTATATTCAACATGTCAGACAAACCCTGTGTGTCCCAGCATGGTGGCGTGGTGGAGAGGTCCCCGTCCCTGGGCGTCCTGTTGGTTAACATTAGCTGCATTTTGGAGCAAGAACTCACAGGTGACCAGTGAACCCTGAAATTCAATTTAAAAAGTTACACAATGAACAAGGATTTATTTATCCTAAGAGGGTCTGAAAAACTAAGTGTAGCAGCACTCACCCCCTGCACCGCCATGATAAGAGGTGTCCTCTTGTCATCTTCGGTGTTGACCCAGTTGACCTCGGCTCCATGGGCCAGTGCCTCAGCCATGTCCGGCAGGCTGCGAGCACATGAAGCCCAGTAGAGCTGCAGACCTGGGCTGTACTCTTTAGGCTCGTAGAACACCACCTCTTTACAGGGGGACGGTGGAGGCAGTGTGGCAGGCATGGGCATGGGCGGAGATTCAGCGGCTTCTAAAACAAAGAAGGAAAGAGACGTGAGTTAAGCAGAGAGACCTTTTTAACATCACGTCATTTGCACCTTTTTTATCAGCGATAAATGCGACAACATCTAAAATAAAACAAAAGGTGTTTGTGTGATGCAGCACTGATTTCATCAGGATCCAAACCTTCCAGGCTTAAAAAATGAGAACCCTGCTGTCTCAAGTTTTTATGATTCACTGGACAACACTCTTCAGCTCCTCTGCTACCCACAATATGGGTAGCAGACATTTATACTAGAGGAATTTTCTACCAGAAAACTTTATTTTTTGAATCGGCCTTGAAGACCTACCAGCTTAGGTTCAAATATAAGTGTCCAACAATAAGCCATCTTTCTCTAATTCTTGCACAGGCACAGAGAAAGGCATCATTTATAACATTCATGTGTGCAAAAAGCATTAGGGCCTGACCGATTTATCGGCGAGCCAATTAAATAGGCCAATTTTAGCCCGTTTGAGACTTATCGTTAATCGGCCAAAAAACGACGATTTACGCTGATATTTTCAGATATAAAATGTGGAGAATAAGATTTGGTTTCACTTTGAAAATGTTCGGCCATTTGAAAAGATCCACCAACTTATCCTGTAGATGGCGCAGTGACCTCATGACAATCTTCATCCACTAACTACCTCACAGCACAACAGAGTGACGGATCTGAAGCAGGCAGCTCAGGGACGCACGACGGTAAATAAACCAGTTTGTGAAACACACAATAATTCAACAAGTTTCAGTTCAACCCACTTTACGATGTTCCCTGCTGTACCGGTCTCGGTCATGCCGAGTTCATGGTGAATCACCATGTAATATGCAAGCTAAAGTGTAATACAATATGTGTAACATGAGTTAAGACGTGGAGGCACCGATCGTCGGCGGTGGCAGCAGCGGGGGGGTCTTCCTGTCAGCGTGAAGGGCAGTAGTCTACAGTATATAGTATACTGTACATATCTGCAGTATATATTTATTTTTCATAACTTAATAAAAAATTTAAAAAATTGGCTGATTAATCAGTAATCTGATTTTTTCCCCCCCTAATAATCGGTAACGGCAAAAAATCCATATCAGTCGGGCCCTAGCATGTCCCTTTTTTTCTGTTTTGTGCCTGTGCATGATGCTTTGTTTCTCTTTCTCTGATGGAGACGTGTCGTGCAGAAGCGACTGTGTCTTACCTGCATCTGCCAGGCTGTTATTGGAGGGGGTGTTGGCCAGCATCTCCCTGCTTCCATCAGCGCTGTTCTGGATGCCGCTGTCAGCGCTTTTTACTAAAAAAAAAACAGCAACAAAGAGTCTGAATCTCTGCTTGTACAAGACGACACAAATGGATCCCGGTGTGTGATTAAAATACGAGGAACACCTTCCTGATTGGGTTTTATGGAAAAAAGAGAAAGTCTGTTGGCAGATGATGATGTACAGTCACCTTGTTAACTACCTTGCAGTTATTCGACACGTTTCGACTCGCTTTCAAGAGCTGATGTTCTTTATCTTTAACACAGCAGGTGATCCTAATATTTTTTTACAGCGTATATACACACACAAAACTCCGTCACCACCATCACCTTAGGTTTCAGGTCCCTACACACAGAAAGGAAAATGTGACAGATAGAAATAAAAATACCAGACACTGATCAGAACCATGTTTGTGAGGCAAATATCCCACCCCTGAAGAAAGACAAAGATGGTACACTCTGCGGTGCTTTTCATTTGACAGGATGATCTCCACAAAAAGAATTAGATGAAGGAACCAAAGAGAGGATGAAGGAATTTTAGTCCACAGCCCAAAGCAGCAAACAAAGAAAGACAGAGGTGAAGAAGGAGCAAGCAAAACACTAAGCATTTAGTACTTACTGCTCCTGAGCTTGGAGGAGTTGTCAAAGTAGGAGAAGAGCGAGTCAAGCTCGTCAGGACAGAAGAGAGAGTCGCGGCGGACCTCCAAGCCGCTGGCAACAGCTACGTTAGGGTTGAAGGGAGTTTGGAAATAGGAAGGTGAGGGGTTTTAAATATGTTTCAGGAGGAGGTGGTGGTGGTGGAGTTAGGGAGTACGGGTTAGTCCAGAAGCACAGAGCAGCCACAGGAGGATAGAAAAAGAGAGAGTGAGGAAGGAGAGCAGAGGAGGGCAGAAGCAGAGATAATTAGACTACAAGCTCAGTCAACACTAGAAGAGACAGACTACAAGAAGCAATGGGAGGCAGAGAGGGCTAGGACATACGCCGTTCACAGACAACATACGAGATGTTGATGTGTGGACACTTCTCTTCTGCACTGAGAGCGGAGGATAGAAAAAAGCAACCAAGATCACGAATGACACCAGCTTTTGAGCCAGCGCTGTTTCCAAATGGTTCAAAACAGACGCTGCTAAAACCCCTGAACCCTTAAAAATGATGTATGGCTTTAAATATCTGACTTTTTTGAAATAATAACTTATTCCACTTCCACTTATTATAAAACATATTCTCCTGCTCTTGTTTGTATGAAAGCTGAACACCATCCTGGTCATGACAACACCTCAGAGTGTTTGAAGTCTGTGAATCATCTTTCTATCAGTAAGTTCAGAAATGAAGGAAAGGAAACCTCCAAAAGGTTGTTATCTTTTTTTTTTCTGCTGACCTGACTGTCCAGAGGCGTTCGACCCAGGTCGGAGTTTTGGGGTGGGCGGCGGCGGTCTTGGAGGCAGGTGCTCAGAGCTGCTGCTCAGCCTCTTCTCCTGTTTGCTCAAAGAAACCACTTTGTTTCGAAGCTCCTCGTCTGACGGCCGACGGACAAAACGCCGGTCCACGTATTTGGCTTTGATGTAGGCCTCCACCTCGTGTCTGTTTGAACAAGATGCACCGGGTGATTTTTGTAACCAAGTAGAAGAATGTAAGCTGATTCTCATTATTAAACTGAATGCCTCTTTTTTCAAAATCATAGTCTAAAAGTTGAGCTTTTTACACATCAAGATCTCCTGGTATGAAGTACAGATTTGCTTTCCGTGAGTTCCATACCTTGGATCTCCCGGCTGTGGTTTCCTGGCTCCCAGCTCCTCTCGCCGGGCCTCATAAATCTGATTGATCACTCCATTTCCCAGTTCGCACATCAACTGTGAAAAGAAGAAAAACCATTAATCATGAACACGTAAGAACTAACAACCACTAAAACTGTAGTACGAGACTGCATCTTCCCTAGCTCTAGTCAGGCATGAAAGAGAGCGAATAAAAATCTAACTTATGTAAATGTAGAGAAAAGAAATGGAGCGCTCCTTTATTTGAATCAAAAATAGGAACATCGGCTCCTCCACACTCACCTTCAGAAGTTCTGGCTCCCATGTATCCAAAGTCAACGACCGAACCTTAGAGAAATGCACTCCCAGACTCCTGCAGGTGAAATAAGAAAATCCAACAAATACATGACTTGTGATGGTTTGATTTATAAGCGCTCCAAAGTTTTGATGAATGGAAAGTCTTGAAGATAAACACAGTTTTAACTTTTGTAAGTGTAGTTTAGGGTTTAGCCACAAGGTGGAACTTGAAATCTGCCATTTCTGGTCTAAGCACTGATGAGAAAAACCCAGTCTGAGAGAATCTGGTTTCCAAATCCACATGCAGTATCCTAACAGTTCTACAGTTAGTCTGTAATAAGTACATGATCAATGAGAGAGAAAGAGATCATTTCATCACTTCACAGAGTGGTTTAATTTATCTCTTTGTTTTAATTTCCAATGATTGCTAAAGACACAGTGCAGTTCTTCACCTGTGGATACCAGAGCACTGTATACAGAGGGTGATGCCCAGATTGATGCTGGCCCAGCGAGGGTCCGGCTGGCCACAGTCACAGCAACCGGCATTTCCCGGGATGGCCAGGACTTTCTGCAGGGCACTCTCTCCTTTCAGTGATCTCTCCTTCGGCTCCCCACCGGAGTCCAAGCTCCCTGTTGATGTGGAGGACTTCCTGTCCAGTTTCTGACATGAGTCAGGAGAGAAAGCACAAACACCCAGAGGGATTTTAAAGATTCATTAAGATGAAAAGGCATGAAATGAAAATAAATGGAACTTGATCCCTGTTGTGTAACTGGGGCTGCAAAACCAACAGCCTTCCTCATGGGAAAAATTAAACAGAGACAATAAAGATAAACCAGAGGAAAGGAAACTGGTGTCAAGTAAACAAACAGGTTCAACACATGCTTCTATTAACAGTTATCTTATATAATGATGGTGTGAAAGTCTTTAACTGCCTAATTAGCCTCGTTGTATCGGGTTATTACCTCTCCCTCGTCTCCCTTGTCTCTGAAGGCTGTGGCAATGCTGGTCTGGACGGCTTTGATCCACGCCTGTCGCAGTTTCTCGGAGTCTGCTTGCATCATACAGCTCCTGATGAGACACAGATACGTCACATGAACTGCTGTCTTCTGCGTTTAAGTGTGTACATGTGAGTAAAAGGTGGGTACAGTGCTTCTCCACCTTCCCACTTTGCATACTCAAGTGCTGATTTGACTGATGGAAATGGGTACCTCAGAGGATCACACTTACTTGGTGGGTGACACCACTTCGAAACAGAAGCGACGCTCTATGTCCTCACAGTGTTTGACTGTACATAGCCTCAGGTCTTCCACTACCACTGTAGGATTATCCTAATGGAAGAGAGTAAACGGTAGATACACGAAGGAAACAAGTACTGAACAAGGACGTTTTATCTGATAACATATTGAAAAGAAACAAAGGATTCATGAACATTTACAGAACTACAATATCTCACTTAAAATAATTGAAGTATTTACATTGAGCAGGTAGGGGAGTTTAACTTAGGTGATGTGTATGTTAGGCAGTGGTGAAAATAGCATTAAAAGCACAACACTCCAATCATTACTGACTAAAATAAACCGGCCAGTTATAACTTTAGTATTAAAAAAATCAATGCCTTCATCTATTATTCTAAATAGCTTTGTACATCCTCTTTTTCTGTTAGGCTTAGGCATGTTGCCAGTGAAAAATGTGTTCCACTAGTTCCTCAGTTAAATTATTTGCATAACATCCACTATATTTACGGGTCAGTTTCGAACCATGTCTTAAATCATATGCAAACTACACTAAAAACATTTCTCTCTCATACAATTTGGTTCTCATCTCCAGGTTACCTTGTTAGGCTTCATTATCTATGAAAATATTGCTTATGATAGTTTTTGTTGTGGGCCTCTGGGCCTTTCTTTGTCAGTATACCCCTCAGACAGAAATCCATACCGAATTGATCTCACAGGTCTGGACAAGTCCAATGTTGTTTGTTTGTGCAGGGAAAAACATGGAAAAATGAGAATTTCCTAAATCTCACATGATTGGAAGAGGATCTGACTGTCAATGTGTTGCCTGACAGTGCACAAATGATTTTAATTTTTGCTCTAACTATTGATTTTTGATCTAACCGGGACAACAGTGACTCTAACACGACAAGTGCCATAATTTCAATTAGAGCATTTAATAATTTAGTCAAAAAGTCTTCATGCAAAAAAAGCTAATTTAAGTGGTTCTTTTAAGCATTTAAATACAAAAACGGGTCGGTGCAGACCCTAACACAGGAGGAGGGTTAAGAAGCATCTTCTGTAATTCACATTTTCAACTTCTAAAGTGTATTATCTCAACTTTAAATTTTTCAAAATAAAAGACCTGCATGTCACAAAAATAAACACATTTTTACACACAGTCGGAGTTCATCACATTGTTAAAGATTTAAGCTGGTAACCAGAGCTCTTAAATGAAGCCACAGCAGACTGTTAAAAATACATGGGGTGGGGATATTTGTGCTGGAAGTCAAACACATGCATTTTTGATAGCGGTGAGTGTGTGGGGAGTCACTTGACTTACCTTGAATTTCTTCTGGTAAACTAGCTGATTGTTCTGGATGGAGAACCAACGCCTGAAAGCAAGAAAACTCAGTCACATGCAGTTGCCGGAAATACCCTCAAAATAACCGTCTTTGGCACAAATTCCGTGAGAATCAAGTGATGGTACTGTTTATAGAGATAACTGATGAGTAGATACGTTTATTTAGAGGGATATGATTTTAAAGCAGTCACACTACAGTGTCCTGATTACCTGCATTACAAAACTACAACAATTTAATCATCTATTTATGAAAGTCTTTTAAACATTTCTTATGAAACTTGCTAAAGTTTGAAATGCAAAGTACCTATAACTTTTTATCATACACTTTCATGTTTTTCTTGAACATAAACTAGAATCTGAATGTTAATCAATCATGTGTTCATCACACCTATTCCATGTCTTGAATGCATTGCTGGCCCTCTTAAACAGATAACCCTCCATGGCGATGCCGTTGTCTGCATCAACATTATACTCCAGCTTGGTGTCGTCATTTGAGAAGTCCTGAATAGAAAAGTAGGAGTGAAGACACAGGAGAGAGGAAAGAAAAAGACAAAAACAAGAAATATGATGTTAGAATAAAACATTCAATAATAAACTCAATTCTTGTAATACTGTAATTTTCTTGGTTTCCTTTCATCCTCAGAATCAACAAATAAAAATGATATGACTATTCACACAGTTGGGCTTTGATTATTTGACTCAACCCATTGAGTTTATTTTCCCGTTTGGCAGTACCTGCTTCAGACGGGTGAAGTTTATAGCTGAGTTACACTGACAACTCTAAATAACTAAACAACTAGTGTGAGTAGATTATACAGTGTGTTGCCCAAGTGAACTTACTTGGTGGTTTAGGTAAGGAAATATATTCCAGGAACAAGTATAGATCAGTATCAAACATACATCAATCCAGAGCAACAAACAGGTACATGCATTTTTTTTTGTCTCATTAGGCAAACAGCTAACATTGCACCAAGTTATTGCGCAGGTTTCTTTACTTTAAAAACAGAATGTTATATGGGGACTTTTTTGCAGATATCAACAGGAGTGTATTTTGCTTAAGGTAAACATTTTTAAACAAAAACAGTCCCATCTGTAAGACATAAAAATGTCCATGAACCCAGAATCAGTGTATTATATATCTATTTGATTTTATAGGATTTTGTAAAGTCTTTGAAAACAAACTTTGCCTTTTTTCTATTACATCTATGTTTGCAAACAACCTTAACCTTGATTTACATTTACAGTGCTTCATGCTGAATATTTAGTTTGATGGTGTAGTTATTCAGCTTTATTAGGACAGTGAGTTACTGTCATCAAAGGAGAAAGTAGAGATTTCATGCAGCCTTTCTCTCATCTCCTCTGCTGCCACTGTAACTGAATCTGCTGTGTTGTCATGGGACTGTCCCTGTGATCGGTCCAGTTTTAACTACCTGAGCCGCTGCCACACTTTCCTAACACCCTCCTAGCTTTCGCAGCTTAAAGTGACATTTTACACCATGATGCGTGCACGTGTGTGGTGTGTGGGTGTCCTTGTAGAGTCAATTTACACTGAGTGTCACTACCTTCATCATTTACAGCTCTAAGTCTGGTACTATGAGCCAAGGAATTGTCTCCTCTGTCGTCCTTCCAGAAACCTCCCCAGATTCTGTCTGACTCTGTCTGACAACTGACTTTTTCCTGGCACAATAAAACCAATACAGATGTGTTGCTCTGATTTAAGAAATGTCTTAAAAAAGAGTTTAACACAAATCTTGTCAGCCTCATATCCTGGATGCTGTGTGACTTAAACCTCGTGGAATGAAAAATCTCTATTAAAGTAAAGGGTCAAGAGTCGTTTTGGGATAGTTTCTTTACACGCATATCAGCTGAACATTATCAATTTACCTGATACACATTTTAAAACTTTGAAATGTCTGTTAATTTTACGTTAAAGCCTTTTACTTTTGTCTCGGATAAATCTCAAAAGGGAAACAAAAAGTTTGTTTAAGTAATGAAAGCAAAGGGGAAACTAATAGTGCAGTCAAAAGGTCTTAATTCAGTTCTTGGGACATTATTTTACCCCCAAAATACACTTGAACAAACCAAAAGCACTAAGCTTTGAGAGTGGGGCTTGCAGCAGCTAACATTTATGATCAGTGTAGCACATTAAGCTTTTATATTCTAAAGCATGTTCAACTCCCACTCTTGACCAATCAGCCTCGACCAGCCAGTATAGATGTTCAGTATGTAGACGTACGTGTAAGATGGACAGACTGACAGAGGTTTAGGTATTTAAATACTGACGATTTACAGGCTTTCTCTGCAGCCATGCTTTAATCTACTGCATGATTGCTGTTATCAGTGTAGCATAAATAAAAACTTGTAAAATCAGCTTCAGTTTTTTCTGATTTCAGTAACTTTTTAGCACGATTTTGGCTTCAGTGCTCTCTGCTTCATCATCATTCCCTATATGAACTCTATTTACCTCTATTTACACATAAAGCATGACTGCAAGTTACCTGCATGTCCATGTAAAAAGCCTCTCATTGCTGGATTTGAAAATATACCCTGAGTGTAACAGCGTTAAACCCTATTGCACTTTGATAACATGGTGTACTGAGTGCACACACACGCACGCACGCACGAACGCACGCACGCACACGCACACACACACACATCACACTTGCAAAAGTACAGGCAAGCCATTTTCCAGTATGACACACTCTGGGACAACTGGGGTTGTATTTTGGGTGCACAAGGATGACAAAATGTGACCTTTAAATGGAAACACAATGGAAAGTACCAGTCTTGGCGATGAGTGTTAAACCATTTTCCAGAGGTGGGGTTAAAGTATCTTTGAGAGATGGGTCGCACAAAGCCATAAACTATGCCAATAAATATGCAACATATGTTGAATATTAAATGAAAAGTGACTGACTAAACAAAGGACTTTCCACCAGGGACATCATGAGACCAAGACTGATCTGGGGTGCTTTGTGTATTTTCAACCACACATGAACTAAAACACAATTATCAGAAAAATCCCCACAAACACGGAGAATCCAAACTTTAGAGCTATGCTTAAGAATGGTAATATGTCATGTGAAAACCTGTCTGGGTGTTTTCAACACAACTGTGGTTTGAGAAATTCCTTTGACCTCTTGGGCCAAGGGAAGCATTTTTAACCCAGTTACATTTATAAAAGAGAAGTGGTCAACAAGTGCTGTTGCTCTTAGTTCCTTAAACGTTGTAAAGATGCAATGGTGTTTGCCTGACGCTGACAGTAACAATACGTCCAAACTGGCTAATGTCCAAAGAGCATCAAATTCATTATCAACCTTAATGCAATGAACAGTAAACTGACACACACCTGCAATTTGAGCTCACTGTGGAAGACAGTGGCACCCACAACATGGCACTACAAACATGCTGCAAATTCAATTCACATCAACACAGATGCATGTGTGACACCTGAACATGAGGGAACAAGCAAGGGTGCAAACATATTCACAAACACTGCAATGCAGTCTCTTAGTGTGTGCAGGAGGAGAGGAGATGTAAAACAGGGGCAGGTAGGGTTACAACATGGAAGTCAGATGGAAATCAATGCAGTGACTCTACATACGGAGGACGACCTCCAAGCGCAAAAGTTGCGGCAGTCTGGTGAAGAGTCGAGCTCAGTCACCTCCTAAAATGTCACACACAGCAAGAGAACAACAAAGAGAGAAAAGTTTGTTTGTCCTTACTTTAGCAGAGAGGAATCTAAATACCAAGCTACAGGAACACGCCATAAGCAAAGACTGTTACTATAAATAGCAGAGGCGTAAGGATGCTGTCGCTTTCAAAGACAAACACACAGAATCCAACTCGAGTTCCCTCTTCAAGTGCACTCACCAGATACCAAACATAGTGAAATCTGCTGAAAATCTTCATCTTTCAGACTTTGTAAAGAGCCACCATGTGAGTGTTTCTGTAACGCTGATGATTCTTATCCCAAAGTCTCGCAGAGCAGCATCTCAATGACAAACTGTGTGACTCTGAGCAGCGTGGCCTGTCCCTTCTACTAACTGTCACCTCCTCTCTCATGGCTGTGTATGTCTATAGAAACTTTCGTCACTTCCCTCTGCTCCTCCTCCTGAGGCCTGAAGCTCTAACCGGAGGTCACCTGGGCGTATGTGAGTGTGAGTGATGCCTGTGTAACTGTGAGGTCAGAATAATCAAGTCGACAAAAAAGAAGAGCTTGAGCATCAAACATTTAAATTGAATTTGACTTAGCAGGTATACACAACGACACTTTCCTCTTATTTCATTTAAAACACCATTCCTGTGTTTCCAGCCTGTGAGAATTACTTTAAAATAATCAAGCTTTGCTATGCTCGAAAAATATGCAACTTTTTTTTTTTTTTTTACAACAAAGCAGCTTTAAAACTAATGAAAAATACATTTTTATTTATAAGATAAGGGGACCAAAATAGGAGTAAGACATGTTCTTACTCAGCAGCCCCGCTCTCTCTCTCTCCAGCAGCTTCACTGTGGCACTGTCATGCCTTGTGGTCACAGTGCTGCTGCTAAATAATGCACACAGGCAGATAGTAGCACACAAAACACAAGTTACAACCCTCTGGAACTCTATGAGGATGACAGGAGGCAATAATTGAAGGAATTAGTGTTTAAAAGCGTATTATTGAATGATGAGGAGCTGGTTATTTATCACATAACAAGTACCTGATAACAACAAGTAACTGATGATCTAGATTTTACAGGTGTGTCAAAGTTTGTGTAATTTATACTGGGTCAAATGACCTAAGTCACTAAAGTGGATGTGGATCACTTGATGTTTGAAATAATTAAACATTATTAAGCCCTCATTATTAAGTACTCATGTCTCAAGTTTGTGATACAACTAGTCAAAGAGACCTCACAAGGCCACAGTTACAGCCCCCATAGACAGTACATAGACCTACTTCAGTGACAATGTTAAAACTCAACCTGGTTTCTCAGTTTAAGACTCCTGAGGAACTTTTTTCAATCTTATTTACGTAACATTTGTGCAATCTCACAAGTAACATCTAGGCATGTTTAAACAAGCAAGAAAAGGCGTCTGTTTATCGGCACACTGGTAGAAATTTAAACCCATAATGAAAAACACGAAAAGAAAAATTACCCTCCTGCTCATCTGAAGAAAAACCCCAACCTCAAAAAAATACAGGATAGTGTGTTAAGTGTTGATAGAAACTAAATGTTGATGGTTTGCAAATCATATATACACTATCCTACATTTAAGTTGAAATTAGTGAAAAGAAAACAAATCAAATACTGAAACTAAATCAACGTTCCCGTTTTGGTAATCATACCCTGTCACATTTTTAAAACTGTGTATAAATGAGCATTTATTTTTCTTAAAACAAGACCATTTTCCAGTTTTGACTTGTTTAAACTATTTTCAATTACAAATAACCTTAAAAATCCATTTCTATTAGCATATTACTGTAAATAATTGAACCCAACAGAGAGAAGAAAAATGCTGCTTGATTTGGTATATAAAATCAAGGGCGATGAGACAACAGAGTCATGATGGTCTGAAAGTTATTAATCATTTTAGGTGGTTACATCAATGGCAAAAAAGTACAAGTGCATAAATAAAATTTGGATTTATTTTACGGCATTACACCTGGCACATTAATCTAGTGATTAATGAGTTCAGGTCTTCACAAATTATGTAAGTTAGAGAAGTGGAGTCTAAGCAGTGCTGGGAAAGTGTGAAGTATCTGTCCAACCATGCAGATAGGACACAAGTACGACAGTGAGGGAAAAGAAAAGGAAGAGCAACTCACCTGAAGAGCAGCCTGAAGAGAGTAGAGGAAGAGGAGATATGAGGAAGAAGAAATAGTAGAAGAAAAGAAAAGACAGTTGGTTAGGAGTCAGTGTACAGCAGCCAGACGAGAGAGTGAGAGAGCAGTGGGAGCCAGACGATATAAAAATAGCATCTCGATAAATTAAGGCAGGGGAGGTGGAGGATAGGTGCTCAAGGACAAGGGGGAAGTTGGCACATGTACCATCACTGATGGTCCAAAGGGGGGAGGGAGAGTGAAGTGGGGGAGGCAGCAAGCAAAAGAAAAACACCAAGCGACAGATGGAAAGAACATCAGAGGGGACAAGAAAAGGCTGACTTTAAAGAACTCGCACAAAGTTTGACACTGATAAGAGCGTCGCTGATAGGCAGACAAATTAACAGGAGCCCAGCAGACAACAGCTGGGCAGAGAACTGGCAGATGTCGTCTTCTATTAATTAAACCATGTGACGTTAAATTAAAGCAAAGGGCATTTACTTTTCATATATACACAGGAACGTAACACCTCAAGACTTCTTTTTTCTCTTTGTAGTTTGGTGCATCTTTTCCAGTGAGGTATATAGTATATCAGGAAGTGTAACTCATGGCATGGATGCTGACCAGAGAAGGTATCTCATTGAAACCCAACCTTACTTGTTTGGAAATGGGTTTTTTTCAGCCTTCAATTATGCATGTGTGTGTGGCTGAGATCATCCATAGGGATTACTTTACCCCTGAGGGCGGGATACCACCACTCAAATGACAAACGTTGAGTTAACAAGTTTAATCAATAGCATCAGCATGTAAATACTGGGAAGTTTATTTCTGAGCAATGGTGTCATTAAAAGCAAATAAATGAATCTCTGATTAAATCTAATCATGTTATCTTGTGAACTACATCATGTTCTACGCCTGTAGTGTTTCACGGTGGCCTGAACTTAAGCCATGTTAAAAGAGAGTATCGGTGGACGGTATCAGCAGGGAAACACTCTGTGATCCAGGGTTAAGGGTTCATGAGGCCATGGGGTAGAAGGTTGGTCATGCAGGATCTCAGCAGAGGGCTGTGTGTTTACCTTTAATAGAGGGAGGTCTGGATACAATAAAAAAGGCTTTGTAACTTAAAGCAAGGGGATCTAACTGCTATGAAGTAGCCACACATGAGTCAAGAGCAGATTTTGAGTTTTCAGGTGACTGGGCAAAGGCAGGGAGGATGATGTTTATAGAAAATTGATTCACAGCTGTGTGAATCAATTTTGTAAGTGAAAGTCTGCCCTTAATTTGTACCATTTTGTTGATTTAAGCGAATATGATTCTGCGTTTACCTTTTGCTGAATGGTGGAGTGTTTCTGTTCCATGTCCCTCTTCTCTTTGGCAGCATCAACCACCAGCTGGTCCAACTGCAAAGGGCAGAGCGACTGATTAGTCAAGCTGACCAAACCACCTGGTCACACAGATCTGAGTCACAGCAGCACATATATACAAATATACAAATACATAAGACTCATTTTTTGAATTCTCTTATACTGAAGAACCTCTGAGGTAAAATAACCAGCTTGAGATAAAAAAAGAAACACATATTAAAATTCGAAATCATGTATCTTTCTATTTTGGTCAAAAATAAACTCCTTTTCTATCCATCCAACAAAATGAAAAAATAGATTCTCTAAATCTAATGCTACAGGATTGAAAAGGAAGAGTTCAGATGTCTGCAGTTTGTATGTGTGTCAGTCTGTGAGCACTGATGCCTTTTTGTCCTTTTTTTATCTTAAGGATGTAACTAAATATAAACAATTTTTCCACAGGCCAAATCCACACAAGACAAGCCTTCTCTTCTCAACAAAATGGCCCGTGCCATGAAAGCTTCGTCATGTGTGAAATTGGATGGGTGGGGGGGGGTTTGATTCTCCTCATCCTGTGAATGACCATCGCGTGTATGGAGGAAAATAAAGAATCGTCTCAGCAAAGAAGAAAGCAACAAATTAAAAAAGGATCAAGTGCTGGAGGTCAGAGATTTGAGGATGTGCCAGTTTGCCTTAAAACCATGAACTCTAAATCTGTGTCTCTTTCTAGTTCGTGACCACATCATGACCCAAATCAGCTTGTCTTGTGCTTTGAACACAAAAGGATCAGTGTCTGCATATTACACAAGTGTACTCGTCCTGTGATTTAAATGACTGTGGCACAACTTTAAACCAAGTGCCAATCTATAGAAATGGGTTAAACAGAAGCCAGCGTTCATAGTAATATGGAGGAGAGTGGTGCAAATATTTTACTTCTCTTTTGATTGTGTAAAGTTTCCTGTCGGGTTGTTTACATACTAGCAAATTAAAACTGGTCCTACGCTGAGTTTACCAAATTTATTTCTCTATTTCAAATGATATAAAACTTTTTTAGGAAACAAAAATGCAGCAAAGACAGCGTATGACAGAGCTGGGTCTTTTGTTTTGTTGAAGAGGAAATGGGTGGACAACAGAGCAGCAGGCTGATAACATCGGATGGGAAATGTTCCTCCCATCTCGTCACATAAACTAGTCCAGTCCAGTCCAGTCCACACTGACTATCTGTTTCTGAGGCTGAAACATGAGTTTGTGTGTAGCGCTTCACATCCTTTTGACTCACCATACCTGTAACATCTTATCTATCAAACTCTGCAGCCCCTGCTAGAAGATCTAAACTGAGATATTTCCGATTCAAAGAGTTTGAAGACAATAAAGCATTCGGTCATTTTGTCTGCAGAGATCTCTTATGACATGTCACTACAGTGGTAAGCTGCATGATTCATAGAAAAGTTACAAACCTTTCCTTGTGAATGGATACACTCATCCAAAATGTGTTAAATACTGAGACTTAGTGTCACGGAAAGATGCAATCTGCTGAAATCTTTATATTAAGAAACAGGAAGCGCTTTAAAAAGAGTGGAAAACTCTCGTGTTTGGAAGTTGTCATGCCTTTTCACACCCTTTTGTACCTTTCTGCAGAAAATGTTCAGCGCAACACACACGTACTTTTCACAACAACTGCAGGGAAACATCTGGAAAAGTATATTGGTGTTTGCTACTGCTGTACGTAGCTCTGAAAAAACAGCAGAATATCCTTTATTGTACTTTTCCAACCTACTACAGGCTGCGTTGGTAAAACCTGTTGTATTGGCTCACTCTCTTTTACCATTCATTCATGTAAACTAACTGATTATCATTAATATTCCCACCCCTTGATGAGCCTCTGATGGGCTTTAGACATCAAGTCATATTATCAGACCTGTTGACAGCTCCTCCACACCTCCCTGCACAGCCTCTCCACCTTCTTCAGCTTCATGATGGAGAGGAGAAAAGAAATAATCCACTCTTCTCTTGTCACTGCCTTCCACAGCCCGGCCTCTGATCTCCCTCTTCTTTCAGATTCACAGCGCTCCAAATTCGTTGTGACAGGCTTAAAATCCAAACAGTGCAGTTATACTTTGGTTGTTCATGGACTTGAAACCAACCCTCTCTCTATTCCCTCCTCTCCAGGGGGGAAAAAAAATCTTTTACTTTCAAAATCCTTGCAGTCTTTTCAGTGTTGAAAGCTTACAGTCGATTCCTTTCCAGCTGCCTTTCTATTCTTCTCCAGTTGCTTTGCTTTGAGCAGATTACATTCTGCCTCTTATCCTTCCAAAAATCAGCTTTTCAAAGTGGGTCCTGTCTCCCCTTTCATCTGTTCCCAGCACTGTTTGGTCCTTTCTGTCAATTCCTTGATGATACCAAAGTCAAAGGTTCCAAATTCAGAGCAACAACACACACCCCCTAACTCCAGTTTAGAAGGCTGCTGTCCTAGCTCTTCAGAGCTAGCTTCCAAAGAAGGTCTTCTGTTTCTCAAAAAGTTGTAGTTTGATCACTTGTAGGTTCGCACATCAGAAAAGAATGGTGTCCTCAATTCTTCTGCCCATGCAAGCTCTTCATCTCCAAAACCGGACTCCTTTGCATCCTTCGCCTTGTACCAAAATTTCAAAAAGACACTGTCCTCCCAGTCAGCCCTTGTTACTGCTCCATGGATCGATTCACCTTCAGTCTTTGCTGTGTTCACTCAGCTGACTGTCTACCCTATGAGCATAACTGTGGGAAAACCCTTTTCCAGCCCCTCTGGCTGCTTTCTTCCTCATTCCTACTCCCTGTAACAGCAGCTCCACTGTGATAATCATCTTAAAGTCACATTCGGGCCATCCTCTGGCTCAGAGGGAAGGCTCTGTTTATCAGAGGACCCAAACAGACACACACTGAGCTGAAATATCAGTTGACAAAAAGATAGCAAGAGACACACACACACACACTGGGAGGATAGGAAAACAAACACAAAGAGGAGAGATGGGTCGTCTGGAGGTGAAGTCAGGGGGTCAAAGTGCAGCTGTACAGCTCCCTCATGATTGAGTTCAGAACTGACGACACTTGCAAATTCTAAGATGATTATAAATAACGTTTCAGAGTCACTAACAAAACACTCCTACAAACTCCAAAAGAGCTCCTGAGCGAGGGACACTGTTTAGGTAATCATACAATATGTCCCTCGCCCACATTATGAAAAGTGTTTACCAATGGAGGGCACGGGTATGTAAACTCACATGACATTTGTTTGGCTTCTCTGCCCAAAATAGATCCATGTTTGCTTGTGCTGCGAGAGTTTATACTTTATGTTCTAATAACACTAAAAACACAGACCAGAAGCAGAGTGGTGTTTATTTTTGTACAGACGGTAAAACTGTTGTTACAAGGTAAAAAGTGAAACCAAAACCAGGAGCCTCCGGATTAATTAACCTTCTGACAACAAACAGATGTGATGACTACAGTTATGATGGATTGCATCTTAATGGCCTTGAATTTGTGTGTTTGCATGTGTGTTAGGTTATGCTACGATTTAAAAAAATTGTGGGGATTCATGGTGGTTCAAGTGCATATCCAAGATGCTGCTGAGGCTAATCGCATGTAGCTGGTTTGTCCATGGCCCCTGGCTACTTGTCATCCCTCACACTCTACTCTCTCTTTGGCTGTCATATGCAATTTAGGCTAACATAGCTGCAAAGGAAGTTTTAAGAACTTAAAGTGGGATATTGGAGTGTGGAGAAATTGTTCAGATTTAGGTTCACCATCTAAAATCTGAGGCGCTTCATGAGCCACCACAGATTCATAAGGTCTCATAGATTCAGAAAAGAAAACAGCGTTGTTTTAACTGTTGAGGCAAAACTCCACGTTTTGTAATCAGGGAGGTGGAAGAAAAGAGAAACCAACGTAAAGAGGTCAAATGAATTGAAGTTGTTGTTTTTAGTTGGAAATATGCTGCTAAATTTGACATCAAAACAAACACGTTTCAAGTTTTATACACCACTCTAAAGTAAGCACGTTAACCTGTGTATAAAGTATGGCCCATACCTGTCCTCCAAGCAGCTTCATGAGTGGTTGTAGTTCACTGAAGAGATCATATCCTTGGTGGAAGAATGTCAGGTGGGCATACATGAAGGACAACATCTGTGGAGAAAAACTGAATATTCAGAAACTCTGTAGGGGCTCTGCATAAATCATGTGACGTGCTAGAAGATTATACTCACAGATTTTAGGATTTCTGATCTTCTCTTGGACTGTAGCACATTGATCTATATGAGAATAAGAACACAATTGAAAGAGCAATTAGTAAAGCAAACATAAAATCCCTGTGAAAGGATCTAATACTGGTGTTTATCCTAGACATACAATAGTCCCGCAAGTAGACTGGGACAATATTAGATGGCTACTTTTCCTGCCTACCTATTTACCTTCGCTCTTGCAAGTAAATAGAAGTGGTCTAAGTGACTGTGAGGTGGTTTGATACCATCATCAGGGACGATGACTTTGTGCTCCTCTACAAAACCATGTCCACTAATCTCTTTTCACCAGCAGTAACAAGACAGTACATCTTCTTTTCTGGAAATGATTTTGGTGTTTTAACAGCTTTCAACATTTTAGAATACACTCTTTTTTCTTTTTAGGTCGGCAGGCTTAATTTCCAGTGGGAAAATAGGAAGAAGCCATATGCACTGGAGGTGTACAAGCACCAGGCTTTTAAAACTATGTACTGAATCTTACTGAAGAGAAAAAGCAGGAATGGAGATAGTGACAAAGACAGAGAGAAAGAGCACGAGAGAGAAATGATTATGAGGTAAGATTCCTAAGATAAAGTAAAAAATCATCAGTCAGTAAAAGGTCAATGAGTGGCAGCAGTAAAGCCTGAAATGAGTGAAAGAGGATTTAGAAAATTCACACACCAGCCCAAGCATCTCTGGACAGTAGTATCATGTACTTGCACCAGGGGGAGCTGCATGCATGTCTCTGCATGTTACATCAAAGGATTCTGTTGCATCTATTTCCTCTGCTGCAGGCATTGCAGCCGTCTGTCTGTCTCTTTTCTTTGTTTGTGTGTATTTTCTTGTTGTGTGTGGGTGTGTTGCAGACTCTTCGTCATCTCTGGCTAATTAATGCCGTGAGTTAGTCTGACCCAAAAGGTTATTTCAGGTTCATGCTGCAGAGAGGAGATAAGTTAGAGAGGGTGGTAAATCCAGACACCGAAGCTCTTCGGCTTCTTTTAGTCTGACAGAGAGTGATGAGTGGTATGTGACGATGGTCCCTGACTGGGCATGGCTGATGCATTTGACTCCTTCAGAGGGCGGAGCGGCCCGGTGTGAGTTCCAACAAACTGTCTGGATTTTGCTGGGTTTAATGGTTTTCTTTTTTGCAGTCAAGAAAACAGGGACAGTACACTTCGACCCACTGAAGAATAAAGCTTGAATTCCTTGTTGTGGCCAGCAATTTTTTTTGGCAGTAAGGCCCTTTTCCATGGCAACAAAAAACCCACACTTGTGTTTATATACAGATATAAATCCCACCCAGGGAAGGAAGCACAATTTTCCATCTTCTAACCACAGTGGTTGATGCATCACAACTTTTACAAGCCCCTTCTTTCTCTCGATTACAGTCAATTAGTAGTTTTGACTGGAGCAGTACCTCTGAGCATCGGTTTGTTTAACCAGAAAAGTTCATTATGGTGACAACAAACACAACTGCCAAGAGTAAAATTCATGAGCGTTTGGTTAAGTGGTGGTAATCCCACACTTACAAGGGTGCAGGATTTAGGCTTAAAGTAGTCCAGTTTTAAGCATGGAAAATTTTAGGTTTGTTTGGACATAAAACTATCTATGCAAAGAGTAAACTGTGCTTCTGCTTTTCACTGTTGGGCTGGAAGCAGGAAGTGATAACATATGGTCAGGCAGGCTCATAATCCATTTTGCAGCATGCAGTGTTGTCTTTATAACACAAAATGCCTGACAGACAGTGAGCACTGCAACCTAGAGAGTTTAAAGTTCAGAGTTTTATGATCCAGCTCTACGTGGCACAGCACGGTAAGAGGACATGCTCCGTTCTTTAACAGTCGTGAATGCAAGTCTGGCTTACAACCTCCCTCATATATTTCCTTCTCCCTCCACCATCTTGCATGTCACTGTAAATGGTGCACTATATAATTAAGAAAAAATGCCACGAAAACAATCAAAAGGGGACAAAAAACAGAGCTGTAATCTATCTTAGATGTTTTCTGCAAGCACAGCGGCAGAAGTGAGCAACATTTGTAAAGTGCTGACAGCTCTGCAAATACGTGATACTTTAAAGGAGAAGCACTAAATCAGCTGGTTTTTCGATTCCCTAACAGAAAACTGACGGGCGAGATAAAAACTCAACTAATTTCTCGCAGTCAGACTTTATTTTATGAGAGTTATTATGCAGTGGGCTTCTGGAGCAGGCTGCCAACACTATTTTCAAACCCCCCTGTTGGTTTCTTTTCAAACTCTAATTTTGGAGCCAGCATTGTCCGAGCTTTATTGTCTCTTCCTCTGGAGTAAGAATCAATAACAGGGCTAGACGCCTCCCTATCAGAGGGCATGAGACATTCATCTGTATGAGTGTGACCAAGAGATGAGACTCAGGGCACAGCTGATGTATTATTCAACAACATATAAACAGTTTTTACTGCCAAAGATCATTCTGTGTGGCTTGAATAGTAAGGGGTCTATGATATTTAAACAAACTGAAAGAGAAAGGAACATGTTTGCATTCATCATCTATGCAGAGATACATAAATGCTGTGTGTTATGTCCTAATATCACAGTGTACCAAAACTATCACTAACTTCTTTTACTGCTTCAGTTTTGCAGTGCTAAAGACCGAATCAGCAGCTGCTCTCTGAGTCCTGTTAAGGCATTAGCTGCCATTTCTCGTTTTCAGCCACATCCATCAGTGTTTGGGTGGTTTACTATAAATTTAACAGGCTCAAACACAGCTGTTGTTCATTCTTCACTGTGCAGCATCAGCACTTAAATACCGACTCAGCATATAAGGCTCCATATCCAAACTTATGTTGGCTCTAGTGCACAGAGGAGCATCCAACATGACAGTGTGTAGCTGAGCAAAGCCCAAAAGTTAAGATGTCAGCAAACTAGTTTTACACAGAGTCTGATCAAACTGTAACACTAAAGGGCTTCTAAGGTATTGCTTATGATATGGAAAAATGTGAATGACATTTCTCAACCCTTCTAGGATTTCTTTGGGCTTTGCTATGACTGTTTCCACCTTGAATGCTTAGCTGAAAAAGTTGCAGTGCAAGTTCTGATGTTTGTTGAGGCTGAAAATTTGTGCAACACATGGAAAATTTTACATCAATTTTGTATCATTTTTAATGTCCAGGCACCAAATCAAATGTTTTAAAAAATACAACTTCAGTAAGTTTCTTTCAAACACAAAGTTCATACTAAGGGTCTTATTTTCAAGGATAAAAAAAAATAATAATCATCTGTAGAGAAATAATGTTTATATTGTTCTGCTTTTTACTTATAAGACTGTTGGATTACTTTCTCTCTGTACAAAAATATTCTAACTATTAAAATGAATGCTGACTTTGAAGTGTGACAGACCACTGATTGGTAGAAAGTAAGGAACACAGCCTCTGATTGCCTAAATATCCTCTGATATTGAGTGGAATATGACTTTAAAAATAAAGAAGTAAATATGTGACATACATGCTGATGTCTTGAGGGATGATAGGGTTGCAGACCCCATTTATATAGACACTAGAGTTTGGATGAATTTGCAAAGTCCTGTAAAAATTGCACTGTTTGGTTGAATTAGTATAAAGATTAAAAAAGATTTGATGAGCTGTCACAATATAGTTACAAATTTCCACCTTTTTTATTTTAATAAAGTTTCAGGTGCAACTTTAGAGAAATACAGCGTCATGCCCCTGCTACAAGGTTGTTAAAAGTTGAATCACTCCCCCCAAAAAACTTTACTGATTACTCTTGTCTCCTTAATTTTTTCCCATTTCCAATATTCTACTATAAAAACATAAAGCCTATATGCGAGCTGTCATACCTGTAGGACGTAATCGAGGACGATGTGTCGGAAGCACTTGCGTGTGGCAGTGAGGATGTTGGTGGCCTCCTCCACCTCATGCTGCTTGTTGCGTGGAGCCTGTGCATTTTTGATCAGCGCTGCCTCCTTCTCCTCACTCACTTTATCAAACTGCTTCTTGGCTTCTTTGAACTTTCGTAGGTCACTGACAAAGGACAGACAAAGGTGTTGAAATTAATTCAGTACAGGAATTCATCTCTTTGAGAGGACACTTTTCATTCATAAGGATCTAGGGAATAAAGTTTCATATTTAACAAAAAGTTGTCTCTAGCTTTTATTTAATTTTAAGCAACAAAAATAAACATAACTGTCTTGAGCTGACTGGAATGGTCTCGCGTGTTGCCACAATTATTTACAGTATTTAAAAAATGTCAAGATATTGTTTGATGCTTTTGAGAAAATCTATGACCAAGCTAAAAAAAAGACAGATCCCTTTGCTGCCAACATATCTTGTGAGGGTGAAGGTCAGCTTTTAAAGGAAAGCAAAGAAGTAACAATACAGCCAGGGTCAGGCCACAGGAACACCCTCGAGTTAAGGGTTATATCATAAATCTTGTTAAGCTGAAAGTCCTAGAAGGCTAAAACAAACAAAAGTATTTCCTAGAACTATTTGACCCAGTTCTGGTCCTGTGTGTTGGTGTAAGTGACTAGGCAGTGCCTCTTATCTTGAAGAGGAGGACAAAGTCTCTAAACTCTTGCTTAAGTGAGATTAATATTAAATTGCTGGAAGGCAGAGAATAATACGGCATGAACAAGCTTCCCAGCCTTCTCTGAGATGTTTGGGTGCTGCTGATGTGGGTATTTAGCCGGTGTGTGCCAGGGGCTGAAGCGGCTAATCCTTATAATGACATAAACCAAAAGTTCCCACTGTTTCCTGCACAAGCAGTCTGGAATTCAATGCTTTATTAGGAGGCTTAAACAGGGAGATACAAGGCTCTCTAAAATAATTTTGCGTCCTTAAAAGCCCTGTCTGGATTCTCTGACAACCAGATATGCTGCTCCCTCCAGCTTCTACTTTGTAATTTCAATGGTAAGCCATTTAAAATCAATTACACTTTTCCTTCAGCACAGACTCAAAGAGAGCTCAGTTTAGCTCTGATAAGTCCACTATTCCTTATTTTTAGTCTATCCTGATACTAGGGAGAGTGAGAAGAAAATGTGTTGTGACTTTTTCTTACAGAGAAATGACCCAGAAGTAAAATTAGGGCCATTCTTCAAGCTTACTTATGTTTAAGGAAATAAATAAGTTTATGCATGACTGGATAAATACTCACTCTTTGACAAATGTTTGAAGTTGGATCTTGATTGATCTCTGGGCTTGATCGAATAATATCTGTGGAGGAAAAAAAAGAGGTTAATGTTTCTTCAGTGCGGCAAAATGTCATCTTTCTTTTACACAACTCTAATTAAACCAATTTGACCATCTTTACAAGGTAGGAGCAAAAAAGCTGATGGATGCATTTGCTTTGGCGGCTGCAGGACGCTTTGCTAGTCAGCATTAAGCACCTTGTTTGGTGGGATTTTTGTAAACATCACAGGGTGCAATTAAGCCGCTAAATTTATACAAACCAGCTGACTACGTAAACTCCCCTCATAAAAGACATAAACACAAGAAATGACGTGATTTTCTCACTTTATCTCGGTGGTGAGTCATTTCCTCATTAACCTACATGCCTCTTAAAAATGGGCTTCCAGGGAAAGGGCCCGACAAACGCTCTTTTCTAGGTGGGGCTTCAGTGCAATTTCAAGGCCAGACGAGACAATATGGACAGTGTGGCTGAGAGAGGCTACCAGTGACAAACAGATTGAGCACTGTGTGTTTGAGTGGATCATGTGCTGAAAGGATCGCTGAGTGGTAAAAACCTATCTAACGGTCAGCTGACGGGATGACAATTCCCACAGTTGAGTCACAGCAGCAGGCCCGTGCTATGGCTCCTGGAGGCTCTGGGTCTTATAGTCAAGAAAGCTAATAAGAGAAGACAGACTCAGAGTTGTGGTGGACAGCCCATCCTTGAGAGTTCTGGGACACCGCTAGATAAGAAAACATACAGTCTCACTAACACCACAAAGTGCTATAATCAAGCTTAAAGGAAACGTATGTCTACACTTCTGATCTACCGAAGTGTCAACCAATCTATCCAAACTGTTTCTGAACTTTCATAAATGGTAATTGAGGTTATAAATCTCAGATTTACTCCTAATGTAAAGTATTTTTTCAACCTCAGTCCATAAAAATGATTACATTTTGAATTCAGACTGCAAAGGTTATTAGTTTTAAAACGATAAACGACTTTATTTCTATTTGTGGTTCTTCTGGTTCTGGTATTATCATGGGTGTCTGCCTGCTTTCATCGCTTTTCTAAACATCTTCTTTATTTCATTATTTCACTAGCTTCTGCTAATGTGGAGTTTGACACCCCCTGCAGAAAAAGCAATACCTCCTACCTCTTTGTTGATCTCGTGCTTTTCATACGTTTGCTAAAAAATAACTAAATCTCCGGTATTTTAGAATTTAAATGTAAAACTCGCTGTAAACACTTCATGTTGAAAAGTACACACACTCAACGTTGAGCTGTTCAGTTGAGCAACCTGGCTCTAGGATTTCCTTTGAGGTTAATCAAGTATCATGCCAACATATCAGAAGCAATAATGGCTGCAAACTGTCATAGGTGTTTTGTTTTGTGTTTCTCATTTATGGACATTTACATTAGTTACTACATAATGATAACAGCAGCAGAACATCTGTGCTTTCCCTGCTATAGCAAAGTCCCCATTCACAACCACACAGACTGACATTTAGCTCCCAACTCGGTTGTTTGTGCTAACATGTCTCAGACAGCGAGATGGCAGCTGGAAGCTCACTCTGTCTGTGTCCGCAGAGTTGAGTGAAACATGGCATGACAAGAGAGATCAGGAAAAATAATTTTTCTGAGGGGGAGAGCCTCTGACGCACAATGAGCATCCCTTATGTGTTTAAGTGATTCGTAATAAGTGGACAGTTGTGTCTGCTTGTGTAAACGTCAGTGTCATGCCCACCAGAGAGTGACCACTGAGGATGGATACAAGGGGAGGACACAGCTACATAATCACACCCGTCACAAAGGGCTGCTTGGGGAGTTTGGCACAGAGGATAGAAAAAGTTTGTTAACATATCGCAGTGATTTATTGGCCATGACTGAGTGGCTGAAAGAGCGATGCATTATGTGACATTGCTGAAAAAGGCTGTAGGGTAGCCAAAATAGACAAAAAGTAGACAAGAAAAGGTAAATATATATTCTATTCCAGCTTTAAAACACTCCATGACACATGAAGTAAGGAAAAAGACTGGATTGGGCAGGAAAGTTCTCTCTCTTTAGTGTGATCTAAATATGTTGGGGGCAGGAGTAACTTTTTTGGACTTTAAGCTAAAACTTTATCAATATTTAAGCAATTCTTCAAGGAAAAGATAACCCCAAGAAATTTAGTAATTAGAAATCCCACCTGAAGGCCGTTTATCATATCCTATCTCTCAACTTTCTCCTACTTTGACTGCAAGCCCTGTGAAAGCAGTTTGATAACGCTCTAAGCACCCTGATAATGTTGTAGATCCTCAATAAAGTCTTTCTTTTGCTCTTTCTCAATCTTGTCTCCAACCGGTGGTCATCCCCTGATAAAACTTTTGTCTCTGTGTTGGATTGTGCTGTGCTGTTCTTCCCAGCAGTAAATAAAAACCCTGATGGTGAAAGAGCTGTTCCAGGCAGTCAGCCCAGCTGAGTTTTGTCCTTACGAAAGAGAAGAGAAAAAAGGGGAGGGGGGGGGGGGGGGTCACACTACATCCGGTTTCACATGGAAGTGGTAACATACCGTGTGATAGTTAATCATCTCCTGCAGACTCTCAGCAAACTTTGTGAGACTGGACTGTTGGGGAAAAAAGGGAGAAAGCATAAATGGATGCCAGAAACCCATTAAAAAGTATTCCAATAATTATAAAACACAAATTAACACACAAGACAAACAATAAAAATAGTTAAAATAATATTCAGAAAATCTCTTGTCTGACAAGTGAAGCTTTATGGAGGCTGTGGTCTTTTTTTAAGGAAATAACAGCACTTTGAGAAAGGCTTCTTTTGGCTACGTTACTCCCTCTCCACACATGCAGCAGCAGCAGATCTTCAAACCCCAGGGACGGACTTTGGGTGCAATACACAGCAGCAGCAGCAGAGAGGAAGTGCTTGGATCACCGTGCAAAATTCATGAGAAAACAAGACAGAGCATTTGACCTCTGCAAGACCCTGTAGATAGTACAAGGTTTCACCAGGCTACAATTTGTAAAATTTGGATTCAGTGTAGTAATGTCACAAAGGATGACTCATCGGGGATGAGCAGGGAGTACGTGAAAAAAGAGAAAGCACTGACTCCATTTTATTTGGAAGGAGTAGATCACAGCTTTACACTACGCTGAGTTTAGAGCTCGTTTTTTTTAATGTAGCTCATTACTTGGATTATATAAAGTATTTCTTCATTTTACTTAATGTAAAAATATGTAACCCCCCACCTGCACAAAAAGAAATGACACATTGAAATGATTTAACCATCGTTTCAGGTTGATTTCATTTACCTCGATGACTTCATCTTTGGTGGACTGCTGGGCTAGCTCCCGGATTCCATTAACAAACTGCTTGTTGGCTGCGTTGTATGCTTTGCCAGCATCAATCATCCCAATACATAACTTCACCAACTACAAAGAGAAAGACAAAGAGGCACACGCTTACGGGTGAGAAATGAAAAAAAATATGAAGATTCAGACAAGCTGAGAGAAGAAGATAACACTCAGTTGAGAGGAAATGGTGCTGGTCATTTCTTCAGGGTGTTCACTGTTATTAAAAACACTTGAAGTCTGCTGCTAAAAATATATTGAGGATTTGTGCATGTAGAGCCTTAAAGGAAGAACAAAAAGCAAAATGCTTTGTCAGTTTCTTGGTAATTAACAGCGAGCACTTTTCTCGTCTGACTCATTGGGGGCAAAGATAATTTCAGGTTATGTAAACTCACAACAAACACTGGCCGCTTTCCATCCACTCCCACACAGGAGATGACACACAGCCTCAATGTGGCTCTGCAGCCCTGGCTGCAACATAACTTATTAGAAATCTGTTCAGTTGGAGCAATTTCCTAATCAGTTTATTAAAACTGAAGCTCTTTATTCATGTCAGCTTTCTCTCATGAACAGTTAACAGGTGCATTAAATCTATTTAGTTTATAATTAAGTCATAAATTTTCTATGATTTAAACAATCCTGTCAACCAGTTTTTTAAATGAATCATTGCCTCAGTGATTGAGTGAGGACGATCAGAGGGAGGTGGTGCTAACTCTGTTAACGTAACATATTATGAAAACCAATTTGACATCCCCAAGAATCTATGATCTTATGTTTAGTTATGTCATATACATTGTGCTTAATTTGACTGTTTTCTGAGTATTTCCTTAAGAGAAGTCATTGAATCACATTATAAATTTTCATTTAAAAAAGAGCAGGAATCTTGTAGCCGCAGAACATCTCCAGCACCTTTACTTTGTGCTAGATGGATGCACACTCTCAGTTTCCAGTTTATTCGGCATAAATCACTAAAATAAACTTTCATCACCACGAAGAATGATTTCATAAATGTGGAACCAGAGTTTAATCAAATCTGACCTCTTTCTAAACCAAAAGGAAGTCTCAAACCTAACCTGGACTAAGTTTGACAGAAATCCCTTTTAACTGCATATTCAATACTTGCATAGTTAAGCATGTATTGACCTCTAGTCTAGCAGAATGCCTGTATGTGATCATGTCTGACATGTATAGGGCTCCAGGACAAAGTTGAACTCTGGTCACTCGCAGCTCTTGTTTCCAAACTCCACCCATACAACACACAGACACTCTCTAACACAAACACACACACTGACACACTATTGCTGCGATATTCATGCAAACTAACACACCCACTCTCCTGCAGATCCTTCCTCTCCAGAGCAAGAGAGGAAGTGAGACCAAGGCTGAGTCACAGAAGTGGGGTGAGGATGAGGGTGGGACTCTGTAAGACTGTAAGTCCAGGAACAATGAACTGGGAGACTGAAAGCCTGAAGTCTCACACACAGTCAGTGAGCAAGTTCGGAGTTGTGATTACTTTAGCTTGTTTGGCTGATTTATAACTTTAGATGAGGAGAGCAGAGCAGCTGAGATTAAATTTAATGCAGTTGCATAAATCAATGGCAAAAGTTGAGACTTCATTTTTCATTTCCACTCCCTTGCCAAAGCTAGAACTGATTACGGCAAACGTAACAGTTCTGATTCTGATAAGGAAACCATGATGAAACAAAAAGATAACAAGAAAAAAAAGTGGATTAATTAGAGGCAGGTAAACCACCAAGAAGCAGCATTTATTGTTAACACCTCAGTTCTGTGGTAATGAACAGGGAGGTGACTGAAGTTCAACTTCAGCGTAAAAGATGTGTTTCTCCATGCTCCTCTAAAACACACCTACCTGTCCGATGACATCAAAGGTTAAGGGAGGTGATAGTAGTCTATATTAGTCTCAGACAAAGGCACTCAGCCAGGGGATATACTGGGGATATAACAGGAGTATACTGGGACTGTACTGGGGACAAAGCCAGGGACAAACCTGCAACTTTCCACATACAGGATCAGGATGGCTGCTATGGCTGCCAGTTCACACAGGAGAACAAATGAACAATTAAGCAATGTTTTTCATGGGTGGTACTCACTTTGTCGAGCTTGGATTCCAACTCGCACACATCCCCCTCCACTTCCTCTATGGTGGCTCTGTGGGGAGACAAAAAAGGATTCGAAATGAAGTGTAGTCATGCCTCAGTACTCTCAACTGAACAGACACTGAACAGAAGACAGAGGATAAACGGTACACAAATCCATGTCTAGTGGTTCTAACCCCCTCTGGTCCAATAAAGTGTACCATCTTATCGTTCCAGCTGCCCTGTCAACAAATGTTGTCAGGTTACTGTGTTTATTTACCAGCATTTAATATTCTTGTTGACTATTTTTTGACCTCATAAAGATGTGAATTATTAAACGGCACACTAATACAGTACACAGAACAGCTGCTAAGTTAGCACTTACTTAAAATTTTGATTACCAACTCTTTACAATTACAGGCCGTGGTTGTTATGAGAAAAGTAACGGCACACCTGTTGCACATCATATAACAGTTTTTAAGCACAGGGGTTACGTCAAATGACACATAAAAACCACTTTTTTTACTACAATGTTCATATTCTTTAATAACAGCCTCTATCAAGTATACTCATAATGATATTATGTATTTTTCAAGCTGATGTGTAAGTGACAAAACACAGCTGAAGGGGTGAGTTTATTTTGTGATTCTTCAAAACTGCAACATCCGATCTATGACGTTAAAAGCTCTGAGGTTCAAAGACTTCCAGCTAATGTTGCAGTCACTAACTGGCTTCAATTAGTGGAGGAAAACAAAGCAACACAAGGGGCAATTGCAAGATTTACTCAACCATCAATGAAGGATAGTTTCTATTTAAGGCCAGACAAGATAAATCTATTGGAAATTTTCAAAACATAACCCCTAGGACATGGCAACTTGTCTGTGGTGTTACCTTAACTCTTCACACAGTGAGGACACTAAAGGGTGGTTTAGATCTACTTAGAGCACCCTGTTAACCTGCTCAGTACTACACACTATCAGCACCATTACTGTCATTGTGACTAATCTATGAGAATTTCACAAGATATGATGAAACACTTTAAGTTTGAATTGTTCTACAGTAAAAAGCAAAGGGATTAAAATACCACCCTGGAGAGCAACAGGTGGCTTCACCCAAACCTCCTCTAGCTGTTTTTTCTGCTCATGTTGTGGCACAGCAACAGCCGCCAACATTTAGCCAAAAACAGGGGCAAAACAGGAGGCTTGATGCACAAGCAATGGAGGGATGGAGGCTTTCCATATGTTGTACAATATGTGTCTTTAATGCAGTATGAATTATGACACAAATAAACGGATACTAGTTTGAAAAAAAAACTAGTATTCAAAAAGTGTCCTGTTTGAGAAGGAAACATCTGAGTCCAGGGCAACTTGAGGGATATTTGACTCTAATCTCACAGTTAAGGAATCTGTATATAATTCACCATCATTTCATGGGCTGCATATCGACCTAAAAAAAAAATATTGTCTTTAACTACAGCGTCTGGCCAGTGAGTAAGTTCAATCTAATATCTACTTCACAGACTGACGGAGTACAATAGAGGGACCAGAAGCTTTCACACCTGTGCTTCATCTGCTAACTGTCGAGGGTAAATTGCATCTTTCATCATTGGATACAATACTAATGAAAAAAATCTGTGATGTAACTGATCAGAGAAGGGTATAGATCCTTTATATTTATTATGGACTGAAGCCCCAGTATCTTGGCTGTAGTATCTGAGCTAAAATCTAGCCATGACTGAAATGAATCTCTGATGCTGAGTCGCTGGTTGCTTTGCCAGGATAAGGAAATAACCTGGTGTACACAGACAGGTACAAACTCCATTACTCAGCACATTGAATTGTGAGAAAGCCAAAACCAAACTGTTGTACCAGCAGAAATTGACATGCAAAATATGTTTAGAGGAGGTCCTTTAAATGCTCACACTGCATAAAGTCGATTCTGTTTGGTAAAGGAAATTGGACTCCTCTAACGTACTCTTAACACATAAAAATCTTAGCATGACATGAAGCAGCATCAGTGTAATAAATCTGTTTTTCTAAGTGTGCCTTTTTTCCACAGAGCCGGTCGAAGAGAACGGCCTGAAACGTGGGAACAAAGTGACAGTCTCGCCTTTGCACTGCAGTGCTCACTTTTATGAGATTTTGTTCACAAACCAAACACAGTGGAATGAGCCATGGTCTTAAGTAGACATGGGGGGCAATTCGGGGTCAAAGCAATAAAGAGCCAGCTTTTCTCCCACTGACATTAATCCTGGTTAAAATCTAAAGAGCGCGTTTCCAGCCTTGCTTGCCTTTGGCAGTTGTTACAGGAAAAGTTCATTTTTTGATGAATCACCCAGAATCATAATTGTTTTGTTTATGAGTTCTAGCATCCGATTTCTAGGAGGATTTGGCCTTTTCGTGTGATCAAAATATATTTCAACACAGGGCTTTGTGCCTAGTGAAAAATACAGTTAGTACAGAAGCACAAATACATGCTAAAATGCTTGGCTTGCAAACATGACCAGGAACCAAGAGGATCTTAAAAAAACATGAAAAAACATGAAACACATGAGTCAAATGAGCGCTCTTATTTTTGAAGAACTGAAGCACTTGTCAGCCAACTCTCCAAAAATGATTCATCTCTATTTCTAAAGATGTATTAGACCAGTAATATGTTTCAGACATTACTCGTTGTCACTTTGTTCCTAAAGCAGAAGCACTTCACCTCATCTACACAGGTCAAGCTTTCTGACATGAATGTGTGCAAGTGAGTAACCAAAGAAAGGCCTGAAAAATGAGTCTATACAAATTTGGTTTGGCCTTTCTCAGACGTTCATTCTCTGGCTTTCTATTAAATGCGAAGAATTCAACCATTTCCCTCTTTTTTTTGCAACTTGAGCCTGTAGGGTGAACTTGTGAAAGTGCTGACAAGGAAGAAGAAAAAGGAGGGGCCACGGTGAAATGAAAATCTGGGCCATTGCCTCACAGCTCTGACCTTGGAGTGTGTCCACGAGTCTGGATAATGAGCAGAGGAAAAAAGCATGAGGGAGGGAGGCAGATACAAACACACACTCAAATCAGCACCAGATATCTGAGAGAGACTTCAATGAAACAAAGCATCCATGTAAGACCAAACTAATTTGCATTTATCCATCTCCTGAATCACCTACACACAAGCTACAGCTAAAGTACGAGTATTCTGATGTATATTTTCATGTATGCTCATGAAAATACCTTTGTATGTATTTTAAAACAGTACAATCTGGCTCATGACTCATCTGAAATGTCAAAGCACAACAGTGACAATACGCAGCAGCTGTGACACAGCAGGGAAGTTTCCTTTGTGGTGAGAGATGGTCAAAAATGCTTACAACACTGTTTGAGTTATCAGACATGCAGCTATTTTAGATCACGGAGGGAAGTATAAACAACCAAATCCACATATAAAAATTCTGCAACCCCATCTTGACCTATCAAAAAGCTGATCATCTGTTCGACTTCACTATCATGAATTTCTTTCACCTAAAGGAAAATAAGGGATTTAAAAGGTTCTTATGCCCATGCTGCCACGGCGTGCCCCAGGGCTACGTCTTTGGACCGATGTTGTTTACAGTTTATATCAACAGTATCAATAATAATGATCCCAATGCAAATTTTCTTTTACGGGCAGGCAAGGCAGTTTTTTTCCTGCTCAGCTCCAACACAGTATCAGGGGCCCTGTTACATACAAGAGGCCTTTGATACAGCTTTCATGAATTCAAGCTGATCTAGAAACCTGATGAAACAAACCTCATAATGTTTACAAATTCAAGGACAAGCCGCTGAACCAACAATCTATTAGGATGTCTCAGGGTAATGCATAGGGGTGATGTAACTGAGGCGGTATCTACTTATAACTACCCAGGGTTATTTATTAATGATTCATCAGCACGTTTAGAAGTTGCGGCCAGGCTTCTGATTCTAAATTAAGTTGATTTTCTTTTGCTGCATCGTCAACTTGTTGCTGCTACTTTTATACTCCATGTTGACTACAGTGATTTGTTGCATATGCATGCATCATCCAAAAGCTGTGACTCTCTGGATACTGTTTACCATGGAGCTTTGAGGTTCATCACAGATCATAGGGCCCTAACTCATCACAAGGAATTTAGATGTTTGTAATTTACAGATTAAAAAAACTCTTTCAAACCGATGAGGCTCCTTAAAATGATCTCAAAAAATGACTGAGTAGAATAAGTATCTCTATTTATGTTAACAGATAAGGTGTTTGAAGAAAAAGATATCAGTCAATGGCACACAACAGGTAAAAAAGGGTGAACAGGGTGCATTGTTTCCCTGAATGATCAGATACTTCTTCAATGAGGAGATAATATCTTGTTGTGTCACTCAACGGCATCAATATGCTTACATCCTTTAACAGCACACAGTCTGATAAGGCAGTCTGGGTACGATGCAGGTATCTGGCTCTCAGTGAAACATATCAAATATCTGACTTCTGCCAACTTAAAACAACCAGCATCTGTCCTTAAAGTAGAAGTATAAAGAGGAATCTTTGTGGTGAAGATGTAATCAGCGGTTGACTTCATTTCAGTGATATGACATAACAATAGACCAAACAACAGACATAACAAATTTAGGGGCACCTTTTAAGATTTTTTAAAAGTATTTTGTTTTAAGAAATCAGATCATATACATCAACTTTTATCAGCAGCAGTTATCTCTAAGGATGTTTTATAAACAAATCGACCGGGGGTTACAGGACGAGTTTGTGATGCAGATTAGGGAATGTGCGAGTTTGAGAATTTAGCAAGAGTTGATATTCAAACTGCTATTTATATATGTGCATTTATAAATGTCTTTGAATATGTCTTTATTAATGTCTTTATCATTTCCTTTTGCACTGCAGACGCAGTAGTTCTTCTGCCTTTGCGTCTCGGTCTGATTGCATTTTCATGAAGAAATTATCATAAATGTTCTTCCTTGAGCTGCGACACCCCGCTGTAGTCCGTAAAAGGACTGGCCCGAGGTCTCGCTACAAACAAGCAGCTGCTGGAAGAGAGTAGGTGAGTTGTGTTTAGTCTCTTTGCTAAAGAAATTAGGTAAAGTTAAAAAGATGTTTGGTGGCTAGTACTATGGCTGAGACCCTATATGTACTGTTGATGAAGTTAGGTGCTGTTCTAAGCATTATTTGTGGCTGTAGAGTGGCTTTTTGGTTAAGGTTTGTTTATGGCTCCTCTGACCGCTGTGTATTGCTATCGTTCGGTCATTACTCAAGTTGGTATAACTAGAGAAGCAAGCGGTCGGCAACATTTATCTCTCAAAGGGGTGTCTAACTCGGTGTTACGGAGTGTTTGACCCTAAATTAATTTTACGCCAGAAAATCCCTTTAAGTTGGAACCAGTTGGAAAAAGACTCTCTCTTGTAGCTGTCATCTCCTGTCTTTGTCTTTGTCTCTGAGCTTCAAGTACATTTTCTGTGACGTCACTGTCTCCAGTTTTCGTCATTCACCACACAGAGGATAAATCACATCCAGTCACAGTCTTGGATTTTTTCAACTGAGAACGGACTCTCTCTTAGTGACAAAGTCTGAGTGGACAGGGTAAGTAAGTAAGTTGTAACAAGAATGTAAATAGAAACAATAACATATGATTACCCCGTTTTTTTTTATTTCACAATATGCATTGGGGAAGTAAGATATCCCTGTTAAAGTGCTGTTTGGGTGTGAGGGTGAAGCCAGGGCTAAATAAAGACAGAAGTGTGGTATGAAGGAGGATAAGGCCCATGGAGAGAGGAAGAAAAGGCTGCTGCCTCGTAGGCCACATCAGTGAGAAAGAGGCCAATTCAGCATTACTGAGGGAGAGTCTGAGTTCTGCTTTACTTTAACTCGTCCAAAATCACGCAAAGGGCCGCTGATCCGCTGTAACAAAGGTCCACACACATCCATACTGTGCAACTGTACTGTACTGTTTGGACCATGCTGGTTAAGCTTTAATCTTTCTGACATCATTAGACAGTGCACTAATGAGAATCATGAGAACTAATGTAGCGTGATACAACATGTTTACTCTTCGTCTTACAAAGTAAGTCTGGATGCTTACACACAAGAGGTTTTCAAAGACTGCCAGGATCACTTTAAACTTGCATGTGCCACATTCAATGTAAAATCTCACATTAAACAAAACCTGGGGTGGGGTGAACAGTTTCAGAGAAAGGGTCCAGCTGAGTTTTGCTTGACAAGTTACCTAATAATAGTCTCTGACACAAAAGGGAAAAAAAAGATCTACACACACTCTAAATCAGAACAAGTCTGCCTTCAATAATAAAGTGTCATTTGTGACTCGGTCAACGGGGAATCCCCTTTAATCTTTGCACTGTTTTGTTGTTGTAGCAACTCTGAGTAAACATCCCTATAAAATGCTGTTATTTTAGTAGTGGGTTACTAAAATTCCTACTCTGCCAACAACTTAACCAACCCAATCACACAACAGATGAAGCCTCAGATCCTCTCTGTGCTGCCACGTTTCCCACCTGTTACTCACAGCTCTGACTACATCTGCTGCAAGACAACTCATTCTTCTGCAGTGATTCAGTGACCATGATCCAAAACAAAGGGTACCTCCTCTCCGGGCTCTCTGTGTGTTTGCTGGATGCTGGAAGCTGGCCAGCAGGCCGTGACTACTTTGCATGCATGCAGGAGTGAGGCAGCTGAACAGGTTCGCTGTCCACGCTGCCAAATCAATGTAGTCTTCTGTGGGCCTGAGGCTCAGACGTAAGTACTTCAAAGACATGAGCCGACACTCAAACACCATCTGTTCGCTGCAGATTTTCACTCTTTGTTATTTCTACACATGTTCTTACGCACATGCTCTGCACAATATCAAACTCTGTAATGAATGTAAATGACAGCAGGGGTAATAACAGTAAAAATCATTAATCAACTAATTTGTCTAAAGGGTGCAAAAGAAAGCAAAAGATCCAAACATATTCTGTCCCTGTATAGGTGGATTTTTTTCTCTTTCTTTTTAATCTCATTGGCAGGAAACGGCTGTGACCTGTTGCCAGGCTAAAATAAAAATGAAGGATTCACTTTGGGCTTTACCATTGTTTCGAGTTGGTATAACTTTCTGGCCCTTAATAACCAAAATGTAGCAAAGGGGTTCCTGCACACTGTCCAACTTGCAATCAATTATTTGCAACGTTTCAGTATTAGACCTTCATCAGGCAAACCAGATTTTGCCTCAAGAAATCAAAAGCCGCAATGTTTGAACCTGTTAAGTTGCAATACCTGATACATACAGTGCAGCTCTAGACCATAAAAACGTGAATTTATTAAGATAACTGGACTGATAATCAGATCATGACAGTAATCTGTCCTGGTGTCTGTACATATTTGGGCAAAGTTCAGCACTGAGTATTTTAATGTTACGTATGAGCCAGAAAGTCTGATTCCTTGTGAATGTTTTCCTGATGACAAAGCCGCAAACTCCAACTCTATATAGAACTAATCCTGTTAGAAAATGTCTGAATAGCTCTGCATTACAACTTCCTTTTGAAGTTTTCTAATTAAATTTCTCTCAGGTCAACGAGTATTTTGTAATTTCGTTTTCCCTCTGAAGCTCCTGGCATTAACAGGTTTTAATGTACATAAAGACACAAGGTGTTGGCTGTCGTATTTGTTTATCTGCCATGAAATGAACTAAGTTTGTTCCACTGGTCTGTAGTGACAGAGCTGGTGGTGGTAAACAAACACTTTCATGTGTTACTCTGAATGGAAATGTGAAGGATGGGGTGAGCGTCGGTGCTGTGACGTAGATCCTGTGATTGTTAGAACAGAGCAGTGGAGATATGGAGAAGCGGGGGGTGTCGGTGGTAAAACCCAACATTACACACATAAGCTTCAACAACATCAACAAGATGAGGTCATTGCTTCAGGATAATCACTTGCTCACGCTCGGGGGAAATTCTGCCTGTTGACGTAACACATTAAATTTGACACCAATTAAGTATCTGACGTACATCCTTGGTCCGCCCGTGTCATCAAGAAGTGGAAGGAAGGAAACAGGGACTGAGGAAGCTGCAGCAGTCGTGACCACAACCATTTCTGTGCAGTTTTAATAGTTTTTTTCAGCTTAAATGTCAGTGTTATAATGAAATTATTCAAATGTGACCAAAATGGCAAATAGCAGTTGGTTCTCTGACAGCTTTTAACCACTGGAAACAACAAGATGCCTATTGATTAATTACTCAGTTCTGAAATGTCTTCACTTCCTAAAAATTTCCCTCAAAATCCCCAAGACTTAGAGGGGGTGTTTTCCATTTTTCTTCTAGTTTTGACCTCCAGCCAACACTGACAAACACTGGGTTTGAAGAACCCCATTATATTTGAGAATACAGAGAAAAATGTGCTGTGATTGCACTTCAAAATACTTGTTTTGTCAATTGATCAGTTAAATAGTTGAATATCTGAAGATTAATTGATTTATTCATTGAGAAAATATTTTAGCTTTACCTTAAATTACCAAAACTGTGAAAAATGTCATTTTCTTTGAGCTGCCCCTGCTCTCATGAGATAAAGTTGAACCCGAAAGTTTATGAATATTTGACTGAAGGTACATTTTTTTCATTGGTGCAAACAAACCTGGTAAAAAGGGACTGTGTCTACTCGTACCAACACAGCAGAGAAACAGTTAGTCCTCACATTTCATTAGCCGTTAACTGCCTTAATTAATAACCACTGAAGGAAATGGACCTCAGCTTTATTAAATCAACCAGGCCTGGCATGCTAACAGACCTGTAACTGGACTGAACTCCCCTGGGAAACTAGTCAGCAGACTCTGTACCTTTCATTAAGAGGACTGCAAATGATCTTCTGCCTCTACAGCTGCTGTCTATGACTGAGGGGAAACTGAGACCGGGGCTGTTTGACTGATGACTTCATATGCTGGCACTCGACCTAGCTCAGAATCTGCTCAATTGATCCAGAGCAGGCAATCGTGCAATCCTGGTGAAGAGACGTGTGAAGGCATAGGAAAAGCTTAAAACCCAATACTGTAATATTTTGGCTTTAACTACTACTACTTCAATTAACAACTGCTAGCTCTTATGAAGGATTTGTTTTACAGTTTAGCCCCCATCGGGACCTTGCTCAGTAGAAGACATATTAAAAATGTACAACATTTACTTCTACACAGTTTTCAGAGGGGGAATTTTCAGCTCTCATAGTTGAAGAAAAGCCAACACAGAGTCAAATGTCTATTCTAGAGTTGAATATGAGGCAAGAAGGGTTCAGTGCCAAAAATACATAATTTCTGCACCAGTGGATGGATCTCTCCTCCAGGCTGAAAGCATGCTTTATGACCAAGGACAGCCTCCCAACTAAAACGAGGATGCGAGCCAAAAAAGAAATGCGGGGTGTGCCAAATTACCACTTGAAAACAACCCTCTCTACATTTGGGGGCTCCATATTCTCTGGCACAAAGTTGAAAGCAAACACCAAAATGGAAACAGATGTTGAGTGAGCAAGAGCTGCTCCACGCTGGTGTATATCCATGTTTTTATTCATTCTCTCTTTCTCTCCCGCTCAGCTGTCTTCTCTGGCCAAACATAACTGGGGGGATGGAAAAATGAGAGAAAAAAAACAACAATGGTGATCCAAGAGGAAAACTGTGCTGTGAGTCTCTGAACAGCACAGTATGATGACTGCAAGTGAGGAAACTTTGAGAGATGACTCTCCTAAAGGCCAAAGGGCGCTAAAAATAAAGACCCCGCTATACGCTCAGCGAGACCTCTTGTTGCAGAGGATCAGGAGAAGTGAATTCTTGTCAGACTATCATTACTTTACACAGACTAGAGATTGTTTTAATATGCAGCTGGTGCAAAAGTCTTATATTTTCTGCCTAAAAACACCAGAGACCCAGAAAAACACTCGGAGAATGAATTTGTGCAAAGACTGATTTACTTGTTGCAGAAAACAGCTTTTTGTGTTACAGCCTGTAATACAGTGAACAGGTATATATATATTCAACGTGGGACTAACACAGTACATTCAACATGTTGTGCAGAACAACAGTAGTTTGTTTAAAAAACTGTCATATACTATTCCACTAGACAGTCCAATATCCAGAGGCTATGTGTGCACCAACATATTTTAGGAGTCCAACAAGTGAGAGTGAGGAAATCTGAACTTTGTGGAGAATACATGCTGTTGGGAGATAAATACAGCTGACTTACTCATATCTTAGCACAAAAGGACCATCTGACCAGCGAGGACCAGATAACAGGAGAAGCAGAGGTTTATCACACACAAGAGCTTACAAAAAATCAACTACTGTGTTTCAAGACTAATCCATCGATCTATGAAAATGCCAATTTTCTACAACCCTAAAATCCATAAGAAACAGGACAGGTTGATAAAAACAGAATGTGATGGTTTGTAAATTATTTAATGTCATGACTTATGAAAGAAAAGAAGAGATTTACCTTTCTGTTAGAGACTCAATGAGCACAATTTTCAGCTATTTCAGAATGATGTTCCTGAGCGACAAAGTTGTAAAAGAATCTGAAGAATCATCATCTACAGGTACAGAATCTCTTAAGAAGATTCACCAAATCAGAGAAAGTCTCTGGAGTCTGGACAAAAGTTATAAGGCCTGCAACTGATACTGGATGTGATCTTTGGGCCCTCAGGCAGGACTGCATTAAAAGCAGACATGACTCTGCAGTGGAAATCACTGCGTGGAGGGACCACCTGGTTTGTGGTTGACATACAGTTCAGAAGTCAGCATCTTTTCACATCTTATTCAGCATTCCAACTCAATATGAAGGCGGGTTGTAAATTCTGACAAGTTTAATTTGTCACCCTGTCTGACTGACAACTCAGTCAAGAGCTGGGCTTCATCTAGATTTTGTTGATTAAACTGAAATCAAGGCTAGGAAACTGTTTTTCACTCTGATTTAGATGACATGGTTCTTAAAACTGTCAATGCTTCCTTTTGCTACTTGCAGAATTTTTCAGTAAAAAGTGTTTGACACTGCAAGTTGCATAATCCTGCACAGCAGCCAAAAACAACACAGCTAGAAAGCAGACAACATGAGCAGCAGGATTAAGTAGTTAGTCCCTTCTAGTATTGAACAACTGGAGAATTATTTTGAATTAATATTACCTTTCTCAAGTTTAAATCTAAAACAGACTCAGTGTACCCTTACAAATGTCAGCAAATTTTTACTACTGAACTTGCATTCATGATTGGAAATTGACTAATGCGATTAACTGATTATCAGTCCAGTTGCCAGTTAATTTACCAAAAATCAGCTCTACATAAACAGATTTTTTTGGCTCCAAATTGCCATAAACTGACCAATAACTCTACGTAGCTGCACACTCATTTCTTTTTAACAAGACGCCCAGCATGGACCACAGTGGACCACTTGCTACTTGAATATGTTTTGATATCATAGATATTGCAAGTAAACCAACTCCATTAACCATTAGACATGACATCTCTACCCTCCCTGCCCTTCTTTAAATGTTTTCAAGTAGTGACAGAAATAAACTTGTTTAACATGTAGAGACAAGGTGGCATCACAGTCTCTCTCATTTGCTCTAAGTCTGTTTCCAACAGTCATAAAGGAAATATGTGCATCCTTCTAAGTCACTAAATGACAGTATTTGCTGACCTGTGATTTACAGCGCTGCAGGTGTGATGGAGGGCAGAGAGCAGCAAAAACAAAATCTGGCATCTTTGCACAGAGTTGTGGATTTGTTAAAGGCACTGTGAGGAGTTTTTAACTGGTTGAGAAATAGTCTGAATACTAATGTCTCTTTATAATGTTTAAATGTAAACAAAACCATCAAAACCAACAATCGTAATTTCCTTGTTGTATTTTTTAATGCCTGAAATTGCTGTGAGGGGACAGGTAAACAACAGATGATTGACTGGAGGATGGAGAAACAGCCTTCTTAATTTAAAACAGGATTTGGTTTTTGACTGAAAACACCAGTGTCACATGCACAGGACAACGCATAAGAGGTATCACTTGGAGGACAAGGGACACAAGAACTATCACAAACCGAAAGTTCCTCTTAGCAGCTTTAATTACTTAATTGGAGTGTAACGGCTGTGAAACAGTCACAGTAACTTCTTATCTAGCAGATTTACAGCTTTATTTACCTCTAACATGACCTGTCTTCTATATCTCCTTTTTGATTAGATTAACCAGCCATCCTCTCCCCGAACTTGTCAATAACTATCAAAGGTGAATGTACTGAATATGTTATCAAAGCACTTGAAAAATCTGACCACCTTAGTTTGTACAATCCAGTGGATTATTAGTATGGAGAAGGTCATGGGTTTAAAGTTTCACTTTTAAACAAACAATGTCTGTTAACCACAGCATCTGTCTGCGGTCAACTGGAGCAGCTTCCTCCCTTTGTTTTACTACACACACAAACTTCACTTAAACCATACATAGAGACTCAACAGTCTCAAGTATAAATGTACAGTGAGGGTTCACAGACAAGGTTCCCAGTGACACCTATTAACTAACACGCCCAAAAGAAACAGTCTGCACTAACCCGATTTAAACTGAGGTCCAAATAATCAAGCAGTCTGGGTATTAAGGGGTCTATGCAAGTGTAAGACAAGCCCATCTTGTACAACGCAGCTGACTGGGAAAATTTCCCCCTTACACAATCCCTCTGAATGTGATCCTGAAGGAAATGCTATGATTTGCTCTATTCTTCTGCAAACAACTTTCGAACATCTGTTCCTCGTTTTGAGAGAGGATGTCTCAACAGCAGCAGCAGCAGAGGGAGTGAGAGCGGAGGGAGGCGCTTTCTCAAATCTCTGGAAAACACACAGGGACTGAGGAGGAAGTTGAGGGCAAACATCCCTTTTTAAAGAATCAATGTTTTTTTTTTACAAAAAGGAAGTTGTTGATGATACCATTAGAAGTGTAAGAGCAGCCAAAAACACCCACCGCCTGACTCATGGAGTTTGATTAAAGGATTGCAGTAAGCGAAGATATTACACTCAGTATTTCTAATAAGTGGGCAAGTTTTTTTCTAACACAGAGTAGGTGTATGCTCTGACAACTGAGATGGTGAATCAAGTAGCTGCTGAAACAAAAATAAATCAGCCACTGTATCGTGTAGCCCTTGGTCAAGGAAAAGAAAAGGGGGCAAAAACATCTTTGGCACTAGGGCCCGACCGATTTATCAGCCAGCCGATTAAATCAGCCAGTTTTAGCCGGTTTGAGACTAATTGGTAATCGGCCAAAAACTCGCCAATTTACACCGATATTTTATAGAAATAAAATGCGGAGAATAAGGTTTGGTTTCACTTCGAAAATGTTCCGCCATTTGAAAAGTCCCCCAACTTATCCTGTAGATGGCGCAGGGACCTCATGACAATCTTCATCCACTAACTACCTCACAGCACAGCAGAGTGACGGATTTGAAGCAGGCAGCTCAGGGACGCGCGCAGGAGAGTTGTCCGCCTCAACGGTAAATAAACTAGTTTGTGAAATACACAGTCAACAAGTTTCAGTTCAACCCACTTCACGATGTTCCCCGTTGTGCTTGTCTCGGTCATGCTGAGTTAGCGGTGAATCACCATGTAATATGGAAAGTAAAAGAGTTAGCCATCTTTTATAAGCCTTGCTTCACTGTTAGCCATGCCAGTAACGGTAGAATAAACAACAGTACACATTACATGAACGAGCTACTTGTCTTACTGAGGCAGCTGTATGTCTCCAGATGAGACCGGACCGGAAATGAGTAACGTAAGTTAAGACGCGGAGGCACCGATCGAAGGCGGCGGGAGGGTAGTTGAAAAGGCTTTTCTGGTCCGAGTTTGATCAGTAGCCTACAATATATCTACAGTATATATATGTTTTATAACTTCATAAAAAAAAATTAAAAATCGGCCGATTAATCAGTAATCGGATTCCACCCCCCCTAACAATCGGTATCGGCATCAAAAAATCCATATCGGTCGGGCCCTATTTGGCACCTGAAATGTGACTTTTCCTGTGCTCCTTGATATCAGATTAAATGTTATCTGAAAGTTTCCTACCAATTCTTTTCTGCATTTCATAAACTAAAAGATTGTTAAATGACTTGAAAAAGTAACTGACCACACTATGATGGAAATAAATGTAAGTTACAGCCCTAGTGTGCAGAAAGGAGCATTTTATTTCAGACAAATACTCAAGTATGGTGCTGGGACAATTTTAACTCCAGCCTGGGTGCTCTGCAGTCATTCTGTATTCTTATGGCAAATGAAGGGTGCTAGTACACAATGTGATTTTGTGCATTTATTTTTAATATATATGTATATATACCCATTTCTAAATAATGTATGTGCCGAGAGCTGGCACTGGAGCAGCTTGCTGCTGCTGCTCTTATGAGCTTACCACACTGGTCAGGGAGTTTGTGTTTGGTTTCCTCCCCAGCTGGCCCCAGCTTTCTTAGTGACAAAAATAGAAAAGTGGCAGGCAGCAAACAGCTCGCTAGTTACTGCCGATTAGCTTAGGTTAGCAGACGGCTAGCTAAGTACTTTTCCATTGATAAATATAAATCCACGAACCGGACAGAGGAGTCGACTGTGAGCACTCACCTGAACCGCGGGGAGTCCTTCAAGCACTCTTCGAAATCCACAGTTATCTTCATTTTGCCGCAGTGAGTAAACCCGCTGTCTTACGCTCCCTTTGATTACACACAATAATCCAGACTGAGTCTTTTCTTGCTAATTAGCTTGTTCGCTATCGTTACTGTACCTCAGTCTGACCAGCTGGCTCCACTCTCTCACTACACTGCTAGCCAGCTAGCCTCAGAGGCCAGCAGCTATGGTTAAAGAGTCGCGGCACTGCGACCATAAACGTCCCTATATTCAATGTACAGTAGCCAAAAAATGCTACAAAAGGTATTTCAAACGCAGCGGACAGTCCTAAAAATCAGAAAGTGTCGTCCGGTAGCTAGGTCATAGCAGCCAGTGGGAGAGGAGCTTTTCTTCAACGCAGATACTACAGCCTCATACAAAGATCGTCTATACTCGGAAAAAGGGATGACTAACCAATGTGGATTTGACCCGCCTCCGGAGCGCATGGATTATTTTTCTCAACCCAATGCAAAAAAAAATCAAAGATCTCGTGTTGAAAGTCGTTGTATTACTCAGTTGAAGTCCTAATTTTGGAGAGCCAAATAATGAGATGGCGAGGAAAAAAGTTGCATGAGAGGTATACTAATGCGAACCCAACATGCCCCAAAAGGAGTAGGATTAAGTATTGTGTTTTTTTAAATCTACCCTTTCTCCTTAACTCATTAATATCAGTCAGTCTCCAGCGAAATTAAATTATATTTACAAAAAATACAACATAAATAGAATAAATAAGTACATTAATCATTTGTGAAAACACCTGATAGTTAATGCCCTTCTTCCTCCCTCTGCCTAGAGTCATTCTGGTGCGGCATTTTTGTTAAAGGAAATAAGTTAACTGAATTTTTTAATAATTAAAAACTCGAGTGTAGTCACTCTAATAGTCCATCGTTTGTGTAATTGTACACAGTAATGTTTAGTTTTGAAATTCTGGGTACTCATTTTTTGCGAAAATGTATTTCAGGAGAAGAGTTTATATTTAGAAAAGAAAACTAAACTCTATAATCAAAACAGGAACTCGCTTAACTGTATATAAGTATACCTGCTTTAAAATTACACAGGAAAAATATTGTCCCCGGGAGCGTAATTAAGTAAACCCTCTTTTGTATATACGATCTTTGCATGAGTTGACAGGCGCTTCCTGATCCATTGGAATTATCGTTGACGCTCCTCGGACGCTCTGGATGGCCTTCCCATTCACTCCACCATGTCGTATGTTGTACTATTCCTCCAAAGACACACTTTGAATATATATTTTAATGACAAAATATAGAGATCTGTTAGAAGAATGGTATTTAATTGAAATTCCTCGCCCAGTTGAAATTAAACATCGTGTCATGGTTCATGGCAAATCTCATGAGATGCGTTCATTCTTAAACGTAAACCCAATGTAGAACAAACATGCAGGTTAATAAAGGCAGGAATACGGTCTTTGGAGTTATCCTATCAGAATGAGTGGAAAGCCAAAGGAAACCAAAGATTTGTTGTGTAACAGCGCCATCTGCTGTTGGATAGTAGAGGTAGATTTGTGTATGTGGTGCAGCTCCTTGCAGTAATCACATGTCCGTCTGGTAGGGCCAGGTAACTCAAGATTGATAATAATCCATGACAGACATTCATTCCTAACAATGGTTTTTAATGGTAGGAGACATAAACAAAACAGAATACACACAATCTGAAGACTTGGTACATGCAAACTGTAAATGCAAAACCAGCATCCACGTCATTTTTAGACAGACGCACAGTGCAGAGTCATGGGACTGCATCACAGTCTGTCATCTTCAGAATACAAACAGGGCAGAGGTGGACCAAAACAACAAGTGAGACAGAGGACATGATAAAGCAGAAAGAAAAACCGCACAAAAAAAAACCATGGAGCAGACGTCTACATAATACACAAGAGGCACATCTGACAGGCTATGACCACCTGCATGGTGATCACGTCAGTCATGTTTGGGACGATTATTGTCCTGTATTGAACGAGAGGATAAACCAATTAAATCAGCTTCTCTGCTGTTGTCTTTTTAAGTTGTTAACTAATTTAATGAACCAAAAGCAGAAGAAAACAAAAAGGTCAAATGTGTACTTCCACATCAATATAAAACAGTTTCTCTACAATAATCATGGTAATTAGCTGCTCGAATGGGAGCTTGTTAGTTGGTGGTCACGGCTGTAAGGGTTTTACAATTGTCAAGGAGATAAATATTAAACTACAAGAACAGAAAATAAAAATAAAAAGAGACATTTGAAGGAGTCATCACTTGTTTGACTGTGATACTTTGTGTTTTCATAATACAGAGTGTTAACACTTTGATCTGAGGAAACTGAAAGGGGCAGAAACAAGATCAAAACACAAGACATACTCGGGGGTTCCTCTTAGAGCTGTTCTTTCAGGATACTCAGTCAACTTTCATTATTCATTTCATTGTCCTTTTTTTGCACACTTTCAGACTTGACAGTAATTTCCCTGACACTCTTGGAAACCCCAGACATAAATAAAAACCTTTAAAACACCATCAAAAAGTGTTGGTGGTAAACTCCTCTGCCAACATCTGCTTTAACTTAAGTCAGTAGCATCGTTTCTTTGTTTCACATTCCCAAGCTGCATCTAACAGAACACATACGTAGATCAGACGGCGTGAAGTACAGTGTGTTGGAGGAATTAACACAACGTATAACATTGTACCTTCCTTTAAAAAATAATATTTTTTTATGAATTTGGTTTGATGAAGGTCCCATGAAGTCAGCCTTTCAAGTTATTTTAGTGAGAATACATAGATCGCTGGCTTGTTCTTTGACAGATGCACATCAGAGTCTGGTGCTGAAAGCAGCAGCTCTTCTGTCCTCTTTATCAGTAGCACATGCTCTTATCATTAAACCGTCACCCCTGCTCTATAATAGAGATAAATGATTAAGCCAAGTTATTACCAGCTTGCCCTGCAAATTAACTGATGAGCACCTCTGGGCTACATTTATTAGCAAATCCGTATGAAAAAAAAGGTTCCTTGTTCTATGCCGTACATGATACATTACCAGAAATTTGAATGACATTTTGTGTGGTGGTGGTGTTGCTTTTAAAGAGAGAATGCAAAAACAACATCCCTTAGATGAGGCCATTTAAGTGCAACTAATTCATTGTTTTGTCATACACTTTACTGCGAGAATCAAAGAGCAATACATAGGTGTACATTTGCCAATCAGCTGCAAGTACTGTTCATCTTATGTTAGTTCTAGTCTTTTATAGCAATAACATTAAGATTAAGCAGGTCACGTGATCTTGTGCTATTAGACCAATATTTAGCCCTGTTTTTTAAGTTATCATAAAATCATTATGACACCAATGAATAGTATACCTAATAAATATAAAGGTAAGCCTTGGGGAGAAAAAACAAATACATTAACTGGTCATCACTGTGTCCATCTTTCGTCACAAAAAAGTACTGAAGAGCCTAAGCCATTGCAGTTAACTGAAAAGTAGCAATGCAAAACAAAAATAAAAGCCTCCTGCGGTGCACCCGGTTTAAGTGTGCACGTCATGTCTCAGATATGCCTTGAGTGAGACTGTGGGGTTTCCCCTGGTTTCTTCCACGGCTGACGTACAGGCTCTGTGGCCTGGACAGTGTGGAGAGACCAGCTGGGAGTCGTCATTATCCAGACATTTTTATTTGTTTTCTCTTTATTTAAAAAAAAAAAAAAAAGTCCAGATCCTCCATTCAAGGTCAGAATCACCGATCCTTCAGTCTGACATCACTCCAGAGGAGGTGGGAGGGGAATTTCTTGGCAACAGAAGAGCAAGGAGGAGGAGGAGGAACAGGAAGAGGAGGGAAGAACAGTCTTTGCTTTTGTGTTGTACTGACTCTAGGACTTTGAAACCAGTGTGTCTGGGGGTTATATTGCACAGTTTGAAGAAAATGCAAAGACAGACATTTGACTGGGAAGTTATTGACTTTCGACGGTTTTTATGTGGTTGGTGAAGCGGTGTGTCTGCTGTGCGACCCGGTGTTAAAAACACTGGGGGGCAACAAGTGGCATTGTCTGTTTGGATGTGGGGTCGACACGCAGGCCTGAAGGTTTGGAGAGAGGCTTCGTCTAGGAGTCAAGGGGGTCCGCTGGACACAGGGCACAAAAGGAGAGGAGTGGGAGATAGAGAAAGAAAAAGTAGAAACGTCACATATTTTTTTTTCTACTTTGTTCTCTGATCCTCAAGATTTGACCTGCTGCAGCAAATGACACCGAGTTTCATATCATTTGTAAAATCATATCCTGAAGGGATTCAATCTGAGGTGATATCTTCAATATCTTTTTACTTTCTTTTGATGATTTCTCTGGTAATCATATACATCTTTCACATTTTTATAGTTACTTTATATTTCACTGATACATCACCCTCTGGAGTAAAATGCACCAATATTATTTTAGACTAAAAGCGAAGACTAAGCAAGTTCAGTTAGTTTCCATCATGAAAGATTAAAAAAAATCTTTCAAACTTTTGCTACATGTGACTTAACGCCAACTCTGCAATTAAACTCTACTTTGCCCATTAACACTGTGGGTTGTAACCTTGTTTAATTCAAAACACTGGGGCTTCCTTTTAATGCATAACTGTCAAAGTAAATGAACCACAGGGTGGCAAAAACAAACAGCAGCCAGCAGTTTAATCTAATGACATCCACAGCGTGAGTGTGCATCACTGCACAAAGCCATCATTTCTGGACCTCTTCACTTCACTTTAGTTTGTGAGATTCACAACATCGTTACCCTTCTTCCCGAATACAAAAACCCCTGCTGGACTGGAAACTGTTCGAATCATTTCCCCGGTCATGCACAGGAGCACAGTCTCACTCTGCTCACCTTCCTGTGGCGGGTCCACACTGATCTCCTCTGTCTCCTCTGTGTCGTCCCTCATCTCTTCATCTGCATCTTCGTCTTCCTCGAGCTCGCTGGCGATGAGCTGGCGGGCCAGTTTGATGTTCAGGCCCTCGTTGTAGTGCATCTTCCTCATCATCTTAAAGTGGTTCTTTTTGGCTGCAGAGAAACATCATTTTCCAGTTGCTTAAATTTGCAGAAAGCATCAAGTGCATGGTGGATTCGGGGTGTTTACATGTGCTGCAGGCAGGGTGAGCATTTACTGAGGCTGTCGTCACACATGGACTAAACTCTTATAATCTTCTCTCTATGTGTGAAACAACCCGCCAGAATTTTTACACAGACTTTAAGCCAAAAAGAGCAACAAGTCAAAAGGAAAAAGAAAAATCTTAAGGTTCAAAGGAGAATCCTTTCCAAGAAAACAAAGAAGTCTGCACATTTGTCTATTTGCATACAGCATTGATATGGAAGCCAAACACTGCCATCACCTATACCAATCCTTTATTGCAACATGTTTTTTTTCCTCTATTTGACTTGAAATTGTTGTACCAGCATAGACGTTCTCAGAGTATACCTTAAATTTTTTGTTCACCCCAGAGAGAAAATATTTGATTTTAAACATTCCAGGCTTCCCCCTCCCCTGCAGCTCTAAAACTGCTGCTAAAACTCCCCTTCAAGTGGTTCAAGTTGGCAGATTTATTGCTGTGTGTCAAAAACTGCTGAAGCTACAGCTCTGAAGTTAGACTGTATTGATTGGACCGCCTGTTTTCTGATTCTTCACTTGTTTTTTTTTTTTCTTTTGTGTAACTCTGATAGAAACTGTGCAGTCAAATTCATCCTGTTAGAATTGTGCAGTGTTAGCACAGCTCAAATGACATCAGATAGAGAGCATGCACATGTGCGTTTAATAAACGGATAAGGTCATAGAACAGTCAATATCGAACTGCGTGTCTGTGTGTCTTAAGAGGGGTCAGTGAACGGTCAAGAGCACAGAGAACACTCCAGCCCTTTCCCAAACACATCCCTATCATGCAAGCTCTTCACTGTGGACTGTCACTGTGCGTTCATGCACAGCTGCAGGGGACACTTACATAAAGGTGAGCCTGGGTATAAATAACAGGTGAGCTGAAGGATGCACTCGCCACTTTCAGCAAGAACGTGTTACCGTGGATACTGACATAAACATGTCTCTTCTTAGCTGAGATTTCACTTTTCATCTTGGAGCAATTAACCTAGAAAAATAACATCTGCGTTTACCCTGTTGTTCAGGAGTTAACTCCTCCTCTTCTTCCTCGCTGCTCTCTTCTTCTTCTTCCTCCTCTTCTTCCTTCATGAGGAAGCGAGGCTCTGCAGCCTCAGCCGCCACCAGCCTCAAAGATAAAAGCAGACAGGAGGAAACTGAAATCATTGGAATCTTTCCAGAATATCATCCCTGTTTTCTTTAGCTGTTGAACACGTTACAAGAAAGTAACCAATCTGAAACAGTAAAATATCAGGAGCTCCTTCTGAAGCCACTGAACAGTGATTAAAAAAACTTGTGAAAAAAAGCTTTTTATAGAGAGACGCAAACACTGGAGGAACACAGATGGAGAGATATGGGGCGAGGAGGAGGAGGAGAGAGATGTGAGCGTGTGTGAGAGTACTCGAGCATGAGACAAAAATAACAAGAGTTACAACCCACATCTCTCACACTCACAAAGAGCTAACAGCACAAGACTAAATGAATAATGGTTCACGGCTCAACGGATGGTAGTAAATCAGTGCTACAGCCTTAGGGGAAGCTCCACTTTACTGTACTACTACAAACTTCAGCAAACTGGCCCAGTTCACAGAAAGAAGACTGATTTTACAACAGCATCAGGGTACAACAATGATGGAGTCAGATGTATTTGAAAGAAGAGGATCAAGGCAGACACAGGATGGAGGAGAGGAAGTGTAAGTGATGTGGTGAATCAAATTTAAGAGCATCATGAATGAGAGAGAAGAGTTGAAGGGGAGGAGAGGTCGGACTACAAGAGTAGACAAAAAAAGTTCAGTTGTCATCCTATCAGGAAAGTTTAGAGTCAAACAATAAGAGGCACTCTGTGTGAAAGTAAACAAAGACAGCTAATTGACTTGCCAGCCTGGAGCTAATCACCATCCTCCCTGTGGAACACACACACACACACACACACACTCAAACTGGCTCGCTCCATCCCTGCACCAGTGCACTTATGTAAGCTCGATGGCCCACAGCAAATATTTCAAGCCCCGTTTCCATCCAGAAGACAGCTCTGAGTGGCATGAATACATTTTTAACACACTAAGACATTTGAAGTTGATTAAGTAAAAATTTCTACCTAAATTAAAAACTCTGCTCTTCCAGGAAGGCTCTTATAATAGCTTAATGCAACTTATGAAGTGAATTCTACTTATACACTGTGTAAACTGGGTTCTCTGGCAGCTATCTGTGACTTTTTCTTCAAGACAAAATATCAAACGATTTAGAAAATGACTTTCTGGGACCGTTAAGCAGCAGGCCTGTGGCACTCAAAGTGAGCTGTCGCTTTCACTGCATTGCTCTTTCTCTGGAATTCATAGCTGAGGGGAAACACCCATGAACCTCCTGTGTATTGATTAGAAGCTTGTGCAGCAGAGGGCGAAAACGCAGCAAGTCTTTCCATAAAAACAAAGAAATAGTAACAAAAAGATGAACTGCTAACCTCCAAATACAAATTTGTTTTACTCTGTATCTGCATACGCTGTTGATTTTTTAATGTGTGTTTTATGACCTTTTATTTTCTCGCTGTATTTTAAAACCTTTAAGAATAATTAGTAGAAAAATACCAAAGCACCTTACTGTATTAGGACACAGACATCTACTCCGAGGAGTAACCACATTTGATTCTGATTATAATAAACAGCTGACCTGTCCTACAAATCTCTCTGCTGTCTTCTTTTCTAAGTTAAAAAAGGAAGACACTTGTCAAGATTCATTCAGTAAACACAGTCTGGAGCTTTGTCAAAGGCAGTTGTAATGTCTGAGGGTGAGCGCACTGTCTGCTGTGTCTGCATGCTGAGTGTGTTTCTGTGTGTGTATGACATGGCACAACTTTCTGCCTGCACTGCAGCACTGCAGACACTTCATTACCATATCACTGGATGGGGAGTTACAACTGTATGCTAGCTAGCTCGGTAAACTCGGTAGAAAGTACACCGTCAAAAGAAAAAAAAAAGAAGCTTACACTCTTAAAAAGTGTAAAGAGTAGCAATACACCAGATAATACATGTGAAAAATGCGAGGGGAGAAAATTGGTCTTTGGAAAAAAAACTTGGCGCATTTCCTCAACAACTCTAAGACCTACATTGAGACTCCTTTGAAAGTGTCCTAAAGATGTCAGAAGCTAGACTTTAAGATATCAGAAGTGAGTTAGACACTCTTCTCAGTTCTTTCAAAACAAGGATAAAGATTAGGGTTGCACGGTATTGGAAAAAACTAACATTGTACTACTTTTCAACCCTGTGATATATATTGCGATCTAAAAAATACAGGAATTTTCACCAGATGACCTGAATAGCACTTTATGTTATGCTGCACTGCTGAAATCTTGTTGACAGTTAACCTTGCTTGCTTTTATTGTGCTGGGACTTGTTATCTCTTGTTGTGGCAACAGGTAAAAGGCACTGCAGATACAGAACATGTGTTTGGTCAACATCATCCTTCTTGTAACCGAAACGATTCCAGATAACTGACTTTCCTTTTTTTTTTTTTAGCAAAAAGTCTTCATTTTCAGTGGTTTTCTCTTGTTCGTTTAACATTTTGCAATCGTTGTTGTTGTTGTTGTTACCAATGTTGTGCAGAGAAACGCATGTCCAATGAGAATTGCATCCACTTCGCAAAACGCGCACCGCTTATAGTAGAGTGGTCGACGGAAATTAACAACTGAAAACCCATACAGTTCTTATTTGTGGGGCTAAACAGTGATGAGTAATGTTCACAAAGTAATTCTCGGTGGGCATGTGTTTCTCGGCACAACACCGGCAGCGCAAGCAACTCACTCCATGTGCAGGGGCGTGGCTTCCTCCTCTCTGATTTTGATTGACGGCCGGCAGGGTCGTCTGATTGGCAACTGAGTAAAGAACGAATGTGATTGGTGGATCGCTGCACATCACATGCAGAGTCGCTTTCAGTGTATGTCAGTCAGCTACCCTTGAAATTAGATGAGTTCATTCGCCTCCGACATTGCGCACACGTACATCGCCATGACGATGCTCAAACGATATATCGCGCAACCCTTAAAAAGATATTGGTAAATGTGTTCAAGTGTGGCTTATCTGTGCTTCACCTGAGAGCAAAAACCATTTTGCACCTTTTCAAGGTTGTATTTGTACTTCACTGAAGCTGCTGTACCCTTCAGCAACAACAGCTGAAACACTAACAAAAGTAGTATTGTGTCACAGTGATATACTTTAACATCTTTTCATTCATTTCTTGTTTCTCCTCTTTTTAAGTCCAAATATTTTTGGACTTGTCTCCCTCAGCTCACGTGTAGGTTCTTACTTTGACGCCAGGTCATCAGCTGCGAGTCCACTGTGGCTATCAGAGTCACTCAGCGCCCCCTCATCTTCGTCGTCCCCCACCATCCTGAAAAGATCAATATTAGAGAGATGAAAGATAAACCAGTCATGAAGGAGAGAGGGTGAATAAGGACAGGAAATACAAAGACTGATAGATGCAGATAGCCAAGGATGAATAGATGATAGAGGAGATACAGGGGGCAAAGAAAGGGGACAGGAGACAGAAAGGGGATCATGAGGAGACAATGAGGAAAGGTCTGTGACTAGGGTGACCTTCCCTGCAGCTCCCTGACATATTGGATTACAAACCTGCTGAGACATCCCTGTAACACCAACACACATACACACATACACACACACACGTTTCACACTTGGTTCTCAAACACTAGCAGAGGTACTGAGAGGTCTGACCTGCCTACAGGATTAATCTGATGGTATTTAAAGGTAAAGAAAAGTGCATCTTTGCAAATGTCTAGAAAACAAATGTCCTAAAATTGAGATTTAAGTTATAATATCTAAAGTGCACGTTCATTTGTGACACACTGACCTGTTGTAAGGTGTGCTGGGCTCATCTATCTTCATCAGGCCATAGTCTTTGTCGGCTGGATGGTATGTAGCCAGGATGTTCATCTCATCCCATTTCTGTGATTTCTTCCTGTAAAAAAAGGTTCAAAGAAAAGGAGCCATCAGAAATTTACAACGACTTAGCGGACAGACAGCACCACGCACCAGCTTCCCAACCCCAGATTCCTCCAGGGGGATGAGTGACCAGATTCAATCTAGGACTAAAAGTGCCCCAGTTTTCACTCAGACTGACTATTTTGAGACCACACCGACTGAAAAATGTCTCAAACATCAAGTCTTGTTTTTGACAGCTTTCAGGGGGTGACTTGGGATAAATTACCTTGACATCAAATGAAAATACCAAGTGTGAGCAATGGTCTGAGCCCCTGGGCTGGTCAGCAGTGAGTAGACAGGGTCAGTCAGTGGTTGTTTGGCTTTAATGGTTACATTCTCAGATGGGGAGCAGGATTTTTTTAGCTCTGGTTCCTCTATTGGATTCTTATTTAATTTTTAATTTGTTACATCCTTATGGAAAATGAAAAGAAAACAGAACTAACCACACTGCTTCTGAATGCTAACTATTGGTCCAGATGATCAAGAGAACAACTGCCATTAAACACATTTCGAGCAAGTGAAGAGGAAACTTGGACCGGACTAACTGTGCCCTCCCTGGCCTCTCCTGCAAAGGTAAAGTATGTCAGTCCTGACTGTGTTCATGGAACTAAAGGTCAGGTTTCATGGGAGACAGGCAGGCAGGGGGTGGGAAACAAGAGAGATGCTAAATCCACCGCCTGCTGCTACAAACCTGCTGAGCTCCCATACCCATCCCTCTCAAAACAGACCTGTGCCACACAGACAAAAAACAAGTACAACAAATCAGCTACAAGGGAGAACTCTGATAAAACCCCAAAATGGGCCACAAATCCGATTGAGCACGAGGAATAAAGCTTCATATTTATTACTCTCAGTGTCATTTATGCACTAACTTGAGTCTGAAAAAGATATATGATACAAAAACAATAAGGTTGGTCAGATGTCTTGGACTGGTTCATTCACTTAACAGTAAATTATATTTTTATTTGATCACACTAATGTTGACAAGTCATACCAACTCAAGCACAATTTGTTTGTGAAGGTGCTCGATGATTCAGGTACAAGTCAAAGGTTCTTGCAAAAGTGTCTGGACTTGGTTGAAGCTCTTGAGGATAAATTGCTTCTCACCAGAAAGTCTTGACATATTCTGAAAAGGTCAAGTCCTACTACCTTTAGGATTGAACTTTGAAAAGGTGGATAAAACAGAGACAATAATCAGGTCAGATCAGCCTCTGAGATCTGAATAAGGCACCTGACTGTTTGATATTTGAGGATTGTTGAAGCATGACTCTGCTGAAGTGTATTGGATTATACTAACTTATGTTTCTTGTGCTTTGTCCATGTCCACCCTATATTAGTGTCTCCTCTCTAAACTATTGTATATTGTTTTGATCTGTCAATGGAATATTTTAACTCAAGGTAATAATTTCTTGATGATAACGGAACTTTAGGTTCATCAGTTCAAACAGGAGCTGAAGAGGAGACACATAGACCAGCAAAAAATAAAAACAGAAAATAAGGACTCAAATGAGGGTGATCATAAAACAACATTGGGCATTTAGTATTGGATTTTAACTGGACAAGAGAGATGGAGAAATCACTCTGTAAGCTGACAGGCGGAGGTTGTTTGGACAATGTTAAGGTGTTCATGTTGAGGGACTCTCGCAGTATGTTTTCTGCGTTGTCTATGTTTGGTTTGTGTTTGTTGTGTCTGTGTATTAAAATGAAACTGACTTGCTCCATATATACTGAGGTTATAACCTTAACCTTTGCGAAGGGTAACGGTGCTACTTAATACTCACATCAAAAACACAGCCAGTTGGCAGTGACAACTCCACCAATCCCTAAACGGCTGGTTGAAATCTGAGGAAAACGTCTCCAAAGACTTCCTCACCAAAAAATTTCTGCCTGAGTGTTTTAGTGTGTTAGGAGTTAATAAAATCTGCAATGCTGCGCTTGTACGTGCGTGTTTTGTTACACAATACATCACAAAAGCAGCAAACCAATTTCAATTTCATCAAACTAGTGCTGCCCTCAAAAGCACTCTGGTCCACTCACTCATTCATGAAAGAAAATGTACAACAAGGATGATACACCTGGTCTGAAAGAGGGAACAAATTGAAGAGCACTAACTATAAGCACACACTAAATATAGAGTTGTATCTCTTACGTGATGTGACTACCACTCCAGGGTGGTCAACAGCTGGCAACATAACGCTCAGGAAAACTCATTAAATAGAGTGAGTCATCACTGGGAGCCAAGCTGTGCTATCAGGTAGCATAGTCAGAGGGGAGTGAGGAAAGGTCCAGACCTGTGCTCGGGTCTACACAGGGAACCTTCCATAAGAAACATCAGCAGCCTTGGTTATACAGTGGAGTAGGCGGCAGGTGAAATGCACATTGTGTCCTGCTTTCATGAATGGAATCAAGCAAAAAGTCTAAGTCTGGCCAACGGTAAAAAAAAAATATTTATTTGGTATTTTGGGATGTTAAAAAAAAATCTTCTGATTTTGGATTTTCTTCAGCTGTATTAACCCAAGAGGGGCTAAAATCACTGCTTCGTTGGCACGTACCAAAGGCGGCATTAAGCAGAAAAGATTACACAAAGTTTGATACATAGCCAACTAGATTTAGGACTAAAACAGTTTCTTAAGCCCCTGTCATCTGTCCAGAGTTTAGAGAAAAAGGGAGAAGCTCAGGGAATGAAAAGGAGCTGAACATTGAATTCATTGGCCATTGAAGTGAATCTTAACTGTGCCAATAGGCAAAAAAGTGCAGCTTCTATAATTTATTATTCCAAATGTTTTATTTAACTTGAACAGATTTATTAGTATAAAGTGAGTGTGGTAACAGTCTAAATCTAAGACCCACATCTGTACAGAAACACAGCAGATCAAAAAGAGGGAGAAATTCAGAGTAGTTAAACAGCTCGACTTCCTTGTCCGTTAACAGTCACTGCTTTTTATTACTGCAGATTAGAGTCGTTCACACACACCTGTTCCTTATCTTTTTATCAGTTACAAACATTCCTCGTCAATACGCATACTGTATTCATTTTCTATGCTAAAAGTTGACCCCATCTGACCTTAACACACAGAGAGGTGTAGTGTCTCAGTGGTCCGAGCAAAGTTTTCTCTGTCTAAATGAGGACAGAGATTCACCGCCCGCCTGACAAACTGCCAATAGCACAGTCAGGCTGTGGCTCACGAGACATTAAAAGAGAGATTGAATTTCATGGAAGTGTCCATGAATTATAAATATCGGGGTGCGGGGCTTGTATATCACTGTTAAGTAAATAATAGTGGTTGATTGAAGGGGTAACAAAAGTGACTGTCACAAGTGGGTTGAAAAAGTGGCACAGGCCTCACACTGCTAGAGGAAATGAACTGGAGCAGCAAAAGAAATTAAAAATGGAGCATGTGCGTTCCTGTATGAACATTTTTGTTGATATCATTCTTATTTAAATATTAATGCAAGAATTTACAATTATGTTGCACTTTGAATGACTTCTTTTTGGAAGAAAAAAACGGAATGACTGTAAGCTAGAGTAAGTACTAAGTGTTACATAGCTTGAATCCTTGTTTTCCTAACAATACCACAGAAGGAAGCTGAACAGTTTAAACATAGACAGGTGGTTAAAAAAAATCAATGCTGTGTGGTATGTATTTGTAGAGCTGGTTCAGGATATCCTACGGGTGCTGTAAAACCAGCAAGAAAACAATGTGGTATGTTCCAGACAAATGCAGGAGATTAAGAAACATATTTGTCAAAGCTTATCAGTTTCTGCAGTAAGCTCTATTTTTAAAAAAAGTTCCTTAGCATGCATAACACCAGAGCAGTCAATAAGCACTGAAGTTTTAATAAGTGCTGAGCAACGATAAGTAAGAAATATTAATTCTTTTTCAAATCAAGTCAACACTAGAGGGAAGATATGACAGAATAGGTCCTCTGTTTGCATACAGACAGATAAAAGGGAATGTATTTGCTTTAAACTCAGCCCTGACAGGAGCAGCTTGTTACAGCATATCTAGCCTGAGTGATTCTCCTTGGATTTGGTGCCTGGCTGCACAGCGGATCCTTCCAAAAAACTCTTTTTCCCTCCACTTCCTCATCACTCAAAGACAGACTATTTTTGTACCAACACAGAAAAGCTTGAATCACTGTAGGGAATGAAATCCACTAATAACTGCTTCCATCTTTCAATGGCCTAATTTCTCACACTGCAGCACATACAGGACTGCTCTTGATGTCTGGACCTGCTTACAACTACAGTTGGTTATCTTGCAGAGTAACTGGTTGGACATCTGACTCATGAAGCTGGTTGATTTTGTGCTGTATCATTCATACTGATCTGTCTAATCAAAAACATCATACAACAAGCATATTACTTTCTATGAAACCGTGTTTTCAATTGATCTAATGTCCAGAGAGATGAATGTGAAAATATTCCATAAAAACACTGAACTGATGATGCTGCCCAATCCAACTGTAACAGTTGGCAAAAACCTCCAGCTAGCACCAAAAATACATCAGCATTTGGCTGGTGGGTGGTGTTCATTAAGCACTGTGACTGTATATCAGACCTATTTTATTTCACATAAAGCCTCAATATCTCTTATTTGTTAGTGAATTAACACAAACAATTTACAAGACTACATTGTTCCAGAGATTTAAAATTATCTAAGCAAAAAGAAAGACTTAAAGAACTGCCGTTTATGTTTCCATGATTTCTTTGGTGGGGAAGTTCTCCTGTCTTGACTCGGTAACAATGCTTGTGTAAAACAAATTTGAAAGTAAAACATGAGCTTTTCCTCTAGAATATCCTATAATAAAACATCAGTCCATATTTTTCTTCTACACTATTAACAGCAGCCACCACATAGAAGCTGTTGCTTAGATTTCACTCAGCTGGGCAGGATAAAATCAAAGTAAGAAGCATCTTTTGGTGAACTCTGCATGTCTTGGGTTTCCTCAGAGCAGACAGGATACTGAAAAGTGCCTGTGGGAGCGTACAAGCAAGAATTCACAGGGACTGTCTTGTAATTTGGGGTGCTACAGCAAGCTGCCATAGGGACAGTGCCAGTATCTATGATAATAGCATAATCTAGTTTTTATGCCCTGCAAAGTTCCTGACCTCATCTGAAGCATCCTCATTTCCATTTGACACGATTAGCATGTCAGAAAGCCATCCTAGACTGCAAGTGGATAAAAAAAGGCAACGCCATCATCTGAGCCATCCTAGGATGAAAGTCACCCCATGTAATATGAGACGTCCTCTAACTATCTATTGTTTCTTGAATTTAAAGGTACAAAAAATGTGTTCAGAAAGTAGAGGATCTGGCAGTATTTCTCCTCTAAAACAATTGAATTTATCAAACAGCAGTCTCAAGCAATGTTAAAATGGTCAGGTACTACCAGAATAGTCTAGTGTAGAGTCATTGCACAGCAGACTGCTGCCTCTTTTGACAAAAATGCTCCAGGGTTTGTCACCAGAGAATTACATGAAGTTTACACAGCTCTACGTAGTTTGTCGGCTCTCTATAAAAAAAATTTAAAAAAAGAGTTGCAGTTGATTTACAGTGCTTGCCAAGGGCTCTGAAGCCATAAATTTAGTATTTTCACCTTGGGCCTAATTTATTTGTCAGTTGCGACACCTGGATTGTATTTTTTTTTTCTTTTTTGTGGTGGTGGGGGTGTTACAGAGTTATGTCGGAAAAGGCAAGGGCTAAAATCTATTAAAGATGTCATGTATTTTGTCATATCTTGTTTTTTTCTCGGTGGATAACGAGTCCCGTCTCAAAACTCATTACTTCAGACAGGCCTCCTCAGACTAGCACTTGATGTTCTGCTGCAGAGTCTGGACTTACAACTTTTTTATTTAGTACTTTGTTGTGTTGTTGTGTTTTTTATTAGCTTTACTATTCTACTGATGTGTCTTTTAATTGCTCTGTAAGGTGTCCTTGACTGCCCTGAAGGCCGCCTACAAATAAAATGTATAATTATTATTATTTATATCTTGTTATACTTCGGCATCTTTATATAAAAGCCCCATCAATCCACCATGTATTCAGTTTCATTTACTTAAAATATTACTGCACTGTAGAGTAATATCTAATTATCTATCTGTCACACCATAATTATCATTACTAACCAGCTACCCACTTTGCTGTAAATTATTTTAACACTCATTCATTGTAAAACAACCTAAATATTCTTCTAAATAACAATCAACACTGCTCATTACCAAAAGAACACCATACCTACAGTGAAGCATGGTCGTGGCAGCATCATGCTTTGGGGCTGTTTTTCTTTAGCTGGAACTGGTGCCTTAGTCAGGGTGGAGGGAATTATGAACAGTTCCAAATACCAGTCAATGTTGGCACAAAACCTTCGGCCTTCTGCTAGAAAGCTGAAGATGAGGAGGAACTTCATCTTTCAGCACAACAATGACCCAAAGCACACATCTAAATCAACAAAAGAATGGCTTCACCGGAATAAGATTGAGACTTTGGAATGGCCCAGCTAGAGCCCAGACCTGAATCCCATGGAACATTTGTGGGGTGATCTGGAGAGGGCTGTGCACAGGAGATGCCCTCGCAATCTGTCAGATTTGGAGCGGTTTTGCAAAGAAGAGTGGGCAAATATTGCCACATCAAGATGTGCCACGCTGATGGACTCCTACCCAAAAAAGACTGAGTGCTGTAATAAAAGCCAAAGGTGCTGCAACAAAGTATGAGTTTAAGGGTGTGCATATTTATGCAACCAGGTTATTTTAACTTTTCTATTTTTTATTTTTCCCCTTAAAGGTTTCAGTTTGTTTTTCAATTGCATTGTACAGGTTATAGGGTCACATTAAAGGTGGAAAAAGTTGTAGAAATATTTATCTTGCTGTCATTTTCTTACATCATGAAAACCTGGAAGTTGAACAGGGGTGTGTCGACTTTTTATATCCACCGTAGATAGATAGATAGATAGATAGATAGATAGATAGATAGATAGATAGATAGATAGATAGATACGAGCCCATCTATACTGTCATGATTACCTCACATTTCATCAAACAGTAAACAGTGGTTTCCTTTCATTTCGTTACAACAGTGCTAGATTGTTATAAGCTTACTGTAATACAGAGTAATACAAGGAATAAGGTCCAATTTGTAATATGGTCAGATGAAATTAGGTTACATAAGGATTGGAGGATAGCAATACCAGCATTATTCTATGATCACCAGAGCATGGAGTCTGTTCAGGCCAGTCCAATTTTACCTATTATGGTCATCTTTAGCTGAGGATAGTGAGGTTTCATTGCATCTATCACCCTTTTTCTTTAGTCGTCATCAAATTAAGCAAGTCATGGGTAAACACTGAGTTTGATACTGACAAACTATGAACCGTATTGCGTTAACCTACCACGGCTGAGACTTTATTGACCTGCTGTGAACATGCTAGCCTGGCCAAGAGCTCATGGGTAATATGGCTAGCTTCAGCTCTGAGAGATTTCTTATCAGTATAGACACACCAACTCATAGTCACAAGAAACACGAGTGAGAAAGTTTCCATACAGGCTGTTTACTTTCACGGGCTACTGAAGATGTGACTCTGATTTTCTGAGGAGCCTGACATGGGAGTAACGCCTGAGAGGAGGAGGCTAACAAGTGTTTAGCTAGCTGGTGTCACTTAGCTACCAACCTAACGGCAGATGCGCATCGAACTTACTGTTGGTCATCTTCCGAAAGTCCGGGGGTTTGTTCAGGGACCTCTCCTTGAACGTCTTCGGGCACGGGTTTGACGTTAGTCCCGCTGTTCTTGTTTTTCAGGATCCCTTTTATCGGCCGGGGAGCTGCCATTCCCACACGCTGACTGTCTCACACCGGCTGAACTATTTCTCTAACACTCAATTCAGGATTCTTTGATTTTTAAACTCAGTTACCATGAACACACACCGGTTCAAACATGCTCCCCGTCATAGCTCAGCGTACTCCCAGAAACTCAGGAATAATAACTTGGGCAGGATCCAGTACGATTTGACAGTTCATCATGTCTTCCTCTCCCCAGTTGTTCACTGACTGGCGGGGCAACAGCTATACTAGCGGGTAGGCTCGGCTCGAAGCATCGCGAGAATTTAAAACGAGACTTCATATGTGACGTCGTATGCTGCCTCATACTTGGTCTAAATTTCCAGATTATGTCCATCCTTTTCTCCCAAATGAGTGAATATAACTCACTTTTTTGTTTTGTGTAAGGCCTCCAGAAATTATATTGTTGATGAAACTTGTATTTCGTAAATATTTTATTTCATATGTACATTTCATCTATATTATATGATATTATTTCCATACTTTCCACACAGAAAACAAACTCACCCCATCTGCCTGTGTACAATAAATAGTAGGCCATTAAGAGCTATCTATAGTACAGATAGCATGATGTATATATATATACATATAAATGATCAAATGGTCCATAACTCATTGGAAGGACTGATACCCACCCCTTTTCTTTAATCTTGTTTATGGTCACTTTTTGATCCTTTGTGATTATTTTGCATATATCTATTAAATGTAAAAGCTTGAAAAAAAAAGATTATATTAACTATTTTGTACATTAGATAATGTTGACTGCACAATTCAATATATTTCTCTGATACAAATACGCCTGCCAACCAAGGCTTACCCACTTTTGAATATTGTTGATACAATTATGAATAATGACTTAATATAAAGCAAAAGCAAGCATGAAAGCAAACTTGAAAGCCATTTCTTTTCTTTCAACCTTAAAAGTATGTGAAGCACAATCTCACTTTGCACCACATTATTTTAAAAAGAACAGGCACTTAAATCATGTTTTTTTAAATAATTTATTCTCCACCTCCTGCATCACCAAGAGTACTTGTGAATAGACTAAACTAAACATTTACAGGGTTTCCCTCTGATACACCCCCCAAAAGCCTTCCCATGAAAAGACAAGAGTCCAACAATTCATACAACTCATGATATAGAGTAACATCATAACATTACCAGGGCTGGTCCTTATATGGACATTTGTCAACATAGAATTGCAATCATACATCAAAAATACATTGTGCTCAATACATTGAGTACAATAAGAAAATTAACTGTATCTATGAAATACTCCTGTCTCTGTTTCTGTGAAGAGCATAAGGAAGCAAAGTTATCAATGAACATAATTTGACTGTCTCACACAGCTAACAGCACTCTAAGTCTGAGACACACTTCTCAGTTGTCATGCTCGAGGGGTCCTCAGTGTCTTCTTTTAGGCATCCAGGTAGAGATCTGGACTCATCTGTGGCTCTAGGGTGCCAAGGTATCAGATGGTGGTGTGGACGTGCTTCCTTATCAGGGTCCGTGCAATTTGCAGCTGCACTGGCCAAGGCTTCTCTGTGAAAGCTCTACAAAAGAAACAGACATGAGACACAGTAACCTCACGCTGTATTCAACTGACATCTAACAGTAATGACCTTTTATATCACAGATGATCTTTAACCCCTCTGTGTTTTTTGATGTACATAAAAATATTTTGTACAAATGAGAAAGACCTTGCAGTTGTCAGGCAGTAAATGGCGTTTTCTCTGGGTGTCCATCCACAGTGGTTAGAGAAGTTCTCCAAACATGCTGTCAGAACAGAAGAAGATTTCTGTGATGCATCAATAAAGACTGAGCCGGTAATGCTGTTTTTGCTGATTGGTGGGAGTATGAATTTCCCTCTGCATAAGTTATTGTCTTCATCATTGATTTCTTTCAGTACCCCATTATTTCTATGTTTTGAATCATGTTGCCACAATTTCTCTTTTTGTTTTAAGTCATACAGTTTCACAGACTGCTCCCTGGATGGTCGGAGTGGTACCCTTGTGGACATGCAGTCTGAGAATAGATTGCTGTTTGGTGGTACAGGTTGCAAAGTTTTCATCTTGAGTCCTCTTGTTGGTTTTGTCATTAATTTCCTGGATTTGGAGGACATATTCGGTAGATTGAAGCCATCTATTAGCAGTTTATCCCCCATCCTCGCTTTGAAGGCTGCGCTGGTGTACTGGCATCTGTTTGAAGCTGCTCTTTTCTGTCCTACACTCACCCAGCGTTTTATCTGGAGATAGATATACATGGGCAGGCTCATGTTTGGCAGCAATACAACTGAGTACAGCTTATTGGCTAAGTATTGTACAACATCTCTGTGACCCCACTGAAGAGCAATTTTTAAAGGGTCACAGCCTTCAGGGTCCTGACAAGCCAAGGCCAGAGGGTTCTTGGCAATGAAAAGCTTCAGGATAGGGATCTGACTGCTCTCTGCAGCTATGTGAACAGGACACTTTCCCGTGTCTCTGTGGGCAGTTTGGTGGCACCACTGACGGTATGGATGGACCCCCACTGGTTCCTCAGGATGCACCCCTCTCTCCAGCAGCCAGACTGCTAGATCCAGGTGACCCAAGGAGGCAGTTATGTAAAGTGCAACCTGCAGCTGAAACCTGGAAAAGAAAGAAAATTAATCATCATAGACTTGCTGCATGGGAACAGTTGTGTTTTGCTCATGTAGTAAATTTCTGACCTCATTACTGGCTTGCTTTCTGATAGGTTGCTCTGGACTGTCAGTCTGTGACCAAAGAGGCAACCCTGGAGGAACTCTACCCAGCCATCCCATGTGTCCAAACGGAGAGTAGTGCCTTTGTCCAAAGAATGTACAAGGTATAGAATTTGATAAAATTAGTTTATAAAATTTTTAATTTGTTGTACATTGGATGAGAAGATATTATTAAGTGCAACCCTGCAAGATATGTCTTTGTTAATGTAAAAGTGAAACCCTGCAGCATCTTTTCATTCTTTAAAACAGCTGACTTGGTAGATAATCCAAACAAAACACATTTCTCTACCATATAAGGTCTGTACTGCCTGCAAAATAAAAAATCTCATATTAAAGCTCCTGTAAAGAACTTTTAGTCACTTCTGCTGAGTTTGGTACACCCAGTAGACAAGGAAGTCTTTGCCTAGCTTGTCCGTTACATCGTGACTTCTTACAAAAACCTCATACTGCTGACTTTGACGGTCAAACGTATCAATTTTTGTGAATGTTTTAAGTGAAATTATAAAATAGGGCAGTTTCTTCAGCTGTTTGGCATCAAAAATTAGAATATCAAACTCATGGGTCTTGTCACTGTTGGTCTTGTTTGCTTTTGAATATCATTGAAAGGCATTTATTTGAATTTTCGTCCATTTCATAAACATTAAAAGACTCCTCATAGAAGCTTTCAGTGACTGTAACTGGACTTGTTGAATGCTTCTAACATCACCTGTGTCTCATCTTGAATAAATTTTTAGTTTAATCAGCGTTCATTTAACACTGAAAATGTGTCAGCTTTACAAATACTATAGAAAAGAAGCCCTTACCCTTATCAATGGCATAGTCTTGAAGTTGGTTGCAGTCATAGAGCTGCACACCAGCAGGTGTGCTCAGCCTGAAGGTGCTGACAGGGAGGCCACTTTGTATGGACACCAAAGTTTTTAATCTTGCAACAGATATGTGCAGAAGAGCCTCACTTTCCATAATAAGTAAGGTTTCTTTTGTCACAGCATTGAACACACGGATCACAGGCGTCTGTTCACTCTGAAAAATAAGAACAAAGGCACAGAAGTCACACTATGAATCACTGTGACCACTCTTGATATCAAATCTTAATGTACCCAAAACATAACAAATAAAGTCTAAGGTAAATGGGACACTTACCCAGATACTTGAAATAGAGTTTGCTGCCACCTAGTGGTTAATATCATGCAAAATCATTTAGAATAATGTGCCACCTCCTTTGAAGAGAAAGACCTCTGTAGACTATGTCTATTAAATTGTCTTGAAACTTAGTCCAGCAAAGTCTATATTCATATGAAAAAACACAGCTGGTTTATTAAGATTCATGCTGAATACATTTATCTGAGCACATTTTATGACCGCTGGTTATGTACTAAAGTGGGAAACAAACAAGATGTGAAATGTCAGAGCTCAGTGACGCACACCAAACATTTATTAGCCTGGTGAGTGAAACTGGGCTAACACACTCGGAGGTCACTCTAGAGAACTGTTTTTATGAGGGGTTGTTAAATGATCACAAAAGCTGAAAAGACACACACACACACACGCATAATGTTTGCTGTCAACTGTTACTTACAGTTGCCACAGTGACAAGCCTGGAATGTGTCCCAATTCAAAAAAGTGAATGATGGCGGCAGACTAGGGATCTCAGACCACCATAAACTCATTTTTACTTACCTCTTGCATGGCAGCATCTTGTTCCCTGGTCATACACCAGTTGGAAATTAAATTCACACAGTATAAGGATGTCTTTGATGAGAAATAATCCCAATTAATGAATAAGTATGCAGTGCCAGACTAATCTTAGCAGCAAAAAATAAAAGATGAAGAATGACTTGTTCTTCAGGGAATTGTCAGAGATGTGTGCAGAAACGAGAGGGACTGCAGCTCCCTAAATATGAAGCCTAAGAATAAAGCTCCACAGATGTGAGGTGCTGATGAAGAGGACACTGATAATTTGACAGCTTGAAGGCTGAAAGTGTCATGCAATTATGGGTAAAAGTAAAGAGGCACCATCCTCTCCCAATGTGCATCCCCTTCATCTTGTCATATATCTACAGCGAACCTAAAAACAGATACAAATCTCTTTACCCTTTAAATATTTTAATACCTTTATCAGGCATTGGAGGGCACTGCCACTTCTGATGCCCACGTCACTCAGAGCCCAGGTGTCCTGCAGTGCTGCGCCCGCATAGATAAGCTCTAGGTACTGCCGAACCTGTTTGTCATTTGAAAGACGCACAGGAAAATTCTCCTACAGGGACAGAGTGGAAACATGTCATTACACAGCATTTCATAATGACCTATATTGTGTCAAAGACAATGAACCCCCAAAAGTTCCTTTCCTTTGCTGAAAGCACCAAACAATCAGGAATATCTTTGAAATGCAGCCAAGACTTATCATGAAACAGAAATCCACTGAGATGCTGCTTTTTATTACCTTTACCATCTGCTTCACGGCCCCCACAGTCTGATTAGGAGGGACATCAAAAGGTTCACAGGAGCCTTCAAAGCAGATTAAGATCCTCATGGTCAGGACATCCGTCCTCTGTCTTTCAGCCTCCTCTGTGATGCATTGGTCAGGGGAGTATGTGGTGTGCTTGTTGAGAGGAAAGTAATTGTGGGGAGGGGTCAGGAGTTGTATGGGGTGGGTTTTGGAAGGCCAGTTACTCTGCTAAAGAGGTAACAAGTCACTGAAAGACAATTTGGATCTGATTTTTTTTTAAGCTGGTCTCATTTTTCTCCTCTCAAAATTGATGTATGGATTAATGGATTGATCTTGACTACTTTTTTCTCTTCTTTGTTTTCTTTGTTTCAAAGTATGATAGTCATTTATAAAACACTCTCTCATAACCAGTTTCTAGGTCTTCAGAGGCAGAAAAAAACAGTAACTTGTAAGATTTTTACAAAGATATGAGAGTAAGCTGTAAAGGATAAAAAACAAACTCAGCATTTGCAGATGTGATAAAAATCCACGTTGAACATAAAAGTTGGTGTTATTAAGCCACAAATCTAGTTTTGTCAGGCTCAGGTCACATGTACACATACCAATTATTTCAATGTTTACAGCAGCAATAAGACCTTACATATCTGGGTGCTACAGTCCCAAAGTTCAGGTGCAGTATAAGATAATGAGTATCACTGTTCAGGGAGGACAATTCCTCTCAAGAAAGAAAGAAAGAATTGTTGGCCACTATTTTACAGCAAGGTGCTTTAACATTTGGTCTTAAGAATTACATTTTAGGTATCCATGATTACAGCATTACTCCAAGTCAAAAGTATTATATATTCTTACAGATAAAAACTGTGTTTAAAATATTCTAAATGGGAGTCTTATCTTTTCATAGTTATCATATCCAAATCATCACCCTTCCCATCTATTGTCAAAAATTTAGATAACTGCAGTCCTGCAGTCTCTGAGTCACCTCTCAGAACATGTAAAACCACATGCCAAGAACCTTGGAGTAGTATTTGATAATAACCTAAAATTCGACAAACAAATTAGCGCTGTCATCAAATCTAGTTTCTTTCAGCTCAAGATCATATCCAAAATCAGACCATTTGTGTCAAATAAAGATTTGGAGAAAGTCATCCATGCCTTGATATCCTCTAGGCTTGGCGACTGTAATTCCCTGTACTTTGGTATCAACCAGTCATCGATACAACGACTGCAAATGGTTTAAAATGCTGCAGCACGATTGCCCTGCAGATGTAAAAAAAGAGATCACATCACACCTATACAAGCATCACTGCACTGGCTTCACGTTCAATTTAGAATATCCTACAAAATTCTACTGTTTGTACATAAGGCTTATCACAACACTGCCCCCAGCTACATCGCTGGACTAATGTCACCATACAACACAACAAAGCCCCTCAGATCATCACACCAAGGTCCTCTCACTGTACCAAGGTCAAACAAAAAAACATTCGGAGACAGGGCCTTTCCAGTCGCTGCACCAAGGCTGTGGAACAACCTCCCATCACACATCAGATCTGCTCAAAAAACTCCTAAAGACTCACTTCTACTCTCTTGCCTTCTCATAACCTGATTTCTCATCTGAATTCAGTTCTTACCCATTTTGCTATCCTGTCCTTTGCGTAAAGTATATATGTATATTTTTACCTTATCATCGCGTGTGTTTTTTAAAGGTTCTGATTTTTATCAAAGTCTGTTCCAAATTTTCCTGCTGTAAAGCACTCAAACTTTGTTTTTTTAAAGTGCCCTATGAATAAAGTTGACTTAACTTGACTTTACTCATATTGAGCTTTGCATCTATGAAAGTCATATACAATCAATCAATCAATCAATCAATCAATCAAAGTTTATTTATATAACACTGTTCATACAAATGAAATTGCAGCTCAAAGTGCTTTACATCAGGACAAGAAAAATAAGAGCTATTAAAATAGACTAAAACAGATAATAAAATATAAACTTGAATTTATTAATAGAAGAAGGTAAAAAGTGATACTTAAAATAAAGAAAATCATAATAGTAATTAAAATAATAAAGCTTTACATAAAAGCCGGGCTAAATAGATGAGTTTTTCAGGTTGCATTTTAAGATTTCAATATTAGCAGCTTGTCTCAGACCCTCTGGAAGTTTGTTCCACAGTTTTGGAGAGTAGCAGCTAAAAGAAGCATCACCAAAACTTGTTGTTCTGCTCTGTGGAACGACTAAAAAAGGAGATTTAGAGGATCTGAGAGGCTGGTTAAAAAATTAAAATCATCTTTGAAAATTCAAATTCAATTTTATTTATATGGCACTTTTCATACAAAAAATACTATTCAAAGTGCCTCACAGGGGCTAAAAACAACAATAATGACAATAAAACCCAACCCTCCCATCCACACACGCACCCATGAACCCACACGCACACAAAGACACACACCCACTCTCACTCACTCACACATACACACACACCCACTCTCACTCACCCACACATACACACACACAACCGCACACAGTGTGATAATTTAAGATATATTACTAGAGAGACATGGCCTGACACCGAGACATTACGCGAGGAAAGAGCCACCTCTGGGAACACTGGAGATAAAAATAGAGATAAAAATGGCGAAAAGAGTAAAACCTGATGGACTTAAACAAGAATATTAAATGAACAGATAAGTAAAAAGTAAAAGCTCTTTACCATATAAAATGGGGGTAAACGAAGTAAAAACCTGTGACAGGAATTAAGAAAAGGACTAAGAACAGAGATAATTAATGGAATGACATAAGATAAACATTAAGAACTTTGATTAAAATTAACATATGCAATAAGAGAAATATAAAATGGCAATTAGTAAAAGGCCTGGTTAAAAAAGTGAGTCTTGAGCCTCTTCTTAAAAACATCAACAGTCTCTGCGGCCCTGCAGGGTATTCTGGTGCCAGGCTATGTAGGCTATATACAGAAGTTGTAATTCTATTACTACAGAGGGTGCTATGGATTTAAAAACTGTTAGCTGCAACATCTACAGCGGTTAATGAACGAATGCTCTACACACATTTACATGTCGTTTATAACATCACGGTTTGCTGCCAGGTGCTCGCATTACACGCATGAAGTTACTATAAAGTAGTGAATTTAGTTTGTTCGGTTTTTGTAATTCATGTACAAAAGGCAGTTTGAGTATTTCGTCACGTGCCTATGTTTACGTCTGGAGTCATTTCCGGGACAAAATGATTGGCAGGCATCTCACCCAATCAGAGGCTGTAGATGAAGTGGTGCATATGGCGGAAGTTTGGGCTCTCTCACATGAAAGAAGAAGAAGCTAGCGGAGATTGAGGATTAAACTGAAACGTTCATGTACAGACTCTCGGACCTACCGACCAGGCGGGATGAAGTCAATCCAAATCATTCGTTGTTGTGCGTGTTCCCTGACACCACCTCTTGTAAAGAAGAGCAATGTCCCCTCCAGCAGCTAAATTCCCGGACAAGACAGACCTCCAGGCAGAAATAAAGGTAAACACCCATGATAAGCTACACTGCTACCTGTGTTAGCATCCTGCTAACGCGGGTACAGGACGCTCTGTTTTTGTGGCAAGCTGCAGACCTTTAGGAGTACAACACCACACCACGACTATATTTATGTGCATGACTACAGCTCAGATGACAGGCAGATTGCTTGACATGAACGCAGGTGGCTATACTAATGAAGAGAAGAAAATCCGCTGAAACCGTAATGCAACAGTAGTATCTGAGGTATTCTGGGCAATAAAGTTTATGGTGTTTTTCTCATGATCGGATGTGTCCTGTAGTCATATGGTTTCGCGAATTACTCCAGAGTGTCTTTGACCGAGAAAAAAAGTGTTGTAATTGTGATGTCTGTGTCATTTGATGTTTAGATCATTCAGTATCGAGGGAGCTCTCTTTCACTGCCCCTTGTGTTGTTCCTCTATAAACCTCAGTGCCCTGCCTCTGCTTTCCTTTCCACAGTTTGCCATCCCTGTATTATAATGACATTTTGAGATCCAACTGAGTCACGAATTTAAACTCATTAACAATGCTGAAAATGCTTTCTCTACAAGATGAGTGACACCTATATGTAGAGCATATACACGCAGGGCAGTGTGGTAATACATGCTGTGTAACACAAGAGATATAGGGGAGAGTGGGGTAAGTTGTGCCACCCCCGTTGCGTGGAAATGGTGAAAGAAATTGATCCTGTGACCAAATATTCAAGATATGGGCATTAATGCATGGAGTTTGTGAAGGTTAGAAGCTCATGGGTGAAGAGGTTAGACGTTTATTTCCAAAAAAACATGTTTCACTCTTGAAAGTGAATTTAGTCTGTCAGAAGTTTTGTTAGAATTGTGTTCAGACCAAAAAGATCATTTTAAATTAGTTTTATACATCAATTGTTTTATCTATGAGCTACAACATGAGGTCAAAAACCTAACATAAAAGTCCACCATTTTAGCTTAGAGACTAATAAAGTCATAATAGTAGTTCTGGGGTAAGTTGAGCCAGTGGATCAACTGAGAAAGTAAAGAAGTCTGATGAGAGGATCAGAGTTTCAGTTCAGATTGTTGAAATGTGTTACTTCTTTTCAAAAATGCAGCTGTGAATGTTCTGAATCATTTAAAGACATTCTCATGTCAAATTTTTTTTTTACAAAACAGTCTTTTAGCAGTTATATGCAATAATAATAAAAAGAGTTATTGTACCAGTTGAATAGACTGTAATAGATAAAAACACACATGAATGTGAAGAAGTGACTGTTATTTAAGGAGAGAGAAGGTGAGGGAGGACTGGGATGGAGAGTGGGGGGGTCAACTTACCTCATACACGGGGTAAGTTGACCATAGGAGACCACTTTTTTTGGCATGCTATATTATCAAGACAGTTATGTTTACACTCATTCTGTTGGTTTGCAGGGATGCACAACATCCTGAAATATATACAGATACATTAGTTAGAGACAAAACTATGATTGTCTTAATGTAGTGATCCGAAATATGCCGACCATCAGTTACAAACATTTTTCTATTTTATTGTAAAATTGAATAAAAAAGTTTTTGCATTAACAGACAGTTTAAAGAACAAGAGCAGGATATACTGTATGCAGTAACATTGCCAAGTCATGCAAAACACCAGTGATACAGAGTGCAGTAAATCAAAAAGATTGTACATTACTTTTAACTCATGGTTTATAAGACTGTCAGCCATTCTTTTTTTTTTGCATTTTACTTGTTAATGCATCCTGTCCTTTTGAGAGAGGATGATTGCTTGTCTTACATTCTATCTGAGTGAATGAAAACTGTTGTGTTAGCCTGACTGCCATTACTTTTTTGATGTTATATTGATATATTTTTTTCTAATTTATTCTGATAAACTCATATCTTTGGGATTTATTATTGTGAATGCTTATAGCTTGTTAATCTTGTTTACTTTAATCATGAAATTGCAATTCTTTGTGCAGCCCCAATCAAATGGATAACTGCCTTGATTTTTCAGGTATTTCACTCAGCCACAAAGGATGGGTTTCTGTTATATTCATCTGACTTGTGAATTGTCATAACTATGTTGAATATAAATGCTGTCATGATTTTTCATAGATATATCTTTCTCCATGCTTCCTACTATAAGTTCTTTTTCATTCCTCCTTGTATGTTAACTGGAAGCGAACCTAAAGTAAAAAAAAAATAACAAAACAAACAAAAAAAACAGTTAAAAGTAGACCACCTCATTTAGACCACCTCTCCTCACCACACCTCTCTGCCCCAAACACCTTAAGTGCATGTGTGAATTATCAGGTGGCTTGTTATTCTTTTCTGAGTAAAATAAGGCTGTCACATCTCAGAGCAGTTTTCCGTACTGGTTTGGCTCACTATGATTCACAGTGTATTGTGGGAGATGGCGGCAGCTGCAGCATTAGAAGGACAGCAGGGATGGAGAGTTACGTAACCAATCCTCACTCTCATTTTACACAGATGTGATTAGAGTGTAGAATTGAACCTGAGTGCTAAAGTGAATTGTGCAGATTGGATGGGTGAGTTTTTTATGGACAGACTTGGCACTGCTCAGGCTGAAACACATAACCATGGCCTCATTCGTTTTGGGCAGAAATTACAAGCATACTTTTTTAAAACTAATTTTAGCCATAAATCTTTACTCAGTCAAATGTGTTAGAAGTATTTGGACGAAAAAAGTTAGTGTGTTTCAAATGATAAACTAGTTTACTTTGGGGCTATAATCTTACTATCAGGGGCTACCTCTCTAGGGTGCATCTACTTAAATCAAAACTAACATTGTGATTTTAGCTCAAATGTATCCGAACATGATTTACTTGGAGCCGAAGCAACCTAGAGACTGCAGACACTCAGTCACCATGTAGTGTTAAGTAATAAATGATGACAGGTGGTATGGCAGCTTTTTTGTAGATGTCCCCATCTGTTTGAATCATCAGTGCAACACCACAGTAGATACATTTCACTGTAAAATTAGACAAATTTCATGATGACTAGATCTACATCCCTCCTTAGTGTATTTACTGATTTCTTTATTATACAACCAAGCGAGACTGGGTGCCTGACAATGCAGCTCAGCGCTTTAATGTCTGGCAGGACCTTTGCTGTTAATTTCTCCTGACCCGATCACATGCTGTTTTACACTGTCTGAGCTTCTACCCCTCATGATTTTATGCGAGGCCTGAAGCTCCCTTCAGCTGTTCTGAGGCAAATGGTCTGCCAAAAATCATAACAGACAACAGCAGGAAGCCTCACAGGAGGAAGCAGCAAGAGAGTTCTCAAACTGAGCCAAGGCACTGACTTACAGAAAAACACTTTAAGGACACTTGACTCAAAACCATTACACATGCTTTTTACTGGTTTATTTTCTTTTGGTAAAGAGGTATAATTAACAACTGGGGAGGAGTTACATCATCCAGAACTGGTATTTAAACTTTTCCAGATACACTTTGTACGCCATTGTTCATATGTCAGCTCAGTTTGTGGCTGACACTGGTGGAAAAGATTCAGTATGAACAGTTATTGTCCTTTTGCACACCAAATGATGAGTTATTTGATGTTTTTAAAAAAACTAGAATAGTTGTTGATGCCTTATCCTGGTATCCAAAAGCAAAAAAGACCACCAGTAAAAAGATTTCAGATTTTCTATCTCAATTGAGGGGGTAGGTGTCGGCCAAGAAGTTGAAGAAACAGGAAATTTTACAATTTCCATTTTTTTTTGTTAACAGATACTTCTTGAGTGTGTAAAGGACAAGATAAGTAAAGACTTATTTGTCCACAGATGGTACCAAAATCGACTCAAACTGAGAGTCCCTCACTGGAGTTTTGGGTCCAACTTGTATTTACTCTATTTATTACATGCTTAATGCTTTACTTAGAGGACAAATGCAGTGAAAGAGCCTGTTTGGTGGCTACTTACAGGAAATTTTCTTTATAGATGTTTCCCTGACAGAGAGCAAAGAGGTTCCACTGAACCAATCCTGGTTTTTTAATGTGCTTCCTATATAAATAATGAAATATTCTTACTTTGCAAATTTGAACTAAGACATTTCAATCTGTTTTGTCTTTTCTAGGTGTGGCGTTAACAGGCCGTGTGTAGGGGTTTCCATTGCAGGCCTGTGTGCCCGGTCGTGTGTTTATGGTTGTTAATGTGTATGAGTGAAAGGCACAGCAGCGGAGAGTTGTAACGTGATGCCAAGATGCTTCTCTCTCTGGGAATGCTGATGCTTTCAGCCACACAGATTTACACGATCTTCACCGTTCAGCTCTTTGCCTTCCTCAACCTGCTGCCTGTGGAGGCTGACATCGCTGCTGTGAGTAATCTTTAACTCGCATGATCTTGATACCAAAGACTTAGGGTGTTGTTTGGCTACAACCTGTATGCTGCTTTGTTAGCAAGCTGGTTAGCAGCAGTGATATGAGAAGCATCCGGGGCCTGTGCTTTGTGTCTGTAAACCTCCTGTTAGTCCAAATTCATTCATGAGGCTGCAAACGGGTAAAAATATTGACAACTGAGTAAAGATCCTATCCTTTTCTTTTGTTACTGCATCAGACATGGTATCAAAACATCTTGCCACAAAGATGATGAGTCATTTTTTTTTATCTTCCAGTACTCATTTGACAACAAAACTGAGAACTTTGATGACTTGCCAGCACGGTTTGGCTACCGGCTACCAGGTGATGGACTAAAGGTGAGTGCAGAGAACTTCTTGAGCTACTGTTTCGTAGGCTTTATTGCAAGCGTTTAAGTTTTTATGGTTCCTGATTCTGTGGCATCTTAACCACTTTATAGCTCCAGAGACTCAAAACCTCAACCTGAAAACATAAAAAACAGCAGGACGGCAAGGAAGCATTGGAATTTTGTAACTAGCTATTGTACGACGTCAATGTGCCTAAGGGAATAATGGCAGTTTTTTCAGTATATCAGATGCAGCCAGTGGTTTGTGATCAGCACCTTCCAGTCTGCTGTGTTTACAGTCCAGATACTTATGAAGAGACTGTATTTTATGATCAAGAGCAAAGTATCATTCTCACCAGATATGTGGATTATATGAACTGACACTGTAAACAGCATTATTTATTAGTCCGTTTTCATCCCTGGAGTCTGATCAGTTAGTGGGTTTGTTTTGAGTCTCAGTTTGATTGTAGATAATAATGTTTAAAGAACCTTTGCTTTAGCTTACTTCAGCAGTATAACCCAGAAAAAAACAACAATTTTCCTGATTTACTTGTAATTAAATATCAAAGTCATGGTGCAGTTTTGTAAAAAGTAAACATGTGCTACCCAGGTGTGTCCTCAGGAGGAGAAGAACATTTAAAAAAAAGATTTGCTGTTGTTTGGAAGTCATGTTGATAATTTATGATGCATTCTGGGAAATCAGAAAATGTCCATGATTACTGACACCTGATAACAAAAAATCTGGCAGACCAAATAGCCTTCACAAATATATTAATATCAATATATATGTTGCAAAATCAAAGGTCACACACAGTAAACGACATAAAAACATTGAAACGACATTGTGGTCTGACTTTAATAAAGACGAATCAAAGTGAAATGACTTCTTATGAAACTGCTCTGTGATGAGAATTGTGATAATATGTGTTGTTGTTGTTGTCATTGTTGGGAGGTTTCTGAATGCTACCCCCCCACCCAACAACCCAACAACCCACACACTTGCTGATCCACAAACAAAAGGGCATGATTCATGTCTGCTATCTAAGCTGGTCATTGTGGCGTCTCTCAAAGTCAAGAGCTCACTTGTTGTTGCACAAAGAGGTTTCAGGGAACAGAAGCAAACTGATGAGAAACACACAGTGCCTTAGTTTCTGTTTGTGTATCTATTAGTTAACTGCTGTTTATTAGGACATTCATAATAGCTGCTTCTTATCCAATTCGGATGATGTTTAGCTGAGCAGGATTACAGCACAATGGATGACCTATGGTATAATTTTGGCTCTGCAATAAGAGTTGTGATCATGTTATATTTTAGGAATTGAGATTCACATTTAGATAATTGTAAGTAGCACTATGTTGTATGTAAATTTGTTCATGAGTGTAGACATTGGCCACAAACATGTACCGTTTTGAATAAGATGTCACCTTGATCTGCTAAAACAGCAGGGCACATGGCCCACAGTTATGTTCCTGTGTGTGTGTGTTAGGATGTATCAATCTTATGTAAGAGTCTGTGTCATGAAAGCTGAGAAATGGCTCCGTCTCAAGCTCTGCTGATCATCCTCTATGTTGTATATTCACATGTAATCCGGGTGTCTTGTATTTCACCTCTGCTCTCCTGCTGCTTTCTAGCCGAGGCAGAGAGCCATGCAGACATGCTGCCCTAGTCCCAGAGGGCTGACCTTATTCTATTTCCATATAACCCTCTTCTGCTCTGCCTCCGTCAGAGGAAGTTTTTCTTCACCCTGCTTTTATAGAAAACAGCTGTGATTTGCAGCAAGACTCAGCAAAATTTTAATGTAAGAATACATCCACGTTTTCAAAGCTGTGGAGCCAAATAGAGAGGAATTTTCTATTACCCTGACTTAACAAGCTGGAGACTTTCCATATCTTAGTGCAGTGAGGATATTATGTTTATGTCACTCAGACAAATTTACGATTGTAAAAATCAGGACAGAAGATTACGTTGCAAAAATGCATGATTGTATCACGCAGCCTCTAGGGCCCTTGGATTTTATCTCTCGGTCACCAATCTGGTGCTGCCCTCTTTACATGAGAGGCACAGTACCTTCTTTGTTGCTGCTTTCTATTTTAAAAAGAGCATCTTGCTGTGTAATGTTATTGTTTTTGGTTTTTACCTAGAGATTTGCCTAATCTGATTTAGCTGTAAAGTAAAGAACATCAGCTGCTCAAAACTTCTCTAGGTTCAAAAGATGATTGGCAGACCGAGTTAACCTGGAAATACAGAAAATCTTCGCTGCAAAAAAATGAGTGGTTTTGATTGTGTAAGAGTCTGTCACGTTATTTGGGGATTTTAGTAAAGGCAGAATCTCTGTTGACTTTTGTTCTAGTTTGAGATAAGTTCACATTAGATTTCCTCCGCCACGCTGCAGCTGTGCCATGCCTGGAAACCACCCTGGCATCACAAGGCAGCACAAGCCAAACAAAAGTGTCTCTGGAGGATTTCCCTCAGGGATCAAGGTTTCAGAAAAGACCTCCCCTGTTTCAACTCACACAACAGTGCTGATTACAAAGAAAGGGTCTCAGAACAAGGCCTCGAGGAGCCTGTGTCAGTGAAAAACTCTGAAACTGCTTCGCGTTTGGACAGTATGATTTCTGGAATGTTCAAATTGGTAGTTTTACTTTGGGGATTAGGGTGGAGTCAAAATGAGGCATCACAGCAGTTACTGACTCGAAAGAAAATCCTGCTTAAACCACTAAATTTTACACCCTTGGAAAAAAATGACAAAATTGTTTTCCACCTACAAACTGCTGCTGATGAGAGTGATAACAGATAATTCTGAAAGGTGTTCCTGAAACAATCTTGTGAGTCACTTTCCCTGTTTAGTCATCAGCTCCCTTCAATTTGTTTGTTTCATTCAGATACTCATCTTGCCTTTTCGCAGCAAATTCTCCACACACTAATTTTCACTTCTACTTTTGTACCTGCTGATCTAGGGACCCATTTTTAGAGGAAATTCTTGGTTTTTCTTCGGAGAGTTCGTGGTTTGGATGGTCCAGCAACAGTTAAAGATGCCTGGCTTTGACCAGAAGCCTGTGGACTCTCTGTGGGACTAAAATTATACATATTCATTTATTTCTCTCTGTGGAGATCTGTTTTATTTTGAAAGCAAAAGGACATAAAAGTCTCCTACTGTTTCTTTCTACATTCAAGCCCCCTCAGAGCTTCCACTGAAGTCATTAGGAAAGATTTTGATTGAAATGGTTTTGCTTATGGAAGAGGTTTATAAATAGATGATAGGAAATACTCTTTCCATATCACATCTTTCTTTGAGTTTGACATCACTCATGTGGAGGCTAAGTACTAAATCAACAATCTGAGCTCAGTTTTCAACCTGTGGATCGGTCATGAGTGTAAAAATAATTCAGAAAAAGAGGTTTGGAGATGGGAAACAGGCTTGTAAGTTAGTCTTGGGGATTGATTTGTCATTAATATCTAAAGGGCAACGATGTATCCTCATTTAACAATAAACGAACTTGGAGCGCTTGAAAGGATCTCGAAGGTCTACTGAAGATACTCGGACCCTGATGCATTGTTAGGAACTTGAGGCTGCTTTATGAGAAATGTAAAGGTTTCTCTTTGCGCTTCCAGTGGGCACATAAGCTGCTTATACATAGCAATTTTATAACAACATTGCTATGTGGTTCACACACACAGAGACATGCACACACACAGCCCTGTTTGGTCCTGCAAGGTACACATTGCCTTGCTTTCATTATATGTCTCAACTGCATATTGTGATGGTTGTAACTGAGGTGGGACAGTTTTATCACAGCTACATTTAAATTCCTAAACTTTGCAGACCAGGTGAAACTGGTGTAGATATCCCACTGGCACATTAGAAATCACAGATTGTCTTGTTTGCATAATGCTCCACTTTTCTGCCTCTACATCTGCGATAGATTTTCTTTTTGGTACTCTACTGATGTTTATGAGCAAAATGGAAGAAAACAATGAAAGCTTACAAATTCATTTGATGAAATAAAACGCTACAGTTACCCAGCTTCTCAGAAATATTCAGCACTGCCCGACCCCCTCAGGTTACCCGACTTTTGTAAATGTACTGAGTCTCCCCAAGCAGTCGCTATTGTTCCTGAGAAAAATTAACATCCCCAAAAGCTAGTTCCTGAGCAGAGCTTCAGAGGAAATCCATCTTCTGAGAATCATTCTGTTTTGCTTTAGGCCTGAAATACAATAAGAAACATCATTCATCCTTTTCAGCAAAAAGTCAACCCAGGCATCTCCTTTATCGTGCACATATGCACACGTAATGTGTCACATGATTTGTTAATGGGTTGTGATGGAGATAAAACACCCATTTATTGAATGCATCTACATGAGTCATTTGTGCCTGTTTCTGGTAAATGAATGGTGATGCACTAGTCATCCCTGTTTACAGCAGATCATGCTCTTTGTTGTCAGTGTCTATGACTTACAAGCATTACTAGATATGCCTCATACTGAGCAATTCCTCTTTTCTTCTTCACTCCTCAAAACCAAATTTACTGCACCATTCTGCTAAACCAGAGAGAAATCAGAGTTCTGCACACACAGCTATTACAGAAGGTTCAGAGAGAGAATAACATGAAATAACGAGGTCAAAGGACTTGGGTTGTTTGCTCGTGCCACTGTTACCAATACTGTGTTTGTGGATCAGTATTGTAAGGTACTTGGTGCAGAGAGTAAAGCAGGGCTTGCTCACGTGTAGCTTCACCTACTTTCTCTTGTGGTAGCGCTTTGGCTCAGAAGTTTGGACACATTTTAGGCAGGTTACAGCCGCCTAAACATCAATGAATCCGACTGTTGGTTCAACCAAGCTTTAATCTGCTTACAGGGGGCCCCAGTCAGGGCAGAGCCAGTTATTATTTCCTGTGTTTCTCTCTAACTAAACCAGAGCAAATCTGCAAACAAGCTCTCGGTGAGATTTTCAGTGATAGGATTAAAGTGTGATCGCAGCAGTAATTTGGAAAAGTCCACCGGAGAAATTCCCTTCCCTCTTCAGCTCTGCAACAAGAGTACTTGGTCAAGTACTGCTTTAGTAGAGCAAACAAAATAAGGACACCTGTGTCTTCACCTCTTGATTTCGAGGAATATTAGTCTAGAAAAAATACTTTGAGCTTAGAAAGTGTCACAAGAAGCACAAAGAGATGTCTGATTTCAGTTTTTGAATGTTCTTGTCTTAACATGTTTCTCAGCAAACTCACAAGAAATTCTTACATTTAGGTCAAGAATGCAGTTTATTATTTATTATTTCACCCTGTAAAAGATTTCATTTTGTTTGTACTGTGTTTTAGTTATTTGTTTCCATAGTCAAAAGTAATGAAAGGTTCCAAAATAACCAGTACATACAGCCCTACCCTCCTGTTGTGGACAAAGAATACCAATGTGACAGTAAAAAGTGTAGCTAGACACACTGTAATCTGGGGAGGGGGGATAATTTGGACCTTATACAAAAATACGGTGGCTGAGAACCGCCGCTGCTGCAAATAGAAAAAGAATGCAAAAAAAGAAGTCACAATGGAAGTTACTGATGCAAAAAAAAAGAAACTGAAGCCCGCTGCAAATAAAAAAAGAAATGGCGCAGATAAAAAAGCCACAACGGAGTTAACGACACAAAAAAAAGTGGCAATGGAAAAAAAAAAAGTTACCCACTGAAAATAAAAGGATGCAAAAAAAAAAAAGCCACAACAGAAGTGAGCTGCCAGGGACCAATAATGATGATGCAACGGTGTTTCATGATCTAGGCACAGAAGACGACGACAAGAAGACGAGCAAAGAAGTTAGTGGAAAGGTTTTTGTTTAATTTCGCTTCGTGTGCTTTTCAGTGTGTCATTTGGTTAGGCCATGTTGCGCCCGAGTCCATTTTAAGTTGAACTGAAACTAACACTACACCAGCATCCACTAGATCAACTTTATATTGACTCAGGCGCTACATGGCCTAACCAAATGACACATTGAAGAGTTTACGATATGAAATTAAACAATAACCTTTCCACTTACTTCTTTGCTCGTCTTCTCGTCGTTGTCTTCTGTTACTCTTTTTTATTTGCAGCAGTGGCGGTTTTCGGCTAAAGTACAAAAATGCTATGCACAAAAAAGAGAAAACATGTAAGCAAAAATACCAACAAAACTAAAAACAGTTCTACACAGTGAACAAAAATGAATTGAACATGTTATTGCACATCATTTGAGTTATTATACCTGAGAAAAATGTAGGTATTTGCAATTGTAATAGATATCCGGTGTGCCAATATTGCAGATTGAGGTAGCATTGAGACATTGCCCATTAGTTGTGCTATAAAACCTGGACTACTGGGAGCGAGCCTGGTTAAACAGCCTGACTGCAGCAGGAAGGAAGGACTTGTGGTATCTCTCTGTCTCACACTGCGGGTGAGGAAGCCTGGCGCTGAAGGAGCTGCCCGAAGCTCCATCACTAACCACTCGGGGAAAAATAGCTGACCCCACCAGTTTGCTTTGTGTGCTTAAGTCCACAAAGTTGCCTTTAAAACTTTTTTGTACCCACGTTCATCCTCTCACATTAGAGTTACCTCTCCTCTGGCTTTCCCCCTATTGTGCAAATGCGTTGCAACAAGACATGTGAGCGAAAGTACCATTTCTACATCACACGCTCCATGAATGAGTTGTACTCATTTGGTGAATTTCCAAACTGCAACACCTTGATCCCACAATATTGCAACCCTGAAAATGTAGCTTAGTCAATAGTTGATCTTTTTTCTGCTGCAACATGGTTTCTCAAGTTTTAATGCATGCTTAGAAATGTTGATCATAAGACATACTTGCAAGGAATTCATTCGAGCATACACAAAAAGCTTCATTTTCACAGTGAAAGGGCAATATAAGATGAAAACATGTAGATATTTTTACATAAGATCCTCTTATTGAACCGCTAAGAGCCGGCAGAGCAGTGGAATTACCAGCATTGAGGTTATAATCCCTCCACAGACAGCATTTCATCTCAGTCTCTGTATTCAGAAGTTCCCCCTCCCTTCTGGGTCATTTCCTGTTTTTCTCTGTTCGCCCTCTTCTCCTCTGCATTCTGCATTCCTGCCAGGTGCTGTGGTTGCTGAGACTCCCTTTACCAAAAGAGGGCGCTCTTGCATCTTGTTTCAAAGCCAGGAAGGAGGAATATGAGGCAGTAGCACAGTGATGTCATGTAGCAGCAAGGCAGGGAGGGAGCACCCAGAGGTGGCAGCAGCAGCAGCAGTGGGTGATTCCTCACAAGTGTCTCCTCCACCTTTTTCTACATCAAGTCTCGTTACTGTTGAACTGCGAGCAGACGCTTCACTTTGGGTGCCCTCTCTTGTGGAAAGCCTGTGTCACTGCGGTCTTTTTCGCTCATGTTGCCAAGCTGCTGTTTTTGAGTCAGTCGGTGAAATCATGCACTCTTAGAAAATCAGTGCGGTGTCTGCAGATGTCTGCTGGCTGTCGGTGTGAGAGTTTCTTTTTTTATTTTTACATCTATATGACTTTAAGAAGGAGAGAGAAAGAAAGCTGTAATGGCAGTAAAATCCCAGAGCCCCACAGCAGTCCACACTTCCTGTCTAACACACACACTCACACACACTTAACACACACAGTGGTGTTAGTTACAGTTGCATAAGAGCAGCAGGTATATCACATCAGTTCTCCCCCCTCGTCTCATGTGTACTTTCATCCTCTCTTCTTCATTTTTCTGCTCTGGTTCTTCTCTCCTCCTCACGTCCGCCTCTTTTTCTTTTCACCTTTCTATTTTTGTCCCGTCTGCACCCCCTACCCACCCCCCACCCCCTTTTGTCTACATTACAGAGGGTGTCTGATTCCCTCTGCCTCCATATTTGCGTCGTCGGTCGTTTTCCGCCTCTTTTCTCCTTCGCTTCATCACTCTGTCGGCCTCTCAGTTTATCTCTCTCTTCTCACTATCTGCCTCTCATCAGTCACTTCAAAAGCTGCTGTGTGGAAATGGGACTGAGACAGGAAGCAGCAGAGTTAGAGACAGATTGGAAACACAATCGACAGAGTTTTTCAGGATAAGCTGAGACAGAGACAAACTGAAAATCTGTGTTTTTTCCCACCATGCAAACCCAGATTATTTTTATCAATCCGGTGGGAAAGTTTTGTGTACATAACACAGACATCATGATGTTGAATTTATACTTGAATTGTTGCATCAGGGGCTTTTGCTGGAGTGGTTTTTCATCAGTAGTTGTGGTGGGTGTTTTCAATGTGGTTTTAACAAAAATGGTGGAACAGACCCTGGGTCCTCTTGGAAGTCTCGGTGTTGTGTCTACACTCTTAAACAGTCTGCAGGGTTACTTTGCAGCCAAGTTGAGTCTGATGAAACAGTAATTCCTTTTGAAAGCAGCTACATTTTACTTTGACAAGGTTTCAAACACACAAAGAAAAATATTGTTCATAGTGCTGATGGTTTGTCAGGGATTTTTTTGACGTATTGTGAGGTAATTATCAGCAGATGACTTGCCTATATATTTAATTAAATGTCAACATTGAACAGTAAACAATGATAAGACTAGCTGCACCAGATAAGAAGTCAGCTGAGGACGAAGAAAGGTAGAGATGCACCAATCCATACCTGGACTTATACCTGGGCTGAGCGTATCGGCCGATATCCAATACCGATCCAATACTTCTGTTGAATGAATGAATGAACTGTATGCCTTGCCCTGTGAGTGAAGGCATCAGGCTTGACATTAGCCTTGTTAAAAAAAGGTGAAAAATATTAACACAGATATGAATTTACTTAAAGGCAAAAATTGCATAAAAAGTACTTTAAAAAAGTCAGACTTCTCAGTTAGCTTTTAATTTACTGAATCAAACTCCAGTGCAAGAGCAGATGATCGTACTGTAAGGTCATCGTTTTGTCAGCTGTCTAACATTCATCAGTATTGGTGGACTGCTCTTTTTAAGAAATGTATTCTTTGATATCAGCTGTGACGTGTTTGTTAGTCACTTGTTTATTTTCTTTCACAATATGACAACTCATGATGTCATCCTTACAGGGCTTCCTGATTGGAGCACGGCCTGAAAATGCGTGCGAGCCCATTGAACCCCCTCCAAGGGATAACTTGACAGGCGCGTTCATCGTCCTCATCAAACGCTTCGACTGCAACTTTGACGTCAAGGTACAGTATTTACTCCACTCGCTGTGTGTGTGTGTGTGTGTGTGTGTGTGTGTAGTTACTGTTGGAAATGGAGGCCTCTCCTCACTACAGACCAGCAAAAAATTAAACCAACCCTAACTCTTAAGACATTTGACTTAAGTAGAATCAAACAAACATGTCTGTGAATCTACTTGAGTCAATGTAAAAAGTAGTTCATTTAAAAAGTAGTTAGTTTTTTCACTCATGGCACTAAGGATGGAGTAGAAATAATGTAAAAGCGTATTCTCACAAACTAATCACAATGATGTGTTGAGTGATTTTGTCTGTGTACCTATCATGAGTGAAGTTATTGAGTAATTTGACAGCATCTTTCATCAGGGTTGTATTTTGTAGATAGCTCCTCAGTTCACTCTGTTCATTTTATTAGGAAAATGCACATTAATCAGCACTGTAGCACCATATAGAGTCAGAACAACAGCTCTATTTCTCTGTACCAGTGCTTGTGTTTGACGGCTGTCTTAAAGGTGACGCAGTTCTCACAGTCCCTGATATGAGCTGCTAATCTGTTCCAGGAGTGTGCGCCTGTCACAGAAAAGACAGAAAAGACTAAATTTGGTTTTGAACCTCAGTACAAACCAGACTCTCCTAGTTTGGGCTCTTGTATTTGTAGTTTTATTGTGTTTTTTTTTCTGGTTAAACTCATATCTTGATAAGTTTCTTTAAACAGTATTTATTACTTTCAACTAAACAAGACAATGTTGGCATGAAATATATGGAAAAACCATCATATTTGGCCTGTTGTAACATTGATTAGAGGTTTTTTGCAGTGTAGACATCATCCGAACAGTTTGTAATCATGCAGTTGATGGATAACTTATGTTTCATGGTTTTTGTTTAGTAATTCATGCCGTGTAAAATGTAGCAGACCTACTTCAGAAAACAACAATGTAAAAAGTTCAAGTACACAAAAAGCTCCAAAGTGAGTGTAATTAGTGACTGTCAGCTCTGACTGACTGTATATTATAACAGGATTCAAGTGCTTCTGTCGTGAGCGTACGTTTCTTACACTGTGTCAGTGCAGAGAAACACATGGGCTTAATTGTAAACAGCGTTTGTTGCAGCAGCTGTTAATGCAAAAGGGCAAACTGCCAAAACTATAATCGCTTTTGTGAGGTTCTGTACACAGATGTGTGTTTGCTCACACTGCATTTATATCAACTGCTGCCGTTTTTGGAGTCAGTTTCAGTGGAGCTCTCAGATCAGCTGCTTTGGACAAGAAAACAGGAAGCGGTCATTTCCCTAAATACAATTTCCTGCATGCGAGTTTTATCCCAAACGACGGCCTCTCTTTCTCTTCCCCTGCTGCAGTCTCTTATAAATGTTGCTCTTGTGGAGTTGAAAAGTTTCTGTTTGTCTCATACATCAGTGCAGCGGCTAAAAGATGAAGAGGGCTAATCCTCATTAGTTAACCGAGGCATCGAGGGGAGGAGTGTGTGTGGGGAGTGCAGCTTTGTGGAAAAGATAGATGTTCAGACAGGAAGATAAAGGAAAAGAGTAACAAATAGTGCAGCTGACCTACAAATATTATATCACTATTTTAACCTGAACCTTGACATACAATCTGTTGCTCAGTTTCAGAGCTGTATCAAGTTTTATATGATAACAACAGTCTATCAATTAAAATATTTGATGATATATTTTCAGTGATAGAACTTCCAGACTTTGACTCTTGAGACCTGCAGACGTCTGAATAATTAACACAAACTTCAAGTGTAAGGGTTCGAAAACTTCTGAAATTCTGGCACGAAAGCTGACATTAAATGAATCTCTGCTGCTCCCTCAGCTCACTCACAAGGAGGGTCCTAGACTGTAGCTTGGTTTGTTGATGTGTCTACTTCAGAGGAGCAGAGAAAAAATAAAAGAAATGAGGGAAAAAGGCGAAGGAGGTGAGGGGGAGAAAAAGGGGCCAAGGATTAGGAGAGTGAGAGCATGGATGAGTAATGGGGTGAAAGGGAGGAAAGCATGCAGCGTCTCGGCGTTTCTCTCTGCCTCTTTTCTCTTTCTGTCAAACTCTCAAACTTGAATGTCCTATCTGCTCCCTCTTTACCTCCTCTGCTTTTACCCACCTTGTTTCACTTTCACATTTCCTCTCTGTCCCAGTTTTTTCCCATCTATTCAATTCCACATCTTTGCCTGAAGCCTTTTTTTTTCACTCCATTGTAGCTCTGAAGCAGCAGCACTGCCATATAAGGTCTGACTGCATCACACTCTGATAGAAACATGTTGACAGACACAGCGGTGAGGTGTTCCCTTTTGCCAGAGTGAAACCAGACTCCACATAGCTGCGTGTCAGACATGCACGCAATTTATATAGAATACACACACACACACATACACACACAAGAGCACGCACACACACACACACACACACACACACACACACACACAGACACACAGACACACATACACACAAGAGCACACGCACACACACATCTCTGGACTTTGCCAGATTTGCCTGCTAACCTTGTGCAACCTTCTAAGGAGATGCTCGAACTTGTTTAAGTAAACTTGGACTTTGAAGTACCTAAGATTTGGAAGTGTTAGGGTCAGTTTTGCTCCTAAAAGGCCTATTAGTTTGTTGTTTTAGAGCACCATCAAGTACAGAATGAAGATAAAACATTAAAAAGATAAAAATTTAGAAAATATTCAAGAAAATCCCAGTACATGTCCAGATGCCAAGTGGTTAAAATGCATCTCGTGCAACCATAATGTCCGTGGTTTGATTTGGACTGGAATTTTGGAATTTCCCTGAATTTCCTGTTTGCTTTTCCACGGTGGTCAGTTATTAAACACAAAGCCAAAAATAGAAACCTGTCCAGTATGGAAGTTAAAAAGATCTTTTCTTGCTTTATAAAATACCCATTTGCGCCTTTTTCACTCCCCTGCATGTATTTATTTTTGATTAATCGAGGATTGTTGATTTGTGTCGCCACTTATATTACATTTCTGTCAGAGATGCATGATGATAGATTTTTGTGGATATTCAATACACCGATATTTTCCAACTAATTTAGCCTGACACTAAGCTGAGAGTTCGATAAACCAAAACTAACCTACATCCTCCACTTGTGCTGTAAAGCAATGAATTCATTGTTAAGCTCTTTTATCTTTGGATGGTTGCTGCCCTTTTTTTCCTGCCATATGACTGAAGCACAGAGTACTGACTGGTTCTGCTGATGCCTTTCTCCTTGGCAAATGTGATTGGAGAAATTAATCAAAAAGCAGAAGAATCAAGACCTGATTCTTATAACATGATCACTTTATTCTTGAAATATTAAGGCTTTGCTCTAGCTTTATTTTTGTAATAACATGGCTTCTAGATGAAAAGACACAGCTTGACTTTCTCATGACGTTATTCTTATGAGAAAATGACTGAAAAATTGCAAATCTTGTAAAAATGTCTAAATCTCTGATGTTTTTTTAATTGAATGATACCTGAACACTTCGTCATACATATATGTCATTACCGATAAAAAAACATTTGAAGCTGTCTTTGCCAATTCAGATTGTTTGATAATAACTTTCTGCATTCTTTATTTCATCATTTCTTGACTTTTTTCCCATCACTCTCTGCTATAGAGTGAACTTTCTTTGGCCTGTTTGCCCCCTCTCTAAAATTCAGTTTGAAGGAAAAGGTTTTACCAGCTAGAACATGGTGTTACAAAGCTAGTGCAAATAGGAAAAAGTGCAGTTTGCAAGATGAAAAAATAAAAGACTTATTAATTTTAAAGCAAGAACACAGTGCACTGTCTTTTTCTCCCTTCTTAGCTTCTCACTTTAACACAGAGTAAATGGCTAAAACTTCTTGCACATGAGCAGTCCTGAAAATTTAAAGAAATCCCAGAAGCCCTGCCCTGAAATTTTCCAGACTTGTCTCTTCAAACATACGCTCCACAATGGGAAGTCTACCCCGTGTAATAAGGGGTGTGGTAGGCAGAAAGAATGATGAGTCAAAAGCATGTGGCAAAAGCCACAGAGTGATGCTCACAACATGATGGAAGATGGAGCAACAGATTCATGGGCTGCGACGGCAGTTTTTCCATTTATATTATCACCAGCAGCAAAAATACAGATGTGTAGACATATCTGACGCTCTCCTCTGAGAAAGTAATTCTCCTGCTTTATCCTCAGATGTTTTTATTCATTCGATCACATGCTGCTCTGCCTGGGCTGCACAGTATAAATGTAACCAACTATATATCTGCCCCATATATCCACCCCACTTCCTGTAGTTTTCTTTCAGGGAGAATTCAGGGTGACAAAGTCTGCCCACGCCGTACGTGAACAGTTCACTCTTAAAAATTCAAGGAAGTTTTCAGGAGTTTTGTGTGAATACAGCATGTACTGGTCTGTTTCTCAATCTTCATCCCTGGCTGAAATCTCTTTTTTTTCATCAGTTTTTACACACACACACACACACACACACACACACACACACACACACACACACACACACACACACACACACACACGACACACTTGCGCTCCCTCCCCCTGAGTTGGTCTCAGTTTCCTCCAGAAGCTGCAGGGAAACAAAGGAATAATAGATTCCATCTTTCCTGAGACGAGGCACTCTGTGTGTGTGTGTGTGTGTGTGTGTGTGTTAGTGTCTGGGTACGTGTGTGTGTGTGTGTGTGATACAGGGGTGTCAGCCTCAACATGTGGGCCTCCTTCCCCTCCTCTGTAGTGTTTGGCCAGTAGCACCGTACGCTGAGATTTTATGGATCTGTGGCCATAAAAAGGACACTCACCCACTTAACCCCCTATCAAGTGTGTGTGTGCAAGAGGGTTTGTGACAGTGTGTGTGTGTTAGAGGAAGAGCGTGTATGTGTGTTATGATAGGACATGACAGAGAGGGGGGGTCAAAAGTCGAGTGAGAGCGTTTCAGACGGGGAGGGGTAGAGGGCAGTAAAGGGGTGTTAATAAGCAGAGGAGCTCTTTATGTGTGTGTGTGTGTGTGTGTGTGTGAGAGAGAGAGAGAGAGGAAGCATCCATCTTTTGCTCCTCCTCATAGAAAATAAATCTCAAGAGACACAGGATTTGCACTTCCTGTACGCTGGGATTCTTTGAGGTGGGGTGGGTTGCTCATTTGTGACCTTTGACCTTTGAGGGAAGGGGGGGGGGGGGGGTGGATACGAAACTGTATACCACTTCCTCCTCTCTCTCTCTCTCTCCCTCCCATGAACAACCCTGCATGACTTTGTTCATTCTGTGGAGACTGTAAGTCCCTGTGCTGCTGCTGCTGTACAACACACACACACACACACACACACACACAAACACACACTAACACATGCACACACAGCAGGTCAACATACATTGAGACATAATGTCCTGGTTATGTAACACGCACCGAGGAATGTTAGGCTCTGGTGAAACCCATTTTTTTCTCTTTTTCTTCAAGTTCTCATATTTACATTCTTTCTCACACAGTCCCTCTCTGCTGCCCCCCGTCTGTCACCGCTCTAAGTTGTCATTCCCTCTCCATTTCAAAAACAGCTCAAAACTAATAAAACTAAACATATCCTTCTCTTATAAGTAAACATCGTGATATAATTTACTTATTTCTACACTGTGTAGGTGCATCACAACATTATCATTCATCTAAGTTGTCTTTCCAGTTCCGTATTCACTCTCTGCTCAGTCGTGTTTTTTTGCCCTCCTCAGGGAAATAGCTCGCTCTTCCTCTATGTGTGTAAACCGGTGAATATCAGATTCTGTTTGCTGAGTAGGTGGCACAAAACAGGTTCTTTAAGCTTTACTTTCTCACAGAGCTGCTGCCTCCGGTCCAAACAATACTATGAGGGCCGTGAGGACATATCAAAACAGAAAATGTGCGACTCTAGCAGCCAAGCATTGAGCTTAAACTTGCTATACAGCTGACTGAAAGTGAGTGTGTGGGAGTGGGGGGTAATGCAGATTCAAGGAATCATTTTCTGCCGATATTTGTTATTGCGGCTGCTGTGAAGGAGAATAAACATGAATTCAAAGAGCAAACCTTATTTTCAAGACTTATTTTTAGACTTTAATTAAAAAAACGTTGGCTGATGCCTTTCTTTTAAAATTGAATCGACATTTAAATGAAATGAAATATGAACCATTTACTGCATCTGTTCTCAAAAACAGGACAGATGAAAAGAAGCTGCAGGTCAGATGGATGAGCGCTCTTGTCATGGGAACACCTTTGTTCCATTTTTCAGTTACATAATCATACAGGCGTTTAGAGACAGTCTTGTGACCACGATCTGTGGACACACGCTTTGAGGTCATTGACAAAAAGCACTATAAAAACTGATGCATTATTATTATCATTATTATTGTTATTAGTTTTGGCCACTTGGAAAAAACCGAATTTTAATCACTCACTTATACCTGAAAATTAGACCATCACACTTTTGTCAGATGTATTTCAGGAGTAAAGAAAAGTCTAGGTATTAGTGAAAGAAAAAGTCATCCCCTCATTAGATTATTTCAGGTTGGAGCATTATGTGTAAGCAGAGACTGGCAGCTTGAAATGACTGCTGGAAAACCCCCCGTCTCTGACCCCAGGTCAGGCTGTGAGACAGACCCAAACCCGGCTGGCCCAGGATTTGTCAGACTAAACATTTCATTTCGGTTTACACATTTTTTTCCTTTTCAGGAAGTTGTGAACTTTGACAGGGCGGGGTCAGGTCTTTCTCCATATGACTTCATTGTAGCACTGTATCATAAAACACTTTGACATCATGTTATTTTAAAGACATTCAAATTCAGATTTTTTTAACTCTTGGTTATAATCACAGTTTTTGAATCTTGATTTCCTGTTAAGCAGAAAATATTAAAGAAGGGTGGGACTCGGCTTCAGAAAGCAAATCAAATACTTGCAATGATGTCATTAGTATTGAGGGCGATGACACTCATTGATAGCAAATACCTCCAATCAAAATCTTGCAATAAGAAATCCAGGGAGGGAAAGAAAAACACAGGCTCAAGTCATTCAGCTTATTTTTAGGTGTGGTTTCAATGGCCTCATTATCATCAAATCAAACGTTGTGCAGAGCTGCAGATAAGCTGGGAGTGGTCATGAGGATCTTCTTTTCTCAGTAACTGCATAATGTGTCCCGTCAGCCTCTGAAAGTCTAAAATCATCTTGTGTGACTTTCAACAAAACGCTGAAGCTAGTCAGTGTTTGTCCTGCTGGCTGGTAATTTCCCATCTAACCTTGCTTCCTACCTCCATCTTACTGTAAGTGCATTTGATTGTGCGGCCTGTTTGTGTGGCAGTGACCTCACAGCCCTCAAGCTACACACACACACACACACACACACACACACACACACACACACACACACACACACACACACACACACACTGGCCTCAGTCTTTGCTCAAACAATGATCTAGCGTCCTGCAAATGCTCTCCCAGTCTCATGACAGGGTATGACTATGGCTGACTGGATGTATGACTAGCTCGAGTGTGTTTGTGTGTGTTAGAGGGGGGAAAAGAGAGCGAGAACTAGAGAGGGAGAAAAACAGAGAGACCATATCACATTTGGCCGTGTCCTTTTTCTAAGCTGTTGTTATGTCTGCAGCAATTTGTTGTGGCAACAAACAGAAAGCTTGCTCCCTTATTTCCCTCTAGGGCACACACACACACACACGCAGACACACACACCTACTTCTGATATGTATGCACCCATCAGGCATAAAAACTTTCAAAGAGAGATCATGGCTCGGTTTTTGAAGATTTCTCCACACTTTAAAAGGTTTTGTGCTGAATATTAGGACAAAAGTTTAACGCACACATACTCTACTGCAAACACTGCTCTAATCTGCCTGTCTCACCTTAACTAAATGTGCCGTGGGAGGTAGGCTGGAAAGAATGGCTTAATTTAAACTGAACCTACCCAGGAGCAGAGTTACTTAGTTCCCCACTGCAACAGGGAAAGAAGAATCAATACACTGTCTTTTTGTTATCTCTAAGACAGCTCAAGTGCAAATACAGTCTCTCTAACGTATGGAGAGGTGAGGTGCATGAATTTCAGCTGTGTGCTGTTATCAGTGTACACAGCCTCTCCCTGCTGTTCATAGTTTTATTGAACTCTTTATCTAATCAGCGGTCTGGACCTTGAAACTCAAACCCAACTCTGCACTGAGCTACATTTCCACTGAAACTCTGAGGAGGAAGGGGTGGGTGAAGGAGAGGAAATGAGGAAGGAGGAAAGGAGAGAGCAAGGCAGGAGGGAGGAGGTGTAACCTAAGTTTGTAGTGCGAGGGTAACGAGGGCAGAGGAGGAGGAGGATGGTTGGTTCAGAGAAGAGGAAGAGAAAGACGGGGAGGAGGGGAACTGAGAGTGGAGGAGGGATAAAAGAGGAAGGTTGGCTGAAGGGGAAAAGGTGGGAGGAGAGAACAAGAAGAGGAAGAAGGAGGGTTGAGGGAACAGAGGGAAGAGCGTGAAGAAGAGAGTGGAGAGGTTGGGGGAACAGAGGAATAGGAAGATAGGAAGTTGAGAGAGGTGAATAGGAGATGAAGACCTAATTGTGAGATGCTGCTTAAATAGTGAAGCAACAAAACGGAGCTCATCTGTATCTAACATTATTTTAAAATGTAGACCAGTAAGGACGTACTCATGCAAACTTCAAAAACGTGTTTTTTAGGGCAAAATGATGAAATCAAAAGCTGCACATAGTGTAGTAACTTCCCCTGAGACTCTATTTTGGGATTTACAGAATCATGTCTCTTGTTTGGTTCAGGTTGAAGAGAAGGAGCTGAAAAAGAAGGTAGTGATAATGGAAATACTCAATATAAGATTGAAAGAAAACTTGAAAGGAAGAGCAGAGAAGTAAGACTGGTGATGAACTGGTTCAAATGAGATTAATTCATTATGTGGAAATAATTAAAGTATAGTCTTGAGAATAAAACAGTAACAATCCTAGCACATGTAAAGTTACAGACACTAGCTCTGATAATAGAATAATTCAGTAAAATAGTGAAGAATTCAAAGAAATTCTCGTCTTGTAAAATCAGACTCCTCCCAGCCTTATTGGACTAAAATTGTTATCATCCAGTCAGACCTGATTTCTTGGTTAGGTTTCAGTTTCTATCAACCAATGAGAGGTCACTGACTCACAGCATGAGTGAAAATACCCCGACTATGACAGACTCTGTTTTTCATGATTTCCTCCGTTGGTTTCTGAAGTGGAGGTCATGTGGCGGTTGCCGAATTGGAAATGCTGATTCAACCTAACTTTAGGTTGACATGGCAAGATGCTAAGAGGTGGAGCTGAGGCGAGCCTTTAGCTAGCTTGGCTAACAGCTTCTGTGTGTCTGCCTGTCAGCCAAGCTAGCTAAACTCTTACCCTTGATATCCTAAAAACAAAGACAGTTTAGTCTGTACACTTTGTGGGAATGGAAAGATGGGCTCCATGTTTGTAGAGCTAGGCTGCTTTAGTATGGGTGTTAACCCATTAAGACCTGAACCCTGTCTGAGACACGCCTCTGAAATCCTGAGGGCCATTTTGAGAAGGGCCCCAAGATCCTGAGGTTTTCTGAAGTGTTGAGGTTTACAAAAAACCTGATATCTCAGCCTCTGTAGCAGATAGAAACAAAATTCAAAAAGTATTTGAGAGCTTACACGTGTGGCTTTCAAGATAACTCTCTTTTATTATTTTGAACCTTCATCACATTATTGAAAACCTTGAACAAACAAACTCAAATGAAAAAAAGCGGCTGTACAAATAAAAGTAAAGACTCTGCACTGGAGAGTAACAAACAATTTGCTTTCTGTAAAACAAGTGGCAGTCATGATAAAGTGTCCATTCAATACAAATGTAAAAATGAAAAATAAAGTGTTGAAAGGGTATACAGCTGCCTTAGTATAGTGCCAGTACAAAAGCAGCACTAAAAACTAATAATAAATAAATAAGTGGCTGAAAGTGTGTTCATCTCTATGCTCAACCAAAGTCATGCAACACTTACAGAAAATGCCAAAAGTGTGAGCCAAAGACCTCAATATGAAGAGGGTGTTCACACTGCTGGATGCCTTTCCTCTGAAACCGCTCTCTGCCTCCATCATTGTTTACTTTCCTCACAAAGCACAGAGCAAGATCCAAGCATGAATCCGATCACTTTATTAAGCTTTATTAGCCTATCAGAGGCAGTATGATGGCGGTATGATGATTTGATTCGCCACGACTCCAGAAATGATTGAAAACCTACAGATTTTTACAAAATGATGTATCCGCGCTCCTGACTTGAAGGGTGCATACATGCTGTCCTGGTTTAAGTGGGTTTATGGAACTTGGAGCTTTTACCTCCAGCCTCATGTGGACACTGACAGAACTGCAGTTTTACTACTTTTGTATTGGCTTCACTTTTGACAGTGGAAGTTGCTGCTTGGTTACCAAACATTTCTATGACTCATTTCTTTATAAAGCTTCCAGCACCTTGTAAAATGGACTCTGTTCAGCCTCAGTGCTTTATTATGATGACTTCATGTTGGTTAAACTTTGCTCACTAACTATATATACACCACTAAATTGTATAATTCATTCATAAAAGATGGAATAAAACCGACTCCTCCTGGATCTTGACTTGCACGTAACAGATGTTGTGTGAGAAAGTTTAGCTGTGTGGCTCAAACTCATTTACACAAAGCTTAGGTCAAGTTTGCTCTATGCAAATCCAGACCAGCGACTTCAACAAGTGACACGCAGGTCAGTAAAACTGCCTGAGCTGAACATGAGTGGAGTGTGCCTCTGAGAAGGTTAAAATGAAAATTGAAGAGGGGGGAGATTTTTGGATGAGAGGATGTTAGCGATACTAAGGAGGGGGAGGAGGAGAAGGGAAGGACGGTCGATGTTATAGCTGCACCACGGCATGATGAGACTGTGCAGTGCTGGCAGCACATTCACACACACAGGAGAGAAGATGCAGCAGTTATTGACGCACACACACACGGTGGTGATGCAGCAATAATTAAGGATGCTATCAGCATTCTCTGATCATACCAGTAGTTCATCAAACACCAGTAAAAGAACAGAAAGACAGGCACAACCTGTGAGTACAGGCCATCGACAGTCTAAAGAGGAATAACTGGTCTCTGTCTGCTCCAGTAATAAAAAGGATCACAGTAAATACCCACATCTTGCCCTGCTGACATATATAGGATAGCTGTAATTAACTCAAGTGTCCATAGTGACTAGTGTGTTTATCTAATGAGCTTCTCATAGTCAACAAAGCATGTCCTACCCTTTGTGAGTCCCGAATAGTTTAGGTGATCAGTATCAGTGAGTCATTCTGCACCATTTAGCCATGTTTACTCACCTTCAGTCAGCTGTGACCTTGACAGCTCCGACCTTGAACACATAAATATGTGCAAATACACCAGAAACATTAGCAGTGCAGCAGATTCAAGTGGGAAAAGAACCTCACTGTACACCTTTTTTCCATTTTATGGCTGAAAGATTTTATTTTATTTTTTAGAGAAACACCTTCCTCCACATTCATTCAGTCCCACACGTTCTGGTGAAGCTGTAAAATACAAATACACAGTGTCCTGCTGCTGTTGGCATCCAAGTTGCTGCAAACCAGTGGACATGTAACCTCTTAAAGTTTGTAAGTGCACTTATTGCAAGGTTCAACAGGTTTGCATGAACAGTGAACACTTAAGGACACATAGGCAAAGAGAGGCTTTAAACTATAACAGCAGCTTCTATCTAATCCCAGGTCAGTGTGAGGTCATCATGCCTCACCTAAAATAAACAGCAAATGTCTAAATATAAAAAGAAATGATCACATACAGCAGAGGTGTTATCACTTTGTTGATCTTTGCATTTGTTTCCATCCACAACACGAGCCTTGTAGTGGCCTTTATTGAGATACTTAACCTGTTAAACCTGAGAGTATTGTGGGAATTTAGCATACAGAAAAAGCAGAACAGTGTTTGGGAGTTCATAACACTTAAAGGACATTTGTTAAGGTTAAGAAAGGGAAGTGCCACCAGAAATACAGAAATGTGCACCAACTGCAATTTCTGATAAACTGCATAAAAAGTTTATCATTAGAGTAACATTTTGGTTTGAAATGGTCAAGTAACATCAAATTTATATCACAAGCAGTTAATTAGTTGGCGATAATTGCCTTTGCAGAGGCCCAACATGACACGCTCTTTTGAACCTCTCGACTCAAAAGCTCTTGGAGCTTGTTCAGTTCATTTAAAGGCCTTCAAAAACAACAGCAAATGAAGCAGAGTCAAATCTGCCTTTTAAAATCCATAACCGGTCAGTCCTGTAAACAAAAGGCTGCAGCGTCTGTGCTGTGGGCCAAGTTCAAATCTGGCCAGTCCTTCACAGGGTGCCATGATGAGAAAAAAAACAGCTTCCGCTTTGACTCAAATCCAAAGCCTGGTGGTATATCAAAGACAAACAATGTTGAAAAAGCAGCAAAAGAAAAAACACTGAAGTATTTGAGGCCATATCATGAAGATGAGATGTCTCCGAGGAAGCACTTAGCTGCTTATTTTCCAATATAGGTCCACTATAGATGTAAAAAGCAGTTACCCTGTGTAGGCAGCACCATCATAATCATGTTTGGTGTGTGCTGTGTGGTGTGATGCTGTAGAATTAACATTATGGATGGTGCCACAGCTCAGAGCGATGGTGGAGAGTTGTTTGTATTCATTTGTGTAAGTTGGTATGTTTACAGTTGGGACTTGCATTCTACTTCTTCCCTCTCAGCCTCTCCTTTCTCTGCCTCTCGGTCTGTTGTTTCTCCTTCTTCACAGTCTTCCAGGAATCCAGTGAATGTCCTTATCTTTGCCCATGCAAACACAAGGGTGAGCCAAAAGTAGAGGTTACATTCCTCTGCAGATCTCAGGCAGACAGGCAGCATCCCACTCTGGCATGTAGACAACCTTCAAAGAAGAAATGGTGCTTCTCTCTTACTGTACTTGAATATAAACCTCCTGAAGGAGACACTAAATCAAACTTTCGACTGCCTGCACGGTTGCTTTGTCCTCTGCCAACACCAGCATTGATCATTTCACTTGTTGGGTAGATCAACAAGTAGAGCTTTAACTCCAAGTGGGGATTTTTATACCAGGCATTTTGCCCATTGATTCAATTAACCACAACAAACCAATGTGTTTTGTGGCCACTGTTACAATAGTTTCCAATTTGCATGACTCGAAAGACACAAACCACTGTAAACACCACACCCAAGTCACGCTCTGCTGTGTTAGATTGTTCCCACTTGAGCAATATGAAAGTGGGGTTTGACATATGAAACAAACATTATTCTCATGCCAGATGCTGCAGACTCATGCAAAGTTCAAGCTAGCCTGAGCCCTGCTTACATGTTTTATTCATCCAAAGTGAACCTAGATAACTTTTTAAAGTCAAATCAAATCAAATTTTATTTATATAGCGCCAATTCACAACAGTCGTCATCCCAAGACGCTTTCCAAAGAAAAAGAGCAGGTCTAGACCACGCTCATTGTTTGATGAATTATCAAGACCCAACCTAAGATGGGATTTGGCCCATCTAATCTAACATGAGTAACAGTGGCGAGGAAAATCTTCCTTTTAACAGGCAGAAACCATGGGTAGGACCAGACACATGCCAGACAGCCACCTGGTGAAAGTGAAAATCACGACAGAGTACAAAACTTTTTGGAGTTGTTGAGATTTGTGTATATTAAAACACACTCTTAATTGTTTTGGTGTATTATAATACTGCCCTGATATGTTAGCCAACCTATTAGTCAGCCTACACCCAATATATGTACATGGAGAAAATACAAACAAACAAACCACATAATGAAGTTGGGTGTACAGTCTTTGTGTGGACCTGTATACATGAAATCCTCCACCTGTTGCAGTATCACTGTCTTTTATTATTCTTACTTTGAGCCCTGTTGCCTCATCAGGCAGCCAAGAAATCTTCCCACACACACACACCAGCGAAGTTTTTTGTGTCTGTGTGTGTATGTGTGTCACTTCTGCAGACAGCCTGCCTCTAGATGCACACAGTTAGCCATTGAGACCTCCACACAATACACCCTCACAAGCAAACACATGGGATCACAATGCCGCTGCTGCCATACACGCTGCTGCACGTATGCCTGTGCATAAAATTAAAATGACAGGGGACGGACAAAAGACAGTGCTGTTCTGAATTAGCGTCCACGGGATATAACACACACACACGCACACATACACGGTTCACCCCTCGCAGGTCTAAATAGATCAGCAGAGAACAATGCTCATATGAAAGAGGCCTGACTCGAGCTACAGGGCTAACAGGCCACTCTCACACAAACACTTATCACTTGTAAGGCTAGTGGGATCATTTTACAGACTCGGAGAGTGACCCTAACTCACTTCATCGCCTTCCTATCCTGCCTCACATCACTGTCTTTTTCTCAATTTTTGCTTCAGGTCAGGGTGTTAAATTACCACAGAGGGTTTTTCACAGGCTCTGAGAAATAATTACCTCAGTGTTTCCCTCGTGGCTCAGAGTTTGAAGGTTTAAATAAGAAACTCACCCTTTTGAGAAAGCTGGCGGTTAAATGGTCTCCAGCAGAGAGGTTCAGATACAATCTTTTTCTAACTGAGATTTAGACTGATACTAAAGGTCCTTACACACTGGGAATGATGCAAATATACAACGTGAAATTATGAAACATTCGGAGGCGAATTTTGACTCACCTGTCCCGGGTGGAAGCGAGAAGACTGACACAACACCAGACTGACTGTTTTTCAGTTCTGATTAGACTCTAGTGTTGAGATGACTGTCTGTCATGGTAGCATGTACTGAGTCGGGGCCAGTACCAGATAAGCACATTAAACTATAATACAGAAATGTAAGATACCAACCGAGATCTAACGGTGCTGTGACAGCAATGCGGTTGAGTTTGAGACAGTGAAAGTACATATGGTATGTTGTATCTGAACAGGTTAGCTTACGAGCTAAAGTTACTTAGCACAGATGAAAGTTAAAACAAAGACGTTTAGCAAACTGTTAAAGCACACAAACCATCGTCATATGAGAAATCCGACGCTATGACTCTCCATAAGTTGTCCTTCAGGTCGTTATCTTTGTAATGTTTGTGGCTTTTATCAAAAAGCACTCTGTTCTCAGACACGTAAACAATCAACTGGTTGGCCATGTTGGATGTACCGTCAGAAGTGGACACACAGTATGCGAAACTTTAGAAAATTCGACCCTGATACGAAAAAATAAATGCTGCAATATCGCAGGATGGGAAAACGGCGCTGATGTGAGCGCTTGTATTGACGGGATACGGGATAGAAAAAAAATATTGACGTCCGAAATAATTGCACGAAAAAAACGCTCCCGGTGTTAAAGGACCTTTAGACTTTGGGTATTGGTTTTCTGGTTTTCTGGATGCTAAACAAACAAACTGCAACTGAACAACTGCTTTTACTTTTTATATTTTCTACTGAGTTAAACTTTATAGTTGAAATACAGTTTCCTCCTCTCACTCATAAAAAGGACGTCATTGGTTCCAGAGGACCACTTCCTGTGCTTCCATTAAACCTCCATTAATGTGAAGTTTAATTGGCATGAACTTTGTCTTAATACAAGTGCGTCCCCCCCCTGACACTCCAAAGTCTTTCTTTGCCTGTGCAGGAGTCATAATGATTCATTCCAGGATTACATTGTCACATCCTTTTTCCTCCACCACATCTGCAGTGAGCAATCAACCACAACAATGCCTACACAGGATACTGCAGCTTCCACAGTGTGTCAGAAGCACAAAAACAGCCTCACAAATAGATGGTCTCAGCACTGGTTTAACCATGATGCAGCACACTCCCCCCCCCCCCTGCCTCATTGCTGAACTGACCCCTGTGAAAATACACTACATGGTTTAAAAAACACCATTTATGCTGATTTTAAAAGGAAGTAAAAATAGTCAAAAATAAGTGTTGCTGTTTTCAGGAGTTCTTCAAGCTTTCTTTTTAATATATCTATGACCACTAAACAACAAATGTGACGTTTCATTTCTTTTGGACTCCTGTCTTTTCTGTTATAACCTTTTTTCATCTTTAAACACTTTAAATCAGGTTTATATAACAGAAACATGAACACAGAATAACAAACATTTAAACTCCACAGAACTTGTTTATATCCGATACACCTTGATTTCTCATTACCTTTATTCAGCCACAGTCGTATTTACAACACAAGCATCTTTCTAAATGCTTTTGCAAAGTACTGTGTTGGAAAACATTTAATTTACATTTCTGGTCTGCCAGCGGAGAGTAAACACTTCTCTACACCGCATACCAGACGACAGCTTTGACAATAGTTCTCTACAATAATTAAGTCTCAATACAGGCTTTGACTCAGCAGCGGCCTGCTGGGTTTGTGCATTTGAATATATATATAGGTGATGACAGGTATAAGAGGAAACAAATTGCTTTTTTGAAGATAACAGCAGCAGCAGCACACACACAAATACACACACATGCGCACACAGAGTAAACAGGTGAAACTGGGGTGAGAGCTGCAGCATCTGTTTTTGTGCAGCAGTGAGAGGTTTCACGTTTCTGAGACGGTGGGGGGAACATGCCAGTGATTAATGGGAGTGTGAACATGGTGGCATGTTTAGACAAGACTTGATACACATTTAACACACACACACAAGCACATGTAATCTGTGCATCAGGCCAGCATGAAAAGTGAGGGCTATCTCTGCCAGTGTTACTCATAGAAAGACACCAGACCAAAGAGAATGCAGGTCTTATGCAGCACGGCTTTAAGACTGAAATAAATCTCAGCTTCTGATATGGAAATCTGACTTTAATGCGCTTTTGAAAGGTCAACCCGGTTTTCTCATAGATTGAAGAGATATGGATGTAGTCATCAACTGTAGTGATGCCGACTGGTTTCATGAGAGGCATTGTGAAGCATAACAATAGCAGCTGCTGTATCCGACATGCTGACTCAACCTAACTTACAATCAACCTTGATACTAGCATAGAGGGAGTGGTGCAGAGGAAAGTCTTCAACCTCATTGCTAACAGGTATAATGCACAATCATGCCACCAGTTAGTGAGTACTGGTAGAAGTCTTAGTTTAATTAAAATGGATGAGTTATAAAAGCTATAATATGTGATACATGTGTAGAGCCGTCTTAACATTTAAAGGTGGGGTAGGCAGGATCTGAGGAAGTACCAGTTTTTGTGAGAAATCTTGAATGTAAACACTACCCCTCCCTACCAGTTTTCCCCTCAGCTCCTCCTCTCCCCTCCCTCTCTGCTCCAGCAAGCCCCGCCCACAAACAGACGCTCCTGCTCGCTTGTATCGTTTCAATTAAATTCAGACATAATGCAGATAAATACTTCAGGTAATTACAAATGGGGCCCAGTCAACGTGAAAGTAAACAGCATTGGTGCTACTGTAGATGCCAACAGATTAGCAGCAAACACAATGTTTATAGGACTTCTACAACTAGGATAAAGTGACATAGTCCAGGACCCGAGGTAAACAGTTTAGCGGCGCTACAACACGCAGCAGGTCCGCCAAAGTCTCCTGTATTTACTTCATTTTATTGCTTGCGTTTTTTGTACTTTCTGGTTGGTTTCTACTGTCCGATATTGTAGCATGCTAACTTTGTTTGGGCTCATGCACATTATTGGAGGAATTGGAGCGTGCCTCACAACATGAGGAAGCAGCGTCTGCCTCACAACCAATCAGCACAAAGGAGCAGCGTTCGCCTCACAACCAATCAGGCTGGGGGAGGCGGAGAATGGCTCTGTTTACAGTCAGAAAGAGCGGGCTGCTCAGAAAATTGAAAATGTTGACTACACAGACATAACAAAACACAGCGACATCCTTATATAACCAAATGTCATCAATAACTAATAGCTATTGACTGATATTAAAAGCTTTTTTATGAATACACCACAAAAAAGATGCCTCTTAAACGGGATCCTTCCTACTCCACCTTTAATCTGTATCTGCTTGGGTAGTTGGCACCAGATTTATCAACCAGTGTCTGAGCATTTAACTGACTGGAGCAATGAGTAACTAGCACAGGCATGTGAACTTCAGCTTGTAAGACCAAATGTTACACAGGGCAGACCCACATGGCATTGACTCTGTGGTTCTGTGCTTAGCTGAGGCAGATACACTGTGCTCAGTTTTGTCTGATCACTGAGTGTTTTCTGACCTTCAGCTGGTCAGTCAGAGTTTAAATTTTGGCTTAAATGAGCGGGAAATAAGTAATGTCAGAACATTTGTGGAGTGAATGAATAAAGAAATGTGCTAATTCGGACAAACTGAGCTCAGTACTGAAGTGTAAACACGCTCATTCCTGCGCTCAGAATGAACACTTCAATTGTGGTCCAGTGGACCACGTTATATTAGCTGAATTGTTATACATTTGTGATTTAGAAGCTTCAAGTCTCATTTAGCAAATCCAATGGACAGATTCAGCGTTTGTACATTTCCTTCAATCCTCATAACCTTTAGCCTACTTTGTACCTTCACATCAGTGTCTCTGTTCCTCCTGTTTCCCTTCCTATGATCACTCGCTTCCTGTTTTGGATGTTGAGTTTACAGATGAGTCTACCCCAAAGGAACAGTACCCACCAGTCACCCTAAGTTACTGTTTTACTTTTCAATTCCGGATAAATGAGTTCCAATCTAAATTTGTAACACAAACTCTCAGGGTATGTAGATCGCCTTTTACACATGAAACACTTTGTATATTTATGGAGAGGAAAAATAAAATGATAATTTTGTTATATAAGCATGGTACTGCAATGGCAAAGCTATTCAGCTAACTATGATGGAGACAGCAAAGCCGCTTATTGACCGGTTTGAATGAATAACTCATGGAACACTGAGCTTCTGCCTCTGTCTCTGTGTCTGGTTTTAAGACCTCAAACCTGTTTTTGTTTCGACTGCACAGCACTGGTTGTTATTTGCAACATTTTTGTGAACAGGACAAGAAAGATGTCATTAAATATGTGGTTGGCCTAGGGCAGGGCGATAAAACGATAACGATATATATGGAAAATTAATTTCCCTCGATATCGAAATAAAACATGGTCAATATGCTTTTCAATAGTCGGCATTGTGCCCTGTTTTTTGATATGAAAAAGATGTATAGTGATGAACTTTATCCCATATCCCCCAGCCCTAGGTTGGCCATACCTCCAAAGATCTGAAATATGTTGTTTGTCAGTTCTGAGTCTTCATTCTGGTTCTGATTTTTGCACATACTTTGAGACTCTCATATCAGTATTTACTAAATATTCCAGACCCCCATCATCATCACACAGAGCAGCTAAAACATGAGCGCTTAACAGTCAGCAGGTGTTTGATCCATGTGATGATCAGTTTGTCTCCTTGCAGGTCCTGAATGCGCAGAAAGCCGGGTACAAGGCGGCCATTGTTCACAATGTGGACTCTAATGACTTGATCAGCATGGGATCCAATGACCGTGAGTTACTCCTCCTTTTTTTTCCTCTCTGTACATCAAGACATTAGCATTTAGCATCTCACACAGCTGCCTGCTTACACGCCTTTGTTGACAGTGAATTAAAAGCCTGAGGAAAAAAAAGCTGGGTATTTTAACATCTGAAGGCCATTTTGAAGTCTCGAGATGATCTGCAGGAAGGATGTGATGCCCTGCAGCAGCACAATACTCTACCTATGAAAACATGCTGTCCCTGCTCTAACCTTGCTCTGTGATATCAGCGTGCCTAGGGGTTTCTTTCTCTTTTGTCTCACCTCCTGTTTTCATCATTCAGTCATGAATAACCCAGGCCTCCTATTTGTATAGGAGCAAATCTCACAAGCTGTGGATTATCAGTGGGCTTCATCAAATGATCAAACAGTGTCTCACTTTTCTTAAGTCAGATTTAAACTTCTGAAGCAGCAGGAGTTTTAATCATTTATGATCAGTATCTCCCCGAGGGTCTTCTTTGACCTTTACACCAAACTCCATCATTCTCTATAGGTGACCAATAAGGGCAGCAGAATGGATAAACAAGCTGATGTGATCAAGTGTGAAGTAATTAGTACTAAGTTTAAAGGTCCTTACACACCAGGGCCAACAGGAATATAGAACGCGAAATCACAAAATATTCGGAGGCGAATTTTGACACGCCTGATACAAATCAAGCCCGATGCGATTATGCGACTTTCCGGGGGTAAAAAGACGCATCCCGGAGAAGACTTTTCTGAGGGGAAGTCCCGCCTCCTTCACCTCTGATGGGCTGGAAACACCGGAAACGTCATCACCTGCTCAAGCCAAACGGTCAGCACTTACAGCCAATCAGAGGTGAAGGAGGGCGGGACCTTCCCTTAACAACCAGCGTCCCAGCTGGAAGCAAGAGGACAAAAATGGAGTCTACTTCAACTTCAAGTGATGGCAAACTGGTACTCCTTTTGCTTCCTCAAAAGAAAAATAAACGTAGCACATGGGTGCATCAAATATTAAAAAATAGAAGAGAACTTGGTGAGTTTCACTGCTTGGTCCAGGAGCTGAAACTCTACCACGGTCGCTGTACTGAGTCGGGGCCAGTACCAGATAAGCACATGAAACTATGGTAACAACCGTTATCTTACGTTAGCACAGATGAAAGTTAAAACAAAGACGTTTAGCAAAATTGTGTCTTTTATCAAAAAGCACTCCGTTTCCGACACGTAAACAATCAGCCGGTCGGCCATGTTGGATATACCGGTAAATCTGACGTCGCAACAACACGCAATGTGATTGGTCAGAAGTGGACACACAGTATGCGAAACTTTAGAAAAATCGACCATGATCTGAAAGAATAAATGCCGCAATATTACAGAACGGGAAAACATCGCTGATGTGAACGCTTGTATTGACAGGATACAGGTTCAGAAAAAAAAATTGACGTCCGGAATAATCGCACGACAAAAACGGTCCCGGTGTGAAAGGACCTTAAATTGTATTGTAATGTATTGTCTCAAATCCTACTTTATTGTGCTGTTTTTCATTTTTGTATCATCCTGTAAAGTTGCAAATTAGCGCTTGTTTTGATGAACTAAAAGTTCAGTGATTGTGTATTAATCATTTATTATTGTCCATTTTCAGTGGATGTTATGAAGCAAATAGATATTCCCTCTGTGTTTGTGAGCGAGCTGACTGCCAATTACCTGAAAGTGGACTACATGTATGATAAAGGGTAAGTTAGAAAAACCAGTCTGATCTTCCTGCCCACCAACTCTGAGATTTTCACAGTCCTCTCTCTAAAACATTGTGAAGAGCCCGCCGCCTTTTCACACAATCCTGTCCAGCCAGTCTTTGCTTTCCAGCTCTTCTCCTGGTTCGTGAGGCTGATGTTTTCACAGAATAAAGCCTGCAGTGTGCGGCGTTATAACCGAAGGATGAGGATTTGTCTTGTGATGCGTTGTCACTGTTGCTGAGGTGGTAATAAAACGCCTCAGCCTGTCAGAAGAGCCCAGACAGTCACAGCGTTTATGCATCATTTCTACACTTTGAAATCAGCTGATGTTTGTGTGTGTGTATTTGTGTGTATGAGTGTGTTTTCTTGTGTGGTATGCTTGTAAGATACAATATAAACAACTTAGGATGACTCCTGAGAGTTAAGCGGAGAAATGAACTCCAAACATGACAGAGTTTTATTTTAGTGTGGACAGAAATGGCTCGCAGGGATTTATCTGCTGCATGACACCAAGTATAAACAACCCTAGAATAAATGTCAACATTCTTAAAGTCATGACAAAATACAGCTATAATACAGCTTCTGCTGAGGTCTCTTCAGTGTGTCTGTTTAACCTGCCAACAGCTAACAATAGCTCTGGTTGTTTTTTCAGAGGGCATGTGGTCCTTATGCCAGATTTCAGCCTGCCACTGGAATACTACCTGATCCCCTTCCTCATCATCGTGGGAATCTGCCTCATCCTCATCGTTGTCTTCATGGTAGGTTGATTTTAGGACACCTTTACACAAACATCAAAGTATAACCTGGGGAGTAAAAAGAGGAAGTTCTAAGACCGAAAAAAAAGTCTAAATAGCGTTAATAATCCTTTTAAAAGGTTCTACATATTTGAAAAGCAGAAAAGTAAAGCATTTTGGGTTGAAAATTGTTTCTTTGAAAAGCACCAGTCTTCATCCTGCCAGTGGAGGTCAAACAATTATAAAACACGCCGAATTCTGGCACCAATTATGTCTCAAAATGTCTTTTTTCCTGAGCTTTGGTGGCAGATTTTTTGAGCTGAGCACTTGGACAGGGAAGATATGTGTCTGTGTATTTGCGCTCTGGTTTTAAAGGATTGACACACTTTGACTTGGCTGTTTCCAGATTACCAAGTTTGTCCAGGATCGACACAGGGCTCGGAGGAGCCGCCTGCGCAAAGATCAGCTCAAGAAACTTCCCATCCACAAGTACAAGAAAGGTATATAAGCAATTCTCATCACATTAACATCAGCTTGACTGTGAATATATGCTTGGGTGTCATGTTATTCAGACGGTTCGATTCTTTGCTTCACTATAAAAACAAATATAGGAATACATCATCCCTGGGTGGGAAAGCCCCTCTGAAACAACAAATCAAAAATCATCTCTGTTGGCTTTAATCTGATACCAACCTTTGACCTCACTGTCAGCAGAGATGCTATTTACTCCAGCAGTGCTGTGCTTTCTCACATGACTCTTAGCCTAAAGAGGAGAGATGTCATCAGTGCATCACGACACATCATTCCTCCCCGGAGCTCTGCACCTTGGAGCTAATCGGATTAATATGGACTTGATTTTTTCCACAAAGCCCACTGCGGCAGATTAGAGCTCCTCTCTGTTGAGACTGGACACATGACTGATGAGCTGGAATGCAGTTACGGTCATGCCAGAAGCCTGATGTAGGTTGGAAGTTGAGCGTGTTTGGGATTTCATTGCTTGGAAACCTTGAGGCGTACAGTAGGTGTTGCTGTCTTATACGGGCAGCAGAAACGGTTTGTAAAAGTGTGATTTTGACGATCTGAAACCTCTGAATAATAAGAGTTCTGTCTCTGACTTCTCTTATAATCGTGGTAAAAAAAAAGTCAGACCCACTTTGGTTTAGTGACTCAGATCCTCTTTGTACAATGCTGTAGTGCTTTTGGTCTGTGTATTTAGAGGTTTTTTTGTGCCATCAGTGTTTCCTCCAGCAGCTGCGTCCTGCTGACTGGAAAGCCCCCGCCTGACTACAATCAGCTGTGCTTGGGGACACCAGGAAAACTTCGCCAACTGCGAGTGGTGCATAATAAGTAACCCCCTTGCAAAGCAGCTCATTTAGGGGGTTATAAGCCAAGCCGCTCCTCTCTGATTGGCTTTAACACGTGTACATGCAGCACAGCAGCCAGAAGCAGCGTGTGCTGCTAAGATAGCTTTTTTCGTCTTGTCACGGCCTGTGGTTAACATATCTGTGTGTGCACGTGGTGCCCACTCTGACTCAGGGTTTCCACCTGCCTTCCTTGGCCCCCGCTGCAGAGAGTTCGGATGTCCAGGAAAAGGCCTCCTTTGCGGCATCTGTGATCCTGTCAGCTGAGTCAGAGTATGTGGTGACACAGAAACGGGACACCAAAGCTCTACCTAATCACCTCTAAAGCCCTGCACTCCCAGTACTTTTGAGGAACGCTGGCGTATCAACCAGCAGAGCGTCCTGATTTGGGGAGAGAGGGGTGGGAGCTGGACAGGTGAGTGAATTGGGTTTGTTGTTGGAGAGGTTTATGCCAGCTTAGAGCAAGATCTCAAAAACACAGGAATAGCAGAAGAGCAGGAAACGGTAGAAGCCATCAGCGCCCCAACTTTGAACTCTTAATGTTGGTGCCAAGCTTGGATGGAAAGATGAATGAGAGCAAAATCAAAAAATAGGTATTATGTCGTGTGTCTGTGTTCCTTAAACATTCACAACTGGACTTGTGGAATCAAAAAGGGGGAACAAAGATTTCAACAGATTCATCTGACCACCAGCAGTCATTTATGTTCCACTTTCCTCCATTTTTCTTTCCAGCTTCATGTTGTGAAACAGGAGGAATTTCTAGCTGTGGCATAATTCTGGGAGAGCTCAGTGCCACACAAGTCACTGTGACGCTCAATTTTCACTGCTGCTCCAATTCCCATCCTTAACTTTTTTGGCAGCGTGCCTGAACTCAGGGTTCAGTGTGTGTGTGTTTGTGTGTGTTGTGTGTATTTGTGTATGTGTGTGCAGCAGAGAGTGGGAATGATGCCTAATGGCGCCCTTGGCCGCTGCTGCAGCAGATAATGCTGAGCTTTGACTCTTGGGGCTTTGAACAGAAGCAGCCATCGTGAACGGGAGCAGGAATGCTGTGATGCTGTGTTGGTGTTTCGTTTAAAGCTGTAACCCTCTACATTTCATACCGTCAAATACTAAAGAGCTTGTGATGTAGATGTCACCCACCGTTTTTGACTTTTTTTTTCTGACTTTTCTATTGTGAAGTGTAACCCTAATAACCTGCGCCAAATAAGATGTTTGCAAAGAGGACTCCAGCGTCACATGTTTGTTTTGATACTGACCGTATCGTAACAGAAACCGGACACGCGACATTACAGACATGCATGTTTATTTTTCAGATAGTAAATGTTCCTCGTTGTGAAATATGAAACTGGTTTTCGTTCTACTTTTGTGCTGCATTTGTGTTCATCCCAGTTTTCAGAGAGATTAGAGATGCAGGACTCGATGATTTTTTATTTTTACTAGACTAATATTATCCAGCTGATCAGTTTTCTTCTGCTGCTGTGCGAGCTGAACAACACCTCTCTGATGAGAAGAGTATCTGCCCACCATCCACCTTCTCTAACACAGCAGCTGAGATGGACAAAATCTGACCTCTGCTTCATCAGCCCTGTGAATACATCCTGCTGCTGCTGTTGAGCATGCATTCATTTACACCTTTACCTTATTTGCACCCCTACAGTTTTCTGTGATTTTCCAATCATTGCCTGACAGGTCTTGTCTAGATCTGAGTCTGAGGTGTTGATGCTGGCAAAAACGATAGAACCAGCATGTATAGAAACGGGTGTGGGCAGACTGAAATGAATGCTAGCTAACACAAAGACAGCCTGTACGGGTAGCGCACAATGCTTTAATGAAAATCAAGCTACCCGTGTAATTGGCACACAATGCCAGTCTGAGCAGCGGCGAGAAACATACGACCTGTGTCAATGTACACAATTATGTAATAGCAGCTGCCACGGCTGTCAGGGAACAGCACCATTAGTTGGACTTGCGCTCTGGTTTTGTTGCACAGTCTTGCGTCATCCCCGCTGAGGCTGTTGGACTGATGTTTGACAGCGAGCTTCGGCCCTCTGGATGGCGAGTTTGAGGCGTATGAGGCCAGAATGCGACCACACACACACACATACACACACACACACACACACAGAAGTAGAGAAGTATTAAGTTGCTGGGGAAACGGGAGATTGTTTTCAACTTCAGTTCAAACTGCGAAAGACTAGACTTTTCCCTCAACCTCTGATCCCTCCCCTGCGCATGATGAGTCACTCCACTCTTCCACTCGGCTTTCCACTTCCAAACCATAGGCGGGGTGCTGAAGCACATGCACGTGCACACACACACACAGACACAGACACACAAACTGAAAAGAACAGCTGCAGTGTCTCAGCTCCCTGTGTGTGAGGCATGTTGATGTCAGGACAGAGGAGCCCTCTCTGTCTCTCGGTTCACTGGTCTCAATGCCAGTTGCCCACGTCTGGTCGGCTCATGCTGCGTCAAACTGCGCTGTGATTTTTTTTTTTTTCTTTCATCGCACAGTTGTTGTTTTTTTTGTCACCCTCCCTTTCACTCCCCTGCTCACTACGCACAATCACCGCTCATCTGGAGTTCAGTAGGACAGCGAGGATCCTCTGAGAGCAGAGTGTTGGCAGGGCTCGCTGATAAATGAAAAACTAGGAGAGGAGCTGCAGAGGCTCGCAAGGCTCTCTTCTAAAATGAGCTACTGGACACAAAACACAAGACTGAAAGGGATTCCCTGAAGCTTAACAGTGTGCACAGTGCCAAACACATGAAGTGAAGGTTAAAATCATCTGACCTCTACTTCAAAACACACCTACATTGAATAATATGACGGTAAATTGGGACCCTTTCTTCTCCCATTTTCTCTTTCTGTACGTGTTTCTTAACATGTGATATTAAAATCATTCTCTGCAGCCAGCCGACACTGTGAGCTACAGCAATGACATTATTTCAGTTGATGTCTTGCGGTGTGTAGAGATGAAGGGGAAGGTTGTGTTTGCTGCAGCCTCTCTGATCAGCCGGAGTGGAGTCCTTTTCTTTGTGACGACGGACAACCGGACCAGAGTGTAAATGATGTTCTGCTGCAGAGCGCGGTGCAGCGTGTTTCTCACTTTCTACAGAGTCCTGGGAATGTTCAAGTCATTTTTTGAGTCTGAAGCGAACTGGAAACATTTATTTGTTTAAAAGAAAAAAATACAGCGCTGACTTTTTTCAAATCAAGCCACTGAAAAAATGCATCAACCTGCATCAACTCTCCCTGTAGCATTTTATGAAGATCTTGGCTATTTCCTGCAGATGTATAGATTGAACAATCATCTGCATACATAGAAATCCCTGCAGATTTGAATGCATATAGAAGGTCATTTGTAATAGGGGTGGGAGAAAAAATCGATACAGCATAGTATCGCGATATTTTGTCTGGTGATATATCGTATCGTCTCATTTACCAAGTATCGATTTTTTAAATAAATTGCTAATATGAAGTCAAATTTATGATAATGGAAAAATAAAATCAACTGTTTGTCAACTGAGATTGGCAGAGTTACATCATAGGTTATATACAAGGTTTGCAAGATATGCTACATGAAAATAAAATACAGTGTAAATAAGACAAACATAAAGGAATGCCAAATGCTAAATTAGCTAAACAGCTGAAAAAAATTGTATAAATCGCAACATATTGTATCACAATAATCACTGTATTGCAAAATGTTAAAAATCGCAATAATATCGTATCGTGGCCCAAGTATCACGATAATATTGTATCGTGGGGCCACTGGTGATTCCCACCCCTAATTTATAAACATGGTTTATAAGAGAGGTCCAAGACAGCTTCCTTGGGGAATTCCACACTGCAGGGATTTTATAGTTGACAAAGTACCATAAACCATTACATGAAGTCTCTTTAGATTGCGTTGCTCTCCCAGGGGATATGCTGTTTGAGCCGAGCGTCATCACAGTAACTCTCAGTGACTCTCCCGTCGAATGCGTACATCGCTACTGCTCAGTGCTGGTTTCAGGAAATGAAGAAAAATCACGGAAATACCAAGAGCTTTTTGGCATCAAATCCGTATACTGATGGGAGGCGGAACCAAGTTGTCCATAGTCTAAAAAGTCTTCCCAGCTTTTTATTTTAACCTCTCCCAGGAGTAGAGTTATTGGAACCAATGAACATTTGTATTTAGAAAAGCTCAGCTGGTGCCACAGTTCAGTATGTCAGGAGTATATAATGGACCCATGCCTTCTGTAACGTCCCCTCTACTTCACCCTGACAGCGCACCACTGGCTTGGGAAAAAGGGTAACAGATGGAAGTTGCGGCTGTAGACTTACCACAGGAACAAAAAAAGGACAAGGGTTTCAAAAGAAAACCATTAGGATCAACCTGAGGGAGGTGTTTATGAGAGGAAAAAAACAGAACTGTGAAGAGGAAGTGGGAGCTGAACACAAGCTGAAGTTGCTGACGGTTGGAGAGAGAAGGAAGAGGAGGAGGAGGGGGAGCCCTGGTCGATGCGACTCCTCATCCTTATACGGTCACATGCAGCCCTGGCATGGACACAGAGAGCTCAGTCGGGGAAAACATGCTCATTTAGAGCTTACATAAACACACCAGCCCACAGCCCCACTCCCTCCCATCAGTCCAGACAGGGAAGAGGAAGGGAAGAAAAGGGAGAAGAACTCTGAGGAATTTGAAAAGGAGTGCGCGCTGATAAATTCCTGAGCTTTTACAGCACCGAGGGTCCAGCACCTCCTGTGAAGTGAGGAAACTCTGCTATGTTGGCTGAGCTGTAAATCCCCCTGCAGGCTAAAGATTTGATGGGCGCTATTAGATAAAGTGACATAAAGAAAGTGCAGTTATTAGGGAGCTGGAGAGCCTGATTCATCATGGAACCACTGAGTTTAACGGTCCGCTGGAAACATGACAACTAATCTATTATAGTCAAGAATGAGCTGTAGAAATAGATGAGAATAATAACCCTAATAATAATCACTTCTTAGTTTACAAGGTGCTCTCTTAAAGTACAGGAAAGTGGTTCATGAGCTGCCGCATCTGTATAATGACCTGATGATGCTGGTAATTTGCTTAAATTTACTGACATCAAATGAGTTTATCTTCAAGACTTTTGAGGGACTTAATAACTTTGATTTCAGAGACCTTCATGCTGTGAACTAGGGATATGCAACTTCTGCATATCCTCATGCCAACAATAAAGTGTAATAACTCTTTTTACTTTCCTGTACTGAATACCTCTTGCCTTTTGAACCCAGGGGACAACTATGATGTATGCGCCATCTGCCTGGATGAGTATGAAGAGGGTGACAAGCTCAGAGTCCTGCCATGTTCCCACGGTGAGTTTGAGTTTGACCACACATGCATAGCACATGACCCATTAACCTCTGTTTGGCTCATGACACAAACAAGCTCAAAGTCGAGCCGACACAAGTGACCTGCTGAAGGAGAAATTAAGGCACTACTTTAAATTATAGATGTGGTGGTTGAGCAAACATCTACGCAGGCAGGGTAAGTGGTTGAGGATCTCTTTGAGCAACAGCAGACTTTCTTTTGGGACTTAAATTCCTTTTTTTTTTTTCTGTTTTATCCTCAGCGTACCACAGCAAATGCGTGGACCCCTGGCTGACCAAAACTAAGAAGACATGCCCAGTTTGCAAGCAGAAAGTGGTCCCTTCGCAGGGTGACTCTGACTCCGATTCAGAGGAAGGAGAGAGCGGCCCCGAGGAGAACGAAGAAGTTTCAGAGAGCACCCCTCTCCTGCGCTCTCTGGCCTCCACCAGCGCACACTCTTTTGGCACCATGTCGGCGGCGTCACGCTCGGATCTGGATCAGGAGTCCTCTGAGTACGAGGACGACGAGCTGGACAGCAGCGACAGCGACGAGGAGGTCACCGTGGAGACTGTGGTGGTGCAGATGCAGCAGCCGTGCTCTGAAGGCCCTGATCATGAGGACGACCTACCCCGAGCCTGACTGGTCACTAAATCCGCCCCCTCACAGCTACAGAGACGATAGTTGGATGCACCAAACCAATCGATCAACAGATTTTTTTTTTGCCACTGCTTACAAGACACTGTAATATGACATCAAGTCATGAGCAGACCCGCTTGGCAGATTGACTGCACAGGTGACGCTGATGTACAGTAGACTGTTTCACTGTACTAAGTCATGAACACAGGACACACCATCTATGCGGGAGTCAAGAGGTCCCACATACACACGCACATACTCATGCTTGGCACAGTACTCTGTATATAAACAATGAATATTACACAGTAAGTTCCTTCTCTGTCTTTGATTATTTCCTATTCTGTACAGTTCAGATGAAGTTTCATTATTGTACATACAGCTACAGCTGGTGGGCAGAGTCCAGACAGGGCGTGCTGGCCTTGAATGGGGAGACCCGCCCATGAGAAAGGACCTTGTCATCTCCTAAGTGACAGAGATGGCTGAGGAAGAATACAGGGTCAAGGGCAGCAGGGACGCTGGACGACGTGAGAGGGGGTTGTGGGTCAAGCGGTAATGCTGGGCAGACTTCTGGAAACTGCCACAGGCTCGACTCAGCTCTGTATGACACACTGCCCTACCCCCAAAACCTCCAACAGTGGGTGGGCACGGAGCAGGCAGGCCTAGAGCCTAGTGCAGGTACAACATCTACCTGTTCAAACCATTTACACCGAGACACCGCTATGCATCCACTTTGTATGATGACACTCATATTAAATAAGTATAGACACATTTAAAGAAACAGTTACGTTTTGTTTTGCCAATTTCTATCCAGCCAGGTGTGCGAAGGAGCACAGGTGTTCCTCTCTGTCTGTGCCACTTATATTTTTCCTCAGATGATTCACTCCAAGACAAACTGAAGCCACGCCAGTTTGTGAAACACATTCATAGCCTAGAATGTAATTCTATGTATGTTGAAGAATATTGTTAGTGATGCCAGTTTGGAAAGTAAGGAGCGACACTTGAGTCAAGTGAAAACAGTGTTCAACCTGCCTGTGGAAAACTTAATGTGGCTGCTGAAGACCTACCACCTCATTTCATAGTTATGGTTGATAGGCCTTGTTTGACATATTTGACTGACCTTTTCTTATTCAAATAGTTTGTAACCCTTGAGTTGTTTTTTTCATTACACTGCTAAATTTTTGCTCATGAATCTTCTTGCCTTATTCAGTTGATGTGTTCTGTCTTGTTAAACTTTTCCTACTTATATATGTACTCTGAATTCACTTCAATAAAATGCTAATTCATGGTCAATGGTTAACCTTATTACAGAGTCTATTATAGGAGTTTGGACTCATGTATTTGACTTCCTTTTTTTTTGCTACAAGTGCAGTCGCAGTGCCAGTCATATGGTGAAAAAAAACTGATGCTGCAGAAACTAAATCGGTGCGAGCTCATTCATGTCAGACTTCCTTCAGTTCTTGACAACCATCTAACATCTGTAATTCTAATATCTACCACTCTGGTGTTTCGTCTTCCCCAGAGGAAGACCTGTCATTAAGCGTTCAAGTTACCTCGGAAGGTACATGTCGGCGCTGAAAATGATGCAACACCCGAGTTACCGGCGTTTCAGTTCAAAACCAGAGGCAGAAACAAGTTGGCTACATCTAAAGTTATTTGAGTGCTTGCCTTATCTGAATATAAGACAAGGCAAGCACTAAAAAAACTTAGTCATTTTCAGCTCCAACATCTGACTTCCGAGGTAACTCGAACGCAGCATTAGTCTTCTTGGTTCAACAGCTAGTTATACAGCTACATCTGATATGAACAGGGTGTCAATTTTGTCACTCTGGCTATGTTCAGACTGCAGGTCAATTCTGATTTTTTAACCATATGTGACACATGTCTAATTTTTTTCATGTAAGTGTGAACAGTGCAACTCAGATTTTTCAAAATCTGACCCAGGCCTCTTTAGTATGTGGATATAAATCGGATATGTATCCAATGTGACTGCAGTGTGGACGCTCAGGTCGTGTTGATCCGACCTATATGTCATCAATATGTAAAAACAACGCACAAAAAGATCGGATTTAACGAAAAATTCGAATTGTGCGTCATAACCTGCAGTGTAAATGTAGCCGAGAAAGACAATCGTAACAAGAGCTGTAGCAGACATTTTAGGAGGCAGTTTTAAGAGTGAAAAAGGACAAAGACATTGATCTGGTTGGAATAAATTTATTTGATCTGTCTGTAAACAAGGTGATAAATCAATTTATGGCATTTCTTGGTTTTATGCATATGAAATCAGATGCATTAAAGAGACTGTATCCCAGATGTAAGAAAAAAAAGGTGAGGAACAAGGATATGAAAATAAGTCAGCAAACAGGACTTCAAACATGGTTTTTTTATGAGTACACATATCCCACAAAAACTAAACAGTGGAGCTGAAGCTAGGAAGAAAAAAAAAAGTGCCAATGTAATGACTCTTTAATGGACAGTGAGTAAAATCCATCTTACAACAACAGATCTCTCTATATTATGGCACAGGATACACAGGTTCTGTAGTAAAGTTTCAACAAGACAAACAGAAGTGTCTTTGTTCCAACCAATCCCATCTCCCATTGAGTTGTTTCTATGTTTAAAAGTGTTTTTTTTGTTTTCAGCTGGACGTTACAGTTAGCAGTACTGAGCATGGACAGACCGTGTGATACCCCAGAGCTCAGCTGACTATTGAGAAGAAGGCAATTTATTCCACAGTTTTGTAGTTGTCAACACAGCGTGGGTTTGTACAAATGCAATCACTTCTTTTCTAGACAATTAAGAAAAAGAAATGTCATGAGAATTTTCTTAAAGATACTCCTACCCTTACTTCCCCTTGTGGCTTCAGATTTTTTCTAACCACAGTGAGTGTTACTGCCTGGTTAGCGTTTCCTTTGTCAGAAAAAAAGTTAGCAGTCAACCGTCACATCATTTAGAGTAATTGTATAAACACCCAAGCTTCGACTACACTTGGTCCTATAAAAAGGAAAAAAATAAAATAAAATTGGACACACTTCAGGTGGTTATATGCTGGGATTTCTACTGTCCAAAAATGGCAGCCTTTTACAAAATAAAAAAAAGAAAAAAAAAGAAAAGAAAATATATTACAGGAGCTGGCAAACAAAAACAGTATTAAGTGCCTGAGCTGTTGTTACTGTGGAATGTCCATGGGGTTTTTCCATGTAGCTAGGGAAGTCGTGATGGCAGGAGGGGAGGTTGACAGCACCTTGACACCAATGCTCGCAAAATCCGTCTCGTGATTTTGTATCGAGCTGACCCACCCACACACAAAACACACTACCCCCCACCGCCTCCCTTTAACAGAGAAGTCTGAAGGGGAGGGGTTGGGGCACTGGTTGAGTGGTGTTAGGATAAGAATCTGTCAGGTTAGTAGTGTGGCCTGTTTAGATCAAACAGGATGTGGGGAAAAGGGGCGGGAAGGACATAAACATTTTGGCAGGAGGCTGGGAGACAGCAGTTGATGTGAAGGGGGACAATAGTTGGTCCAGATATGCACACAGTCTGCCCCCTCTAAAAGGGACATGATGAGCTTGGTTACTGCTCAAGTGCTCTGAAGGCATCAGGGAGGGAGTGTGTATGATCGGGGTCTGGGAGGGTTTAGGTAAAGGGCACCATGACGTGAGAAAAAGAAAGATCCACTCCAAAAACCGATGCTATAGCCTTCCTTTTACAAGTATTTGGCCAGATTTCTTTTTCTTTGCTGGTCTTGGATAAGTACAGATTTGTCATGACATCCTGTTAGCAACATGCTCATCTTTGCTATCATTCAACTTATATAGTGCTTAAGGGGTAAGAGAGAGTACATAGCACAGGGATGTTGAGGGGAGGGGATGGGTCAGAGGAGGATGACAACAAAAGTAGGGGATAAGAAATGGGAAGGAGAGAAGGCAGAAGAAAAACAAAGTAACTACCAACTAGAATTGGAAGAAGTGTGAAATGCGCCAGGGTGGTAAGGGTGAGCTGCTAGGTGGCTGGATACGGGCTGCTTCAGTATCCAGACTTCCTCAGGTAGTCAACCATAGTAAATGCTTTTTTGTTGAGCGACCCTCCATGGATACCTTCCTTCCCCATGACTAAAACCAATGCTGAGTACACAAAGGGAAAAAAAATAAACATAAAAATAAATGTACAGATATGGTAATAGCAGGACTGTAAAATAAAATACTTCATTGCCAACTTGCGAAATGTAACATGTGGGGCTACATTGTTGAGGACAAAGTGAACCCTAAGCTTGTTAGAAATGCTCCTAGGATTTAATTCAGTGGGGCTGTTTGGGCAGGGAACATGGACTTGACAGTCATTTTTTTCCCGTTTTATCAAGTTTTGTGTTTTTTGTTTCGTTTTCTTTTTTTTTTCCCTCTCCCTCATCTATGTCAAGATTAAACTAAAACCCTGAATCCCTCAAGTATTTTGCCATCGAGTAGGCCTTCTTATTCAATCCGCCTCCATGGACCCCTTCTTTGCCCATTACCAAGACCAAGACTGAAAGAAAAGAGACAGATAAGGGACATTTAGAGAAGATGCAGAAATCACACAAGTGAAAAGAGCCGAAGAGCAGCAGGCAGACGAGACAACTTCAGAGGACTACACTGAAACAACAGTCAGGCGGCGTTTTGGACTTAGAGCTGGACTGAGCCACAATACTCATTTTCTTTCAATGCTGCTGGTGGTGAAGGAAGGCATCAGACGAAACATTTAAAAGGGATATTCCGGTGTGAAATAAAGTTAGGGTCTAGCACACTGTAACACGGAGTTGGACACCCAGTTGAGAGATGAATGTTGTTGACTGCTTGCCTCTCGAGTTATACCAACTTCAGTAACGACCGCACGATAGCAATGCACAGCGGTCCCAGGAGCCACGCACTCAACCAAAACACCTCTCTATAGCCACAAATAATACTCAGAACAGCACCTAACTTCATCATCAGTACATATAGGGTCCCAGCCATAGTATAGGCCACCAAACTTCTTTTTAGCTTTGCTTAATTTCTTTAGCAAAGAGACTAAACACAACTCACTGACTCTCTTCCAGCAGCCGCTTGTTTATTGCATGACCTCAGGCCAGTGCATTACAAACTACAGCGGGGTGACGCAGCTCAAGGAAGAACATTTATGATCATTACTTTATCATTTGCTTGAAGTAATAATCACCATATCAATCATTCTGCACTGCAGACGCAGTAGTTCTTCTGCCTTAACATCTCGGTCTGATTGCATTTCTACGAAGGAATGGGACCATTGTGTATTGCTATTGTGCGGTCGTTACTGAAGTTGGTATAACTAGAGACGCAAGAGGTTGGCAACATTCATCTCTCGAGGGGTTGTCTAACTTGGTGTTACGGTGTGTTTGACCCTAACTTAATTTTACACCGGGACATCCCTTTAAGAGAAAGACATTTGATTACTGCACACTTAATGGATGCAAGCAAAGCTGTTTTCTCAATGTTACCTGCCAGGTTCAAAGCTGCAGTTGATCTTAGGCCAGGTCTTTTTTAAGTTTCATTTACTTTCACCAAGAATGATGAACTGCTCACGAGGGCTGCACAGTATGTTTGAACACTGGCATTTGCATTACGAGTGTTAATGAACCGACGACTGTCAGGCTGTTCAAACTGAACCAAACCAAACTGAAAACCATGACTAGAAGAGCTGAGCTACCATTGGCCAACTGTAATGTTGTATTCCTCATTTCTGTCGCACTTAAAACAACCATATCAACCACAATCAAGTCTTTCAAATTTAGTCTATATGCTCTATCGATATGTGTGTTGTAATAACACAGGTGGCTAATAGTGTTGGGGAACATATGCAGACAGAGTTGAACATCTAAATGCGCAACTGTTTGAGTTGACTAAACTGTGCCTGAGACAGTTACCTGTAGTATTTCATTAGTAATCATTACACACCATGCCAGCAGCAAAGAACAGGAAAGTGAAGGTTCAACTGAATATTAACAACCAGGACTAATGCAGCACACATGCAGAGACAGAAGCATGCTTGTTGTACCTCTCCCCAATACATGTAATATCCCTAAAGTGCCTGGATATGCATTTTGATATCACGAACACAGTGTAAGCTTGTGAGCAGGGAAACAGATCCAAACTTTCAAGGGCAGGGTGTCTGTTAACCAGGAAGGAGGAAAAATGCATGCAGACATTTTAAGGAAACCTTGGCCCAAAGAGTGAGTCCAGCATGTGATGAAAGGTTTTAGTTACAATTGTATCTTGAAGTTTGATTGGTTTGAAAAAGTAGGAAGAACAGGGCAATGGGCACAACGCAGGGAATGCAATAACTGGCCAAACTCTCTGGCAAGTCTATAAGACATTTTTATAGCTCTTATGGCTTTTCGCCACATCCAAAATATGGCATAAGTGTTTGTTTTTTTGTTTTTTTTTCCAACTTACAGTCAACTTATAAACTGTTGGTTTGACTCATCTGCCTACTTTGGTACTTTAACATGTGCTTCACAACTTTGGTTTCACATTTAAATGTCCACTGAAATTATTAACTATAGCCATATGTTATAGTTATATTGAAATCTTGATCGCAGAGAAAAATCTGACCTAATAAACACCCATGGCAAAAACAGTTGAGTCTTGACTTCTGTTTCTCTTCACTGTCCCAACTGAAATGCAATTAAACTGAGGAACATATTCTCACTCCTGAGGGGTGTGAAGAGACAGAGCACACGAGACAAGATTGGGTTAACGAGACAAGATGAGACTACATTTAAACGCTATTTTTACTGTCTACATCAGTGATTTTGGCAGTACCTTTTTGTCATTGGTTTTGTCTCATATTTACCAATATGCATTTTCTTGTATATTTCTTAGCTCTGAATGTAGCGCTAACTTTCTTTGCTACATAGGCAAGAACGCTTAATATCTATATTATACGGTACTGCACTCCAACCGTGCTGGAGAAAGAAGAACGCTGAGGACAGAGACAAAATGAATAGACACTAACATACAGTAAGGGCAGACAAAAACGAAAACGGGACATTAGACTGTGGAGTTGAGTGTTGGTCTTTAAAAAAAGTCCATCAAAGTGTGAACTCAAGGCAGGGTAATATTAGCTCAAAATAAAAAAATAGTTTTTTAAAACAAATAATTAAAGACCCCCCCTTCTCCTAAATATAAAACTTAAAATGACGCAGGCGTGCCTCTAAGCACTGTGGTTTGTTGGAGGTATGACACCATTACCCCACCAAGTTCAAAACAACTAACCAGACTAAGCCTTCATAAAAAAATAAACTCCTCTATCATGATGTAGCATTATTTTATTTATTTATTATTTTCTCGGCTAGGAATTTTGTTCCGAACTTATATCGAGAGGTCTCGTGGCACCTGATCTCATCACACCCCTTAGATTATGATTAAATAAACCTAGTCTTCACTACCACTGTTCAAGACAACGTAAATAACTTTAGACTCTAAAGACTGCTCTATTTTGACAGATCACTGCTGATGAAATGGTCACTATTTTTAAAGTTCCCTTTACCTATAATCATCAAATCTCTTGAAATGGTTTGACCTTACTGCTCTGAAATAAACCAGGTAACCCCACAAATAACTTTTAGCTGTTAAATGGACACTTAAGGCCATGAGATTCACAGACTTGTTACACGTCATATATTGAGGAAAGGTAGATACATGGTCTATTCCACATGCACTGACAAGAGATCATACTTTTACTAAACTAATGGTATTATTATAAGCAGGCTACTGTGTCACTTTAACAGGAATTTAACTAAACCTGTTACAACAACAATGAACATGGGGCTCACCTTTGCCAGCTTTGCCTACAGCGATGTTGTAGGTTGGTTCTCCTCCTTGACTCTTTGTCCGGATGTCCATTGTCCAGTCAGCGTCGACATGGAGGCTGTCTCTGATTACGGAGCACTTTTTACTGCCTAAGGTCAGCCCACAGGTGAAGAATCCCTCACGATCCTTTCCTACTAACACATCGATTTCTTCAGGCTATAAGGAAACAGATAGTAACAAGTCAGGTTCACATCTCAGCCCTTTAAATTTCTAAACATCAAGATCAAAACCGATTTAAGTACATGAAAAGAACACAGAAATGATATATTTAGCTGTGGGTGGCTTTTGATTGACAAAAGAATTATACTTCATTTCAAAATGTTCACTCATCTAGGAGTAATGTTTTAACAGTAAAACAGAGTTAAGTTATGCCAAGGGGCATTTTGCAGGGGCTTGAACCTTTGAGTAATGGGCATGTGTAATGCTTGAGATATCAGACTTGTGGGACACCAGGCCTGAAGCAGCTAAATGTGAAAAATGTTATATTTAAATCAGGGCTGTCACCACATCAGATTTTCCCCTCATGACTATCATGGTCTCAGAGTATTTTGGATATAGACACTGTGGCAATATTAATAAAAACTTGAAAATAAAAGTCAAACTGTTGAAATGCAGGAAAGGAATGGAGCAACACTATGCTTCCTGAAGTATACTTCTTATGTATGTATATGTAGTTTTAGCACAGTACCATTTTTAAACAGCAGATGCTACAGTAAATATTGATACACTGCAAAGGCTGTGGTTTAAATACATTCACACCAAAACATGGTGCACAAGATGTTATTTCAGTGAAGTCATTGTAATTAATCGAATGCCTCAACTTTGATTAACAATTGTCAAAACTTGAATCAAAAGGCAAGGAAGTCTCATTTGACCAATCAGACACCAGTTATCCAAAGAGAGGATGAAAGGATATGCTGGTGGTTGAATGTCAGCATTATTAATCTCATTTCAAAAAAGGTCAAGGGCCTAGGTCATGATTCAGTAAGTTGAAAACTTGTTGTTTACAGGGAGATTCCATTTAATAAATTGCCCTTTTTATTGTGGGAAAAACAAGCAGCTATTTCCAATACATTAAGGGTCAATGAAAATAATCATGGTCATGATTTGATAAAACTGCTCTGACTGCAGGGTCACAGAGGAGTCTAGCCAAGGATTTCTTCTCAAGTACTTAAATACCTCTGTTTACAATTTCAGGAGAGTAGCTAATACTGAAGATTTCAATGAAGATGTTAGAAAGAAAAGAGTTCATGGTGCTAACTCAATAGATGATAGTGACTGCTGAAATCTCAGTGGCCTGCTACAGCTAACGCAAACACCACGCTGAATGATCTGTCAAAAGGTAAGACTCCTGCTTATTTACTCTAACAATGAAGCCTGAAGGTCCACAAATAATCCACATCTGCACTGCAATTTTAGTTTGATCAATCTGATTTATTTTCTTGACAAATCTCAGGACAAAAAGGCGTCGCCCCAAAATCCAGAACTGCACAGTCATGGCACACATTAAACCATTCTGAGAAAAAAATGTAAACTCCCAAGGCTTTCTTCTGGCTCAGATAAGGTTAGCTCAGCAGCTAGCTGCATGTCAAGGCCTTGTTAACTTCACATTATGCTTTTTTAAATCAAATTCTCTCTCAGGGTGAAACTCGCACCACCGTTTTCATCGAGTCTTGGTTAGATTTCCCCGTCTAAACAGCAAACTTTTTTTCCTTTTTTCCCCCAAACTGAACCATCGGGTCCGGAAAATGGCTTGATCGCAATAGTAACCACTTTACTCTGATTTAATGTTGACTTTTTTAAGACAAAAAAACACACACATATTGGTGGGTATCTTCACAGATTTCGGCTTTGAGAAATAACACAGCCGGAGCGGACACTCCCAAGTCACGGCAGCTCTCCCTGCTGTAGCTCTTCTGTTTGTAGTATGGCTGCAAAGACTCTCTTCAAAAAAGGGCAGAAACCGAGTCAAAACCAGCTAACGGCTAATGAAGTATTCAGCAATTCACAAATATTTCAAAGGGGACTGATAATTTAAGACACAAAATGGAGGCTCGATGGAGCACCGTGTGCGATTGTTTTGTCAAGATATCGTAACATTAATTCTTAGTGTCTCGAGCACCACTTAAATCAAATCCATCGAAATGTTAAAAAATAAGCCTGCAAGTGTGAACCGCCTCTAATTTTGTAAAAACCGAGACGACGCTTCATTTCGCCCCTATGAGGAAAATGAATAAGGTCTAGGAGTGAATCCGCCATATTGGAAAAAAGGGGGTGGTAGCGGTTGTGGGATTCACAGAGGGAGTTAGGGGGGGAAAACGAGACAGACCCACGGCATGTACTCGCCTGAGCACTGCTGGTGCTTACGCTATTAGCGTTAGCTGGTATAATGATTTTCCAATGGGGATGTCCGGCGACTTCGGCCTGATTTCACCCAACACTGAGCTAACGTTAACAGCAAAACTGAGGGAAGACGCTGCTATCTTCTTCAGGTTTTAAGCGCTATGATACAAAAATAACACAACAGCCGTCTTGAATGAATGTTGAATGAGTAATAGATTAAATTATGTACGTATATATTGACTGACTCGCTAATTTTAGCTAGACGGTATCGCGAGAAAAACCGGCTAGTTACCCCTAGCCGCACCGCTAGCTCTGCTAAGTGAGCCCTCCTAGCTCCGGTTCGCGGTACCGTTACATTTAGCCACATAAATGATCCGAGCCTTTTCTCCCAACACTGAGTACTGTTGCTCAGTTTAAAGTAACGTGGACATGCGTACTTCAAATTCAGTAAAATGCACTGGAATTAGACAAAAACGACAAAGACAGGTGGCAGGCTGCCAATGCATCTTGTGTGTGACCACCACCGGATACCATGTGTACCACACACCGATTGCCTTATACTCATTCAACAAGGCCCGGCTATGCAGACGACAGCAGCAAGCAATATTTACATTTCACCGAGGTGTTACCCAAGAGACTGACAAACAAAGCGTGCTTACCGTAACATTGGCAAAGGTACCGCCGGAACACGATGCCCAGACATATTTGGCGTCAGTGTACCCAACAATGGCCGCGTCCTGGCAGGAGCCATCAGTCATCAGGTTGTCCACGTAGCTTTGCCAGGACATTTCTGTGAAATAAGTTCTACGATGAAAAAATATGAAGAGTCAAGTAAGGTCACAAACGTCTCCTGACCGACGACGAGCGAAGCTGTAGCTTTTATCAGTGGTTTAGCGGGCCTCCAGAAAGCAGCAACCCCTGGCTCCGTCACGTCCTGGCTTTCTTCTGGTCCAAGCAAGGAAGGGAAGACGCTGCTATCGAACGGGCGCTTGGGTGTAGTCCTCACTATATCACTCCGCCTGGGTCGTTGTTCGCCCTGCTGCCCATTCCATGTTATACTGCGGATGGATACCTCATGGTAAGAATTTGCACAGCCTATTTTTCCTCTGCAACCTCAACTTAAAATTCTACATAGTTTTCTTGTTTCATCGTGGTTTACCTAAACGTTTTTCTCTTTGTTTTAACTGGCATCGCAACGTACTGTCAGAACTCACGATGTTTTACACTTCTTTTGTATTATGAAGTACTATTTAGTCACTGATTCGGGTCACACAAGTCTAGCATCTTACTCAGCAGTTCGATTATGATATAAATGAATACTTAATAAAAATATATATTTTCTCGGGCTTTATCACTACAGCTTGAGGCAATTCTGTAAAAAAAATAAAATAAAAAATATATATATATATAAAATACAATAACAATTATAATAATAACAACAATAAATAATAATAGTAATAACAACAAAAATAATAATAAACACATCCTTTTTCGCAGGCAGCCCATTTATATCTTCAAATAGCTTTTTGGTTACTGAGTTTTGCTCAGTTAAAAGTTTGCAAATATCTGTGTCACTGTGCTGATTAGTAAACTGACTACGAACGTGGGAAAAAAAACCCTCAAATAAACAGTTTTCTTCATCTCCACCTTCTTCTGTTCTCCTTTCATCATTCTCACTAGTCTCTGAGTTACCCCCATTTTTCTGCCCCAAGAGCTGAACCTTCCACAAGCATGAAGCAAACAGCTTTATTTACTACTTTTAATCCTCCAGATATGATGGTGAAATATATTTCATTTGACATAAGATACACTGTGTTTACAAGGCATTAACATGCTTAATTTTAAAGCTAGAACACCATTTGAATCTGGATATTGATATGAATCCAATATAAATGGAAATGAAACGTTGCCTTAATATGAGTTGATAGAATTTAAACAGTTGCATTAAATAAAAAATGCTTGTGCAATGTTATATAATTGTTAACTCTATGTGTAGATTTAATTTTTCTTTTTAAAGAAACTTGCCAAAACTCCCTTTCCCTGCACTTCTGTCTTTTTCTTTTCACTTTTGAAGCCCCGGTTTTGCTTTCTTCTGGGGGAGGCATGGTGCTACCTGCAGCATCAATTAACTCCAACTTTACCCTTAATATCTCTTCTAAGCTTATCTTATCTTTAACCATTAATACTAATGCATCAAAAGGAAAAAAATGTCTTTCCATGTATTTTTCAACTTCAGACATAAGCAACAATGGTCATATCAATATTCCTCCAAAACTTGACAATAAGCAGTGCTGGGCAAACCTGAGGAGGTCAAAGGTGAAACATGCAGTTTGCACACAGTAAAGTAAAAAGCGGTTTACTTCTTGGGATATTGGGACACTAAGTGACTTTTACCCCTCAGATCAACCAGACCAGCTTTTCTGAGGGATGTAGGAAATTGTATGTTCAGTATTTCTAGCATCTGTAAAGTAATCAATCTGAATACTGTTGATACAATAAATAATCTAGCACATTAACATGAGGAGAATCATTTATGGCCTGACATGTTGATAAGTAAATGTAATGTAAAAACCTAAACATAAAAAAAAACAACGACAACACACACAAGTCAAATGGCCTATTTTCACTGTGCTCTGTTCATATTGTTGTGGTCATTTTTATGCCTTTCCTTTATAATCTACAAACTCTGCTTCCTTATTCCATGTGACTTGTAAAGCCCAGTGCCATTAGACAGTTTTATCTTCAGTCCAGAAACTTGTCTTCAGTACAGAAAGTGCATTCACCCCTTTTCAAAGAGCAAGAGAGAGGGAGTTATTAATTGACCAGGCAGAAGGAAGTAAGCGGTCTTAAATGCTTGTCAATCATCCAGCCACACCCATTTCTTCTCCTCTTATTGGATACTGTCAGTTTCCATGGCCACCTCTGTTTTGCACTTCTGCTTTGTCAAAATATAGTAGGCTACCACTCACAGCCAAACCACTCAGACCAGGCATGAATCACAGAGACACAGAAAAGGACAACTTATTTTCTTTAGAGGGGGCAATTAGCATTGTGTAATGACATCGAAACTGCTCAACAGCAGAGGTGGACACAAGTAAAATTGTCAGAGTTTAAATGCAGACTTTCATCTTATTTTACCCTGATTCATTTTGCCCATTTATCCAAATGTATGGTAAAAGTATGTCTTTTAATAGCAAAGACTGAACTCTGACGCTTCACACTGTGTTCAGCAGTCAGATGCATAAACCATGTGTCTGCAAATGATTTACAGCTTGCAGGACATGTTGTCTTGAAAAATGTTTCCTTTTTCTGATTTTTCTCCCAAAACGGGCACATATTTCTTGTCAAGTAAAACCCTTCAGACTACAAAGGCACAAAATTACTTTAGTAGAGAAATTATTAAAACACAAGAATAAGACCAAAGCTATTTCCCTATAGCTGCTGGCAGCTTTAAGAGCAGTGACCCTATAACAAAAAGTGATGCATACTTGTCATCCCTTGTCACAACCTTCATAGTCAGAGTTAAACCCACTGAACTAAATCATAAACCACAAGTTAAAAAAATGGAGTATTGCCTCAAGAAAAAGTGAAGCTATTTTCATTATTATCAGTATGAATATATATACTACAAATTGCCCTCAACAGAGATAGTAATTATTAGTGGTTATGTTTGCCTTAGACCTTTATTTAGATATAGATAGATAGATATGTTTCATTACATTTCAACTAATTTGAAAACTGACTACTAACACATTGCTTTAAAACCCTCACATGTTGACTGAAATTCATAAAATGGGTAGGCCTATGTCTTTTCACAAAAGAAAAGCCAGTCAAAACACAATTATTTCAAGTAACCAGGCTTTCTACCACTGAGCCCTCCCACAGCAGCTTAGTCTCAGATCATTAAATATTGAGCAGCAGCAGGTATGAAAGATGGAACACTGCACTGGTCTCGTCTTAGAAAATGTCTCCTCACTCTTCTTACCAGGTCCTGGGTCTGTCACACAAAAGAAATCAATAGTAGAGAGGGAAGAATGGGGGCAAGGATGCACCCATCCTCAGTTGTGTGGGTAGATACAGTGGGATATGAAATGCTGCCCAGGATGGCGATCAGACTTAGTAAAAGACATATAAAAAACAAGGTCTGGGCACAGCCTTTAATATTTAGCAACATATCTTGTGTTTATAACCTTTGTTAACACGGCAGACTTTTGACCTCCCAATAAAAGGTCAAAAATTCAAACGCTGGTACACTTTAAAACCTACTCTGCTTTGGCTGTAACTTAATATAGAGTCTGGTCAGTTGTTTTTCATTAATTTCCAGTTACATGGTGACTGAAATGGCAGTTTACTTAGATCTTGAATCGCAAGATTTCTCCCCAGATTTTAACTGCTCTTTAAATGACAATTGAGCTTCTCACCCCAACCACGGCATCAGAGTAACCTGTGAGAAAATGGTCAATTGCAACTTAAATATCACGATGGTAGGCTAACCAAGCTCAAATAAAATCTGCCCTGTGAGAAAAGTCAGGAAGATCAAAGGCTGCCAGCAGAGTCTACATGTGATAGACACAGCAGGACATACAAAGACACAGTCTTCTCAGGGGCCTGCATCTCCCCACACACACTTCCCCATCTGTTTCATGGATCAACACCACCATTGACGATGGCTGCGACATGTGGATGTCACACACACACGCACACACACACACACACACACACACACACACACACACACACACACACACACACACACACACACACACACACACACACAGATTAGGCCTGAAAAGCACATGCGCATGTTCTCCTTGAATGAACAGATCAGTAAGATGCACAGTCACCAGCTACACACCCACATACATGCACGCAAGGTGAGGTTACGTAAACCCGCTGTGGGCAGTGTATGGATTTGAATAGTGATGATGCGACAAGAAAGCCACACCCGAAGTGGACTTTGGAATAAAACAGGAACTACAAGTACAGCTAGCTCAAGACAAAGAAAACACTAGTCCCCTCATTTGGCTCTTCTCTCCACAATTACAAAGAAAAGAGAAGAGGGAAAATGTTGAAAAATCTAAATGGCTCTACAAATGCTGAGATGGCCCTGTTATAAAGCCAAGAAATATCCAGTGATGCATATGTGCTGAGGAATGTGGAGTAAAAGCACTTCCTGAGTGGCCCAGCTGCCCTGTTATAAAACCTCCCCTTGCCTTGCAGTTTCCTGTTCCTCCTTTTGGTCAGTAAGCCTCCATTTTCTCTTGCTCTCCAAAAAGTTGGAGTTAAAAAGAAATACAAAAGAATTCCTCTGATTTTATCTCCCTTACTTTACTCCCAAAAAGGAAGTCTCCACCATAAAGTCTTTTATCTAAACATGTAACAGAACAAACTTACGAAGTGACACTTTTAGAATTCCAGGACGGACAGAATAACTGCTCTGTGGGGCAGCAAGTGACTGCACATGCCTGTCCTCCTCGCACTAGTAGCATGGTATGATAATGTACAGACTGGGTATAAAGCCCCACTGTTCAGCACAGATGAATAGTGATGATTCATAAAGAAGGATGAAGTGAGGTCTAAGTCTGGAGGGACATTTTCATAGTTGTATCAGTTTCAGCTCTTTACTGAAGTCTCTCTTCCCTTTGTGAACTTTGTGTTGTCTCTATCAGGTTTCTAACTTTTGCTTTTTTTTATGTACTATTCTGAAATGGTGTCAAAAGACAGCAATGTTACTAAGATCCACAAAGCCAGTGACACCTAAATTCTTTTGAGAGCGCACATTTGCCTGAGATGTACTGACTAATGCCAGCATTATTTTAGTATCACGTCATGCAAATGTGAATATCCTTTAAATGGCATGGTGGCAGGCATGAGATATGAATTCCTCTGGCTCTGGCTCCAGTTGTAGTATTAAAGCCTGTTTCTGCTCTGTGCAGCATAGAAATTAGATCTCAGTTAAAAGCTGAGTTTTGAGCTTGTAGTCATCCTAAGTGCTCTTCTCTTCCCTCTATATCTCACTCTTATTCAAAACAGTTTAGACTGTGAACTACATTTAGATGGTGTGCAGAACTGCCTCTTAGAGACCCGATGCTCAACAAAAGCAGTGTGAAGGCAATGCTGCAACTAACTCAAATCTTACTGAGTGTATTTGTCTGACTTCCAGTCAAAGAATAGCCACTCTGACCCAGCAAGATATAAATCTAATCTCAAGATGTCAACATGCTAAAAAGAGCATCCTTGACCTAAATGTGCTTAAATATCTGCCATTTTATTATTGAGTTTCTTTAAATAAGTACTAAATCTTGTTTAGGATGTTGCTTTCTTCGTTTGCAGAAGATTGAGTCTTAAATGTTGATACGTCGTGCAAGAAGTTCAGATTTGACTTACTGTTTTTTCATACAGTGAATATTTCAATCTTTTGATGATTAATTCTCAGATTATCTAAATTTCATGTAGTTGTCGTTGGTAGGAAATATGTGTTTGTTAGAAGGTGGAGCAACTATATATTGCTTCTGTGACAGTTAAACATGGGTAAAAGGAAACAGTTGGAGTTCGTAGTTTTGGTAACCAAATCTGGTCACCGTCCATCATGCTGTATGCTTTATGAATCAGTAGGCTTGTCCCCACTGTGTCTGCATGGACCAGTTCATTTGCATAATTTTGTGGATAAGTTCATGCAGGGTAAATATCCACATCTACAAATATGTAGTAATTCTGTTCTGTTTGAAATGACTGATGCTGATTGGTGGCACATTTTGTCACCTGGGGACTTTGATGCTGCAGTCAGTGAACCAATGAAGTGGAGTTCCCATGAAACAGAAAACAAAAGTGGATCTTTACTGGAAAAAAATCCTGGAAACATAAACTTAGAGGCTCCTACTGCTGTATGTTTGTCTATGCTTATTTTGCGGCTCATTTGATTACCCCAGCTGTAAACATTTGTCCACATGACTCCGGTCATGTATCCATAACTCTGAAGGAGACCACTTGTGAAAACCTGATACAGATGGACACTGAGGTTATTTTTTTCCCTCTGTGCCTCAAAGATGAACACCCTCTAAGACGAGGAGTGAGTCAACACTTGCCCTTTGACCACCACACCTACTGATACGGACACGTGTTTACAAGTCATATATGAAAACCCATGGTTACATGTGCACCTAAACACATGTAAACACGCTCCTCACAGCCCCACAGAGAGTGCTCTTAAAGAGCCTCTGGCCCTTTGCAATTCAAATGATCATCATGATGTGTTCTGCTGACCTCTTGGCCAGGTCACTCATGTACAGCGTCTTTGAGTTTGTGAAAAGCGCTTTACAAATAAAATGTATTATCATTATTATTATTAAAAGAGATCTCAATCTCACTGGATTCTTATCTGGTTAAATAAAAGTTAAATAATAAATGAATGATGAAAGGGAAATATCTCTAGACAGGAAACACTTGACTTTACTTGAAGTTCGATAGATTGGTATTGAAACGTCAGTTACAATTAATTGCTCCGTGAGGACACCTTGTGGCCATTTACAGTTACTACAAATCTAATTTCCATACTGCAGATAAACAGAATGGAGTCATAAGCACACAGGGCCACAGATGGTGCCCAAGAGCCACTAGTGAAAGACACTTGGCAGGTCAACCTGAAAAGTCTTCAGGCAAGAAAGAGGAAAAGAAAGCTCACAAAGCCCCTAAGCAAAATTTGTGTTTGTGTTGGATGAATCACAGGATTTCTAAGCAACCACCTGGCAGTGAGAAGTGATTGAAGAAGATTAACTTAAACTGTGGCATTTGCACAGGTAACTGTTGTGCCCCTTAAATGTCAAACATGCTGCCACTTCTCCCTCATTTACCTATAGAATAGCTTTACATTTAAGATGTCATGACTTAACTTGAAATGTGGGAACAGCAGGAGTTTTACAGTCAATAACCTCTGAATAGACACACTTTTCCCCTGAGGTAGAACACCACTAAAATTAGGTGCAAGTCACAGGTTCAAATACTGGCATTCAATGTATTAAAGGATGGTTATACGGTGTTTTCAAAGTGCTGCTTTATACAATTGTAGGTGTAGATATAATCATGATCACATTAATACATTTTGCTGATGCCGTGTGTTATAGTATACCTTGAAACCTTGTGAACACTAGCTACAGAGAAGATAGTGTATAAATGAACATGTACATTTGAAACAAAATTGCTTAATTATTGACCACTTACTCAATGGACAGTCTATTAACTGCAAGCAGTGATTAACACAATGATTCATGTCTCAAAGATGAAACTACAAACAGAGAAGAATGTAATTCTGGCATATAACAAAACAGAAGATCGAGACTAAAATCATAAAAAAGCCAAAATATATAATATAATAATAGTGAGCCAAACAAAAGGCTTTAGCTCGTATCAATAATACACTTTCTTTATTTACTTGGTCTCAACTTTGACAAGTTATTTAATTTTAAAGCAAAAGTCTGTAGAATCTGAATCTGATTTATTTGGTTGAAATGGAATATATATGATTAAAAGAGTGACTACATCTGAGTATAAACATCTGCTTTTTTGGTTAACTTATAATGTTCCTTTTATTCCAACACAAAGACTGGGTACCTTTCCTCAGAGACTGCCATCTTGCACTGTTTCTACAGCAGCACAGAATGAACAAACAATACCATGAGTTGTCACTGAAAATATATAAATAGGAAATTGAAGACAAGATTTGTTGTTGTTGTGTGCAAAATAATTTGAGCAAACAGACTTTTGATGGTAAAACTTGACAAATGGAGGACTGGATTTGTCGTGTCACAAGAGTTTCCTGTCCTTGAGGCCACCGTTACTTCACTGATAGGAGAGAGAGTGTTTTTTTTTTATCTAGAAACTAACATTCAGATATCACTAACGCTTCTCTTCTAACCCTGAATCCAATGATGTTCTTGAATCTGTATGCTCTTCAGAGTGGCAACCTGAAAAACTCAAGTCCTACTTTTTCCTCTCATCCCTGTATGCAACAAGACTTCACAATAATTTCAAGGTTCCTGTTTCTTCTGTGTTGAATTTTAAGTAATGGGGAAAAAAGAGAACATTTTGGTGCTTTAAAAAGAATCAGAAAGCCTCTCTTCCTTTCCAGTTGCCTGTTTCTCAAAAACCCAACACATCCTCTTCAGTTTCCGTTGAAATGAAAGACTCATTGCACCAAAATATATTCCTCGTATGAACCAACTAAACCTCATTTTTTAAACTGGGTTAGTGCTATATTCATCTTTGGGGAACTTTACTGTAAACTAAAAAAACACCCCAATAATCAGACTCTCTCCATTTAGACCTCCAATAGTCATTTACTCATGTCCAGTATCAGCGAAACACTTTGACCTACTCCCACCTCTTACTCCTCACTAAGCCTCCCGATGGCCCTGCTGGCCCCTGAGTCTACAATGAGACACCGTAATCCCCTCCAAGTCTGGCAATTAAGAAAATAAATCGCTCAGGATTGGGAATACAATGAGAAGATTAAAAGATAGAGGCACACCTGCTATTATAAACAGGAGAAGATATTATGGTCTATTGGGTCAAAGGTCGGAGGGGGGCTTAAACTTTTAACACTTGGAGGAGGGGGGACAGGACGAGACTTATAGCAACTTAGGGAGCACTTTTGACTTTGGCTTCAATATATTATGTGGTTAAAGATTTCATTATCAGCCTGTTTCAGTCTTTATGTATGATCCAGTAGAGCATTATTGGCAACTAACTGTTTCAATATATGAAAGGGTATTCTATTATATACAGTATCTATGGTCTTAACCCCGCCTCCCTCCTGCAGCAGAGCAGTCATTCAGTACCTTTAACATATATCTAATCTTGAATCTACCTCGCAAAGAAGCAAAGTGTTTTGCTTCAGGCGTGACTTGGAGTCTTCAAGGGTGGTAGCAGTAACCCACATTTCATCTGTCGGCACTTTTACAAGCAATGGATCAAGGTGGAATGACTGCTGCTTTATTGCTTCTTTTATTTTCACAAACACTGTTGCTAAGGATGCCAAAAGTTCAGCTGAAAGCTATGACACCAACTAGAAGAGGTAAAATACTTCAACAATTCTTACTGCCCTCAGAGGAATGATGCAGCAGTTTTCTGTTTTACAAATGAGGATGAATGGGGCAGCAGAACTTGGACTAATGCAGCTCATATGGGTTTTATGTATTTATGAAATATTAGGAGTACACATACATTTGAATGAGCTTTTTAACCAAAGTCCATGGACCAGGAGATTAGTTAAACACTTTACCAATCTCAAATCTCAATTCACGCTTTTAAATATCTTCTAAAAACAACAGTATGTGTTTGGAGGAAATCCTAAAAATGCCGTCACTTAGAAAGGAGCAATACAGCAGGACTTGTATGTATCAGTGCTGTTATTATTATTTTTTTTTGTAATGTTCAGTTAAAGTGCAGAAGAAAAGTGTGTGCACAATACTCACCCTCTCAGTCATTTATAAACACCAGTTCAAAAATACTTGGACCATATTGTTTGAAGGTAAACTATCTTGGTCTTTTCAAAACTTGCATGATAAAAAAGCATGATAGTTGAAAATAGGCGGTGACTTCATAGACACATTCTTACAAATACTTTCAGAGGCTTACAGTTACATGTATTGAAATGCTTTATGCAATTTGAAATCTTTTAACTTTTAAGTTATTTTGCAGTAAAAAGCAGATCAACAACCAGTTTATGATGATTTTAAAAGATCACGTTTGAAATCTAATATGTTGAGTTTTGATCATTTCATTTGATTTGCAAATAATAAACACAGATCCTGACCGAGACCATTCCAGACTAAAACCCGGTCACTTTTTTAAAGATTTAGGCACCATAGCATCAATGATTGGAATTGTGTTGATTTTTCTTTATTTTACCTGCAACTCCTTGTTGAATTTCATCATTTTGATGAATACTTTTTGCTGATTTTGTGTCTTTGTGTTTCACAAGCATTTGTTGTTGTGCATTTGGTCTTTGGAAGTGGTAGTGCAGCAAAGTCTATGGATGCCCTGGTGAAAATATTTAGTGAATTAGTTAACAAGTCACAAGAAAAAGTGCTAGAGCCAAG